TTAGGACAGGCAGTACTGCGGCAGGAATTTACCGTGAAATATAAATACATACACGCTAAACATAACATTTAAAGTAGTAACAAACTCAAGAAGGCCATTTTAAACGTGTTGTATTTCGTACATCAAGGTCTGTTCTGCAGTAAGCAGCAAAATAGAATTGTTCAAGAAAGAAGCAGCCCATGAAACAGTGACCTAAAGCCGAATAGAAGCCTGCGAGTTGCGGGCTGACAAAGTGAAAATCAGGGTTCTTTTTTAGAGCACAATGTCCACTCCAGCTAGAAGACGTCTTATGAGGGACTTCAAACGGTATGTTCCACGCCATTTTTCTACTATAATAGTTCGATTCAGCACAGAAGTGCAAATGTAATCAAATCTAAATTAGCGGAAACAATCCGCCATTTTTATTGTGCTATACCTGTATCTCTTCAGTCTCAAATAGTGTCTACGTCGCTGAGAAATTGTTGAGGGGCTGTTTCTGAAACTTTCTTTCGACTGAAGGATTTCAATTTAATTCGTTAAAGTTCACTTGCAATTCAGTCATGTTGAAAAGTGAAATTGACAGATGAAGCTCACAAAGGTCTATTTCTTCATCCATGTATACTGTAAGCAGTAGGGACGTCGAGCCTTAAATGATACAAACGAGTAATTATGAAAAGTATATGGAAGGACCCCAGATGACAAGGGAGAACCCCAGAGCTTTGGAGCTCTATGCAAGATCTCAAGTTTACACAATATTAATAAACACAATGTTATTGTTGTTTATTAATATTGTGTATTGATTTATAATTACTTCAGGCAAAATTCACATAAGATGGCACATGGCTCGAAAGCCCCTATGGGTTATTTCCTTGTGTCATTCAGCTATAACTTTATAGATACAAATAATTATTTTAAATATCTTAACCTTGTATGTATTGAAGTATAACTGGAATTGTATCTTGATAAATTGTTTGACTAGATCAGTATATTGTAATTAAGCTGAGAAGACACATGAAATTGAAATTGAAATTCAATTGAAATCATTTCAGCCAAGTTTTCCCCTGAGCAAAACTCCTTTCATCAATCATATGGCTTGCATAATACACTCCCCTCACGAAAGTATCCGGACAGTTTCGAATTCAGTTGCGAATCTGTTGTTAGAGAAATTTGTTTACAATGTCAGTTTTCATTAAAAAAATTTTAATCAATTTCTGCATGTTTTGCATCATTTTATTGTTCTGGTTTATTTTGGAAGGGTTTCTCAAAAAATTATTATCACAAAGTTAAAAAGTTGTTTTCACCAGCCTAAATTTGTTTTTGTCTGAAAGCACAATCGATCTTCAAACTGTCCCTGGGTACTTTTGTGAGGGGAGTGTAGTTTCTTCATAATAGTACTATTGTAAATTCTGCTTTATTTTTCCTAATTTTCACATGCATGATTAAAGTGAAATGTGCATGTATCTGCCATAGTCTGCAAACTTGCCTTTTTGGAACGCTATTGGTGGGAACAAATGGTGGGTCTTTAAGTATTGCTTTTTGGATTAACTTTCTACCAAACCAGAAATCTTGACAAAGTCACCAGTTCTGATAAATTCTAGGTATTAGCTTTCAGATGCTTTGAATTCAAACCTCAGATGCAAGATAGATAGAAGCAAATTAAGTATAATCCCCACTGCTTGTTTGCTGCTACTTGTACTTTGACAGCCTGAACACTGAGAGTCCTAAGAAGTGCAGATATTGGAATGTCTCGCTGTATTGATTTTGTTATTTATTTTAAGACTTCAAGAAGATCCCCCTGCTGGTGTCAGTGGAGCCCCTACAGAAAACAACATTATGCTTTGGAATGCAGTTATTTTTGGGTAATTGACATTCTTATTGGTTTCTTTTTAATGTTTTTATTAATTTTTCCTTTACTATTAACTTATAATTTGGTGCCAAGTAAGAGTAGCTTGATAAGAGTAAATATCTGCTCCCATGGATTTCTATAATCTTTATTTCTAATGTGTGTAATTTTTGTGCATGTTTATCAATTCATTGTGTTTAAACAATTTTCCTGTCTTATAATTGCTGAAAAGTTTGCCAAAAAGATGTCATGTCAATATAATAATATCTTGTAAAAATTTTTTGTTATAGACCAGAAGAGACCCCTTTTGAGGAAGGTATGTAACCTCTATCTAATACAATTTCCTTTGTCAAACTTTATCACACCTTTTGTATATTTATACCGTGGTAGCGCAAGCACGAATCTTGGAGTAACAGAGAACATGTCTCATTTCTAGCCTATCTTCTATTTTATATATGTTTGCCTAAATATATTTGTGTGTTTTGCATATTTTTATCATATTTTATAGGTGGATTTTATTATGTTTCCCCAAAGCAATTTGTGACCCATTTGAGGGGATTTGTCGATGATTCAGTGATACCTATCTTATTTTTCCTAAAGGTACATTTAGATTAACAATGGAATTTACTGAAGAATACCCCAACAAGCCTCCAATAGTGAAATTTATTTCCAAGATGTTTCACCCAAACGGTAAGATGGTTTATATTAATGATGTTATTTTGAAAGTAAGATGCAGGCCTGTTCATTTAAGACGTGGTTGCTTACATCAGTTGGTACCATTGCTTTTAAGTTACCAAGGACCATTAATCCCTAAAAACTATGGAAAGGGTACTCTTTTTTGGTACAGAATTCAGCAATGGCTGTGAAAAAAGTAAACATTTTGAAACATGATACTAAAGCTTTTTGTCTGACACTCTTCAGAGTATAAAACATCATAACATAGATCATAAACTCTTTGCTGGGGGAAATATATACCAAGTTGTAGATCAAAATAGGCCAATCAGAAATACAAGCACATATAACTGTTGAGTTTTTGCCTATTTAGAATGTTACCAATGGAGTCCTTATGTGAAAACAAACTCCTTCTGTCTACACTATAGTAGCTTTTTCATGTTTATGTAGATTAAACCTTTTCAAAGTTTACTCATTGTACAAGGAAAAGGGCAATCATTTATTTGAAATAGATTAATTTTTTCAGCAAGCAAAAAAGATAGAGGCATCAAGACATGCCTCTCTGTAAAAATTTTAGCAGGGGCATGGCTGATTGCATGCCTGGAAGCAAAATTTTTCATTGAGGTGTGCTGCTCATAACTTCCAATTTAAATGCAGATGGATTAAAAGCAGTGATATCAACTCTATTGATGTTTTAGCCCGCGTTTCACGGAAAGGCCTGCTTCGTGGTACCAAAGGCTTATATATAAAACTTGTCTTCCAAGTGTTATATATAACCACGAAAAAAACTCTAATTATCATTTTGATCCTAACATGATTTCGTACTGTACAGAACACATAGCTAGACTATGAATACTTGTTTAATTTAAAATTACTTAATGTAATGATAACAGCAGCAATGCAGGTTCTTTCATCACACTCAACCGACACAGACAGTTTCCATTGTTTAACATGCATATTGTGTCATGCGATTCCCTAAATGTTGAGTGCTGTATTTGAGATGATTCCTAGGGAAGCAAGACAAAGTTTTTTGACAAAAAATAATCTTTACAAAATTCAAATCGTCGAGCTGCTCTATGTCGCTACATTTTTAGATAAGTGCGTGAAAAACTGTGCACCTTGTCTCGTTTAGGCATGAACCAAGGCGTGGGCTCTCAGTCAGGCAACTCAAACTGAGAGGCCTGATCAAGGCCTTGTAATACCTATATAATAAAGTTAAGGCTGTTCTGTATATTTTTTTACTAGTTTCCACAACAACTTATATAGTTTTTGCTTTTTAGGCCTTTATATTTTGTAAGCTTCAGCTATTCGGCAAGTAGCACTGATTAGGCAACCTTTACAGTCATGTACTCACATTTGAGAAATTCTAGACTTTTTATATAATTTCCGTCATTATTAACAGACTGACGGTCTTATTCACATTGGACCAACAGGGTATTATTCTTTTGAAACATGTTTTTTCTTTTGCAACTGGTGCTGTACTATGTTATCATCAGGGATAAGGGTGCTGGATAATGTTCTAGACTAGATCATTTTTTTCTGAGATAAGACTCATCATTGAAAAGTAGAAGTTGAAAAAACCTACACGTTTCATGTTGATCAAGACAGCAGTTTTATTTTGATGTCAGTTTTCTTCTCTAGAGCTATAATTTGAATTGCCTTGTTTTGTACTTTCCAGTTTATGCAGATGGTGGAATCTGTCTAGATATCCTGCAAAACAGGTGGAGCCCTACTTATGATGTATCATCAATTTTGACATCAATTCAGGTGAGAAGCAATTACCTCTCGGTCAACTGTGGTCTGTTGCTCTTTGCATCACAGTTAGTTCATTTGTTTTCGGATTTCCTTCTTAGATTTTACAGGGCAAACATTTACTATGAGCAATAAAGTATGCAAATTTATTTACTTTGGTTTTACAAAGCATAGTTTGCCTTTGATCCTAGAAGAATTTCCTTGACTACAACAAATTTTATGTGTCTTCTGTGTTTAAAAGCAGCTGCATCACATGGTTGTTACTGTGCCACTGCATCTTTTGGCAATGATATCTAAAGGCTGTGTTAAAGCAACATTCAGTTGTGCTGAGATTTCCCTGCTTTCGTGGTTTAAACATGCCAGAGCATACCGAACTCCAATTGAAACAACCTTTGTTTTCATAAATTTTTACGTTGTTGAAAACTTTCAAATTAGATGTCTTTGCTCTTACGCCAATAGAAATGCACTTTTAGCATACTCCAAAGCCTGTTCCTTACAGTATCACAAGGGTGGGACTTTGCTCACTGTGATGGCTGTAAGTCAAAAAAATTTTATCTTGGCAACAGGTGTCAGAGTCTCAAATTTTGATTAATGAAACAATGTTGCTTTCAATGATAAGGTAGGGTTTTATAGTATTGCAAGAAATTGTTTTGAAGGGGTGCAAATGAAGCACAGTTTGTCTTGTAGGGAAGTTTCCCTTGTTCCTACAAATACTGTGGCAAAGTTAGCCATTAATTTTCCATATTTTCTCAGTACAACAGAAGTGCTTCAGGATTTTAAGGTGCATCAAAAGATAACAACTTTGTCAGGCTCTGAAATGTAAACAAACCTTGCCAAAAACAAGATCAGTTTGAATTCTCAGATTCCAGTGCATAGCAGAGTGCCAGCTTCTCATTGCAAGCAACTACCCAAAAAAGTTTGTAGGGAAGGCCAGATTCAAGATTTCAGCTGGCTGTTTCTATGTAGTGCTTCTGATATCATGGTTAAAACCATCAGAAAAAATCATAATTGTATTAAAGATAGTAATTATCATGCTTTAGTTTTCTTTAATCTAAACTGCCCTAACTTTTAGAATTTATTCTTTCATACAGATTCTTAGAATTTTACAGGAATGTGAATAGTTAAATCTTCATTTCAATATTGCGACAGAAAGTAACCAATTTGTAACATTTTGATGATAATTGGTCTTGTTTTGCAGTCTTTGCTGGACGAACCAAATCCAAACAGCCCTGCAAACAGTTTAGCAGCTCAGCTTTATCAGTACAATAGAAGAGAATATGAGAAAAAAGTACAAGCCATTGTAGAGCAAAGTTGGCAAAGTGCTTAGAACTGGCACTTTTGTGGATCCAGGACTGCCTTCATGGTCAGCTTGTGTAGCAGTGTTAGTTTGCATTTTTCACCAATCTTTTGCTTTAACTTATGAATATGAGATTTTCTGTGAGACATTCACCCATAGGGGACTTTGATAATGCCCCTTTTGAGTTCGGGAAAACCTCTCTCCTGTAAAATAAAGTAAAGAAGTGTATTCGTAACGTGTATATTAAACATTTTGAGAAAATAATGCAAATTTTAATTTTTTGCCTTCTCTTGTTACACCCCCCATACCTTTTAATACACCAGTATTGCCTTGTCTGCCAGGTAGCAATTCTGTTTTGGCACTGCTTTGTATATTCCAAAGACATATGCATAGGCAAGGGTTATGCATGGTCTCTCTTTTACATCATAAAAATTGGATGATATATGCTTGGTCTTGGTCATTGCAGTAAGTGCTCCCTAACTTGTCCAGTAGTTCTTTCATAGTGAAGCAAATAGTAAATCGAATTACCTCTGCTCTTCCATGTAACATTTGTCACCTCAAGTCAAGTATTTTCGAAAACATTGATCTGGCACAAACAGCTTTGCATTTATCATGATAACTGCCTTCTTTTAGCTGAAACACTTAGTCTGCTATTCTTAAAAGGCTTAGCAGCACTTTTCATATGGCCCTAAAGGAAGACTATGATGGTGCTGTCTCATTCACCACCCATATAGGCTTCTGGCTTAATAGTTTTGGCTCTGGCTTTTAAAGAGTGCTGTCATTACTTTTGCGTGATTGTTAGGAATATCTACAGAAATTGTGAAAGTCAAAGGAACCATTTTTCATAGCCTGAGGTGGGTTTAACATACTGTCTGAGAGTATTTTAATATGTAGGAGACTTGGTTCTGATTTGCGCTGCAGTAGATTATCTCTTCTTGATAGCATTGATTTTGAAGTCATGTGCATTCAAGTCGAGAGTTGAACCCACTTGATTGAGGTATCTTCTCCCAATGTATTTTTTAGGTAGAGCAAGCCAAAACTATTGTTGTACATGAAAACGCTCTTTTTAGAAAGGGACTTTTATAAAAACAAAGGAGGCTATATAACGCAGTCCAGTTGCTACAACGTAGTGTCACATCTTTCCATTCAATATTTTTGAACTGACAGGAAGGGCGTTTGAAGGGAGTGTGAAGGGCCAGCGCCTTTTCGCTGAATTCTATGGTGAGATTCGCGTTTTTCGAATGGATTACAAGTTAAATTCGTATTATTTTCAAAAGTTTTTATTTAACGGCGGTATGAGAAAGGATTCCAATTCCAAGGTTTTGGAATTATGATCGCAAAGCATGCTGTCTGCGCAAGAACCTTTAATCAACGATTTAAAAATATAGAATAATAATTCTCGCTTTTATTCAAACTTGGCTACTATAAAGAAGAGCTACGTCCTTAAGACCAACTGTTAAAATAGTTCCATCAATTGCAGGTAATGTGATATAATCAGTAAAATTGCATAATCCTGTTCTGTTATTAAAAACAAAACGTTAACTTACGCACTATTTTTTATGAAAATGCCGGAACGCAATAATATACTCTCTAAAAAGGCGATAAGAAACAAATAGGGAAATACCGCCCGATTAGCTTACTCTCCCATTAAACTGTTCTTGAAAGTGATCAAAAGCGGAATAACTAGAACATATGATGAAGCTAGTAACAGATAGGAATATAGGAATGGATATTCTACATCAGATATCATCTACAAACGATGACAACAACAAAAGAATTATAGTTAAGAGGTACCACAAATAAGTGAATTTAAGCTATAAAAATGTTCACACATAGTACAACACGAATCAAAACAGGCAGGCTAAGTGCTTGTAAGACACGAGTAGAATATACATTACTGGTTTTGTTTACAACCACATTCAAAGAGACTTGAAGACACCGAATTGAGGAAGAAAGGTTAGATAAATAGGAAAACTTTGCAGATGATATTTCGCGCTTGTCTGATAACGAAGAACAACGTAAAAAATATGAAAAAGGATTTGCAATAACCAAATGGAAAGAAATGTCAAAGAACTTGAGTCAAAATATAGAGCGGGGTCATAGAGGATGTACACGCGAATATTCACCTTGATCAGCTGGAAGTGAAACAGAAGGATTGCAAAGATTTAAAGCAATATGGTGATTTCATGGAGAAAAATTAATGTTTCAAAGTTTGGAGAAAAGAATAATGGATGGAGTCATACTTTCAGCAATCAGAGTGTGATTTTGATCTTTCAATTTTCCATTTGTCTAGGCATGTGTGCAAGCATTCAATGGTGGTGCCAGCCACTACGCTCTGGGCGGGGGCAAAACAAAAGATTTTAGACCACGCCCCTTTTAGCACCAGAAAACGCCCTTTTACTAACAAGGAACGCAATTTTGACCTGAAGGGAACGCTCATGACCCACTTTTGGCCATGTAAAGGCAGTTTGAAAATCATAGGATTATATCGCAAAAAGTACGTTGCCAAAATATTACCCCTCCCACAACATTTTCTCATCGGATTTAGACGAAATGCAAAATTGATCCTGCCGAGAACTGGGGGGGGGGACGTGTCACCCCAGTCCCTCCCGTAGGGCCGCTACTGTAAGCATTGATTTTCCCATATTTATCTGTGCAACTACCAATTTATGCTACTGTTCATATTTTTTGCGCCATGTCATTGCTGAAAGTGTTTCAGAATGCTGACATCGGCGGACACGGTTCTTGTCGCTGATTCGCAGACTCTACTTGCTTGTCTCGCAGACTTGTCGTGCGAGCCTCTGTTACCAGAGTCTGCACGCACGTTCTCCCTGTCACCGATTCCCGCTTTTTCACAAGGAGGCAGCCATATAATGATCTCAGCCATGTTGCAAGAATAATGGTAAACAAATTTGTTTTGTTATTTAGAATTTTTGCCTTTTTATCGTAAGTGGTTTACAATAATTTTCATGATAGACAGAAAGTTTGAAATCTAGAGCGAAAATTGAGACACCTGTGTAAGTTTGGTCAACCAAGTTATGACCGGTCTGGTGTCCGGTCAGGCCTAGGCCAATTACAGTACGATACACAGATGCATCTGCCATACTCTCCACAAAAAATTGTTTTTGGTGACAATGAGGTCAATGCTCCACACTAAATTGTTAGCATTGAATTCTAAATTTACAATGGATTTATTGTAGAAGAATTCAGGTTTGCAGGCCATGTATTTGTTAAATTGACGTTTGCATGCAAAAATGTACCTGAAGTGATCATGCACATGCAAGATCTCATTGAGAACTGTCCAATACCTTGCAGACTGGAGTCCAGTAGCATGCTAACGGGGGGGGGGGGGACATTGATCATAAATTTCAGGTGAAAAGTTTCTAAAACTAGCTTTAGGTTATGATTTGTATCTGTTATGAGCTCTTTTGTACTTCATTTTTCAGATAATTGTACTGGTTGCAATCTTTAATCCTCATTTCCACACATCATTATCACTTAAGTCCCTATTGTTCTGAAGTACATGCCTTTGATAAGAATATTTTTAGCCCAAGGATAAGGGGTTCAGTGCTTTTCTGAAAATTACCAAAATTTTGCTGTGAATATTTTCACCTCCTTTAGGAGGCCTAAAGTCCTAGCCACTTGGAGAAAAATCTCAAGTAAACAGACCTTTATTCTAGTAAATCTTCTCGAACTCCAAGATGTCTTGAAGTTAAATCTTCCTTTTTCAAACTGCCAATTATTCTCATAACCAATCTTTGTTTTCTCTTTAAATTCAAGGGTATGTCTTCAGTTATCCAAAGTCCTGTTTGTTTGAGCCACTCTTTTACTTCCTTTAAAGTGCTAAATGACTCCAAATTAGTTTCCTTTTTAAAACAAATATATGATACATATTGAAGATAGTGTTTAAGATACTGTCCCAAAACAAAGCACATGTCTATGGTCAAGGACCCAGGTACCGGGAAGCAGGGGGTCCTTGGCCCCTAAAAAACCTAAATTGCATAAGTAAAATACTTTTATTTTGTAAATATGGCTATTTATCAGGGCTGCCCACCCAAACAAAAAGTTGTATCTTGGTTTTTGTCTATGGTTATGACCATTGAAAATAGCTAGTCACTGTGTTGGAGCATGTTTTTTCCTTTACTAGATTTCAAGCAAATCTGCCTCATCCTTTGCTCAGAATGCTTCTAGCAAAACAATTGTTGACTATATCAATCTACAAAAATCTACAGCTTTCTCTTTCTTGCACCCGCATCAGTGGCTAAAGATGAAAATTTTTGACATGCAAAATTAATTTGAATAGAGCCAAACTCCTAGCACTCTCCCAAAAAATTCATGAAAGGACATCCCTGACGATAACTAGCTCACATTTACTGTAAGAGAAGGTCATAACCTTGCCTTGCAGCAATGAGCCAATGATTTCACCCACATCCCCCCATACATACACCCTCAGCTTGTCCCTATATATTATATGATTTATGGCTATGTTACAACTTAACAAGCCATTTGTTTTAGTCCATCAAAAGTTAGGTAATGGCAACCGGTTCAAATTGTCTTTAGCTAGAACTTGGACACCACCAGAACATAACTTTAACAGACCAGAACCATTTTCTAAATGCAGCAACAGGCCTGGCCGTTTGTATTTTTATAGGCGAGCTGTGAATCGCTCCCCTCATTTGCTGAGGCGAGCTAAATCAGTAACACATAGAATGTACTTTAAAGACAATCGACAGATGACTTAATAAGCCCCTTTAGTATCTGTCGGTTGCCTTTAATAGCCTCATTCTGGAGTGTGATGTTTTACTTCTTTCAATTTGTATTTGCTTTAACCGTGCCTTAGGCACCCCCTTTACTTGAAGTTTTCAAAAGAACAGACTCTTTCTGTTTCATGTAAAGCTGGCACAACACAAAAGCAACAATTCTCTTGCAAATCAATTTATTTTGTTGTACAGAATTTGAAAATGGCTTTGAAAAATAATTTTGAAACAATCTGAAGTTATACGTCTAGCACTATTCAGAGAATAAAACATCAGAACATAGATGGAAAACTCTACGCTAAAATACCCAGTTTTGGATGGAAGTAGGCCATTCAGAAAACGCAAGCACATGACTGTTGAGGTTGTCCAATCAGTGCCTCTTTCCTATTGAAAATGCTACCATCGGAGTCCTAAGGTGAAAACGAACTCACTTATGTCTGCACAAAAGCAGTATGTCATGTTTATATTGTAGATAGATTCACAAACTGCTAGATGATCAGGCTTTGCCAATAATGCTAAACATGTTGCCGTTATAGTTTTCACTCAATCTGGGTTTTTCAGTAAATGCCGCTGGATAGTGGAATTCCATGTTTTGGTTGTCGTTTTTGATCTGCAAGACAGAGTACCTTGTTCTCTTTGAGGGATAGTTTTGTTTCTATTGCTGGAAGGGACCTGCTGTCTTATTGTATCCCCAATCTACAATTCCTACCAATTTCTTCGACTTTCCTTCCAAAAATATTCCTGTTTTCTTAAGATTGAAAGGTTCTAATCGCTACAAATGTACCTTTCGGTTAACTATCTTTTTCCAAATAGATCGAAGTTTATGCCTATCATAACAAAAACCGCCCAACAAGCAAAAGTTAATTGCAAAAAATGCAATGACGGGAGAAATCGCTGTTACAAAAATAAACCAATTAACCCTTGTGCGTTTTCATAATTCTCTGAATAGGAAATTTTAGGGGAGCAATTCCTCCTTCATGTTCTGTTTAGGAGAGCAATTCATAGCTCGCATCAGGCTGCGAGGGGAGCGTGGAGGCGAGCGCGAGCTATCGCTCGCCTCAAACGGCCAGGCCTGCAGCAATTAAAAAAATCTGCCTTGTCTATAGAATACAGCAACTAACCATACTCAGTAAAAAAACCTCAAGAATTTTGATTCATCCTCTTTCTGCATTTGTCAAACTTTGTCAACATCTCTATGTCTGTAAAGCTTTTGGCTGATGCATTCTAGCCTGACAGTTAAATCACTCTTCTTTTTTGGTCCATTGAAAAACCTGTCATGTAGGAACAATTTTGTCACAACTTTCTATGCGTATATGACTTATTCTTGTCTGCATCCCAGGCCAAACACTGTAAAGAGCAGAGACCCCCGCTCTTTTTCAAAACTTTGGAAATTGGTGCTTGGCCTCCCTGAGCCCCCCATCAAGCATATTCATTGGCCTTGCATATGTACATAATTTGTTTTAAAAGGAGCATTGAACTTAAAATTATTGTTTTGTGAAACTGAAGGTCTGCAATAATAATAAGAAAGTTCTTAGCAAAATGATGTCATATTGTTAGGGATTTTTTCTGAAAGTATCTGCACAGTTTATAAACTGATAATATCTGTTTTATTTTGGAAAAACATTTCAATACAGTTGTTAGTGAATGTGACAGCAATTGCTGGGGTTATCCTACAAGTCGCTTTAAATAACATTTCTGTTGAACAGTGTTTTAATTGCCTAATTTTTGTTATATATACAATCTTTTTCCTTTGTGCTAAGACCCTTGTGCAAACAAAGTGACATCTTTATCTTCAGTTGGAAGTATCTAAAAGCTCAAAAACGAAATGACGTATCAAGATTTCTAAAAAGCTTTTCATTATTCTCCTTAGGGGCCCACACTGTGAATTTGAAAGTGGGGGGGGGCATGGCCACCCCCTCCCCCTGGTGGCCAGGCCCTGTTTTTAAAAAAGTGTAAATTTTTGAATTCATTGCTCCTTTTATTGTTTGGTCCATGAGCCATGTATATTCCTTCTAAAGTTATTATAATTTGTTATAAAGCATACTTTCTCACGATTAGGCATTCTTGCTCGTTATAAGGCATACTGATATGATCTAAAATCGAATGTTTTTCTTATTAAAGGCATTGAGTCATGATAAATAGACTGGGTATACCCTAAGTGCCAAAATCTGCTGAGTCGTGATTTCCATGACTGCGATGCTATTGGTTGACCTTGAACTGGTCACATGAACTCACCTCATACTGATTAACATAACAGTTTCCATCAATAGCAAGTTGTCAACAACAGATGCCAATATCACATGAAACAGCAGCGATCACGCAGAAACCAAATGACCCCCTATAGAGAAAGCCTATTTACCATGACTCAATGCCTTTAAGCTGACCATGGAAAAGCGACTGTCAAAGCTTACAGACAAACATTTACCTGACATTTGTCAATGTCAACTACCAGTTTAATGCCTGATGTATATAAACTTTCTGCAAACAAAAAATGTTTCATTTCACATTGATAATTTTTTTTCATATAACTGTTTACGAAACCGTTTTTCATTTTTTCAATCTTTCATGTAACGGTAATTTTTTTTAAATCCATTCACTGTTCAATACGTAGTTTGCTGATATTTTCCGTAGTTCATCTGGCCCACCTGTTCAGTCAGGTTTTATCTTGCTCAGCCCAAAAAATAAGTTGGACACCCTGAAATAATCCCTTGATGCTAATGAACCATAACATTGCTATCAGAGTTCATAATTAAAGCGTATTTGCATAGCAGATTCAGCTCAGCTGGAACTCTTTGGGTATATAGCTAACTTTTTTATTGTGTCAAATTTGATGTCCAGTTGTTCTGTATTTTTAAACAATGGAACATTATAAGGCTGACAAACTGATTCCCAACGATAGAAATTTCTTCAGGTACTTTTTCTGATAACCTCAAGGCTTTCCTTATTTATGTGGCTTTGTCTAAGACTGGAAACATGATGATGCCTAATTAGTTTGGGCAGCTTCAAGTAATCTTCAACTTAGACAGAGATTATATTTTGAGAGCGCGGTTGCCATAGTGCTTTCATCTTCTTACAAATATGCGAATTTTCTTAAACCGCTAACGTTAAGACAGTATGTTTTTGGTGGGGTTTGGAGTTCCTTTTGTTTGAGTTATCAACTGTTTTTTTGGAATTTCATTTCTTTTATACTATTGAGGAATTTTTGCGACGTTACGAAATAGCGTAACTCAATTGAGAGGACGGGAAGATGTGCGGACAACTCAACTTAGGTGACGAAAGTTGGATGGGGTCGATGCCATATATTTAATGGGATGATAGCGGAACGAATACTGATTTCTTTTTGGGGGCTTTCTGCTCGTAAAATGATAATGTTTCCCTTCTTCGTAAATCATTGCCAGTATCAAATTTCATACTTACACCGTGGCTTACAAATGAATATTTGTCTGCTTTATTTATAAGAAAGTTTGAAAATCATTTACAGGCGGAGTACGGACTTACCATTGTCTTTGAAATCAAAATGGGCAAAAATATCTAACTTTCTGAGGTTCACAAGTTTAAAATGCCCTGTTAACTAATGCTAAGCAGACTTCTTCTTTATAAACAGTCGAAGATAGATGATTTTTTTATTTTGCATGGAATTAACTTTTTACTTTAGCATATGATTGAATTGGCCCAACTCGGTCATACAGTTTTTTCTTTGATCTTTTCGTCTTTATACATCGTATTATAGTGAGTAAGAGGACGTTTTGTCGTACTGTTCCAAGATATAGCTTCTATGCTTAAGCCTATTTCCTCTAGGAAAAGGTAGGCAAAAATATTTTGCTCTTGAAAAGGTTTCGTCAACGTAAAAACGGTACTTTGTTTCTTCGCAGGACATACGAGAATAAAAGAATGACACGCTAATTTCAAGTATTTTCTCCTTTCAAAATGTTGCGAACATGTAGCAGAATCTTTTTGAAACCACGCAGCAGCCTTCGAGAGCCGAGTTGCTACTTCAGCACTACCTGTAAGAGTATTCTCGTTTTGAATCCAGGTTCTACAAGCATGAAGTGTTCTGCCTACAGTATCTGCGATTTGAAACTGGATTTTTCTGTACCTCCTTTTTTCAACAAACAAATAAAGCTTACAAAAGAAAATAGAGAGAAGGAAATAACTGAATTTTTGAATGACTATATAGACGAGTTCCATGATCTGCAGGCCATCGGACTAAGAACCGTGCACGGGGGGCAGCATTTCAAGGAGACAGCGTTAGTCACCACGGCTGTGGCAAAGACCCTCGAGTACCTGGTTCCACTTGCACCGCTGCATCTCCCTCCGCTTCTTACAGCGCTGCAAAAGGTTACGTCACTGCTCCCTCACGTTCCTTGCTACGTCGCATTTGACACTGCCTTTTTCAATGAATTGCCATCCACTGCTAGATTTTATCCATTGCCATACGAAATGGCAGAAAAGGGCTTTATAAAGTATGGATTTCATGGCCTAAACCACCGCCATTGTTTTGAGAAAATCTCATTGATGCTCGATAGAGTACCAAGTCGGTTGATTACATGTCATCTAGGTGGAGGAGCATCCGTGTCCGCCATAATGGATGGAAGGTGCATCGACACTTCAATGGGTTATACACCACTTGATGGGATAATGATGACAACAAGATGTGGCAGTCTGGACCCAAGCATAGTATTACGTATGGTGAAGGATGCCAATGGTGATCTTGAAGAAGTCGAAAGGATATTAAACCAAAAATCTGGCGTTGCTGGTATTTCAGGCTTGTCCGATTTGAAAGAAGCAGTTGATAAAAGGCAAGAAAATTCAAGAGCAGACCTTGCTTGTGCTATGTTTCAGAACCGCCTCTGTAAAGCCATTGGTTCTTTCATTGCAGTACTGGGCGGCTTAGATGGGCTTGTTTTCAGCGGTGGTATCGGAGAGAATGACTCGTCTTTGCGCAAAGAAGTTGTGCAGCAGCTATCTTTCCTAGGAATTGAATTGGATGAAGAATCTAATGATATAAGTACGAAAGAGGATCGTATAATATCAACTTCGTCATCAGCAGTAACTGTTGCTGTTATTCATGCTAACGAAGAATTAGTTATTGCCCAGGATATCATAAGAATGACTGCGGATTCGTTTGACATATGATGTCACCCCTTCTATTCGTTATCCCCATGAAATAGGTATGGTGATGAGATTGTTCGTGCAAATTAAAATTTGGTTAAACACGGTTAGCTAAGCAAATATGTTGGAAAGAAAAAGAGTACTTGGCCGTTCTAAGCTTACCTCATAGCTTTACTTTACTGTGGCATTGTAGATATTCGATCTGTTCTTTTTAGGCCTGTCCATCGAAGGTCGAATAATCGGTATTCGGATACCTGTTTCACTATTGGGTTAGCTGAAGCCCAAAGCGAATATTCGGTTACAATTGAATAGTACGATTATTCGGTTGGAGACGAATAGTGCGAATAACCTTACTGTTGGAGAGTTGGAGGTCACAATGATTGTTAGAATAGCGTTGACTATTCGACTAACCGTGACTGATCGAATAAGCATAAGCGTCAAATCTTGATTGGCTAGGAAAGGAATCACCGCCACGTGAATCGTCTTCGAACTGAACCTGTCAAGTAGAGTCATATGAGTTTGATATTAAAGGTAATGTGTCCAGCTAAAGCAAGCGACTCTGCGGGGGGTTTTAGAAACATGTGATTCTTCATGTCATCGCCCCAGCCATTACGGTCGTTCTGTTTATTTATCCTGCTGCGAGGTCAGCTTTTCATGTGAGCAGTTTTGCATCGCAAGAATACTAACCAATCGCAAACCGTTATTTTGATGGGTGGCTTGACAAGTTGGGTATACGCAGTCCTTTTATATGGACACATTACCTTTAAGAAAGGCACGTTGAATATCAGCCACAAATGCATTCTGCGGGAAACGAAATCTGACGAGAAGCTCGAGCAAATTATTGAGAAGACACGGGCCAGTGTAAAGACAGTCATTTAGACTGACTTTACCTGCGTTCGCTGCGAAAACTATCCCGAGAGTTTCAGAATTTTTGAGGATGAAAAAATGGGGCAAGTAGTGACATCCCTACTTGGACCAAGGTTAATCTAAATCACGTAATTCCTCTATGTACCCCTTACTTAAGTGCTCTGCCATAACTTATCGATACGTGTCCATAAGACTAAATTTAGTTAAACGCGCTGTTACTTGATCTAAACGCTTTTTACAAAGCTCCAAGTTAGACGATAAGGGCGGGTGGTTTGTTTTCCAAGGCAATGGGGCAAAGTACTGCCCGTCACGAAATTCGATCTGCAAACATTACCTTTAACAATTTGACCTTGAAAAAGTCGTCGACTTGAATAAGCAAACTTTCATTGTCAACAAGATTTTGAAAGTAAACATTTTGGCTAGCATCGTTATCTTCGCACAATACATCAGTGTACTTTGTAACTACTTCGTATTGAATAATTTCCCCAAGAAAATGATAAGCGGCATCAGCACCCAAAATAATATCAACTACAAACTTATCTTCTTCAAAGTCGTTTGCCAAAGTTAACCCTTGAAGACCGGGGTGCGATTTGAATTGCGAATACCCAGAGTGATCTAGAGGCTGAACAATTTCCTCAGTAACTAAAACGCGTACGTGTTCGATACCTTGTGGGGTTTCCAAGCCAATTTCTATAACCCCATAATTATGTTGGGTTACTGTCCCTCCAAAACCTGACACAGATAATTATTCGTAAGAAATTTGGTTTAGGCCTAATTGAGATGCAAATCCTGACCTGACGTAACTGCACTGCGAACCCTCATCGAAAAATATTCTCGCTGCAAGTTTCATATCGCTGGAAACAGCAACCCCTTTAGCAGTTTTCAAAAGTATAACATTTGCGGCGTTGCTTGCTACGGTTGTTTGTTCAGAAACAATTTCAGGCGAAATGTTAGCCTTAGCATCTGTAGTAAACTTGTACGTTGTTTCATCATTACTACATCATGATGTAGATACATCAACAACATCATCAACAACAGAATTAGGTTTATGCGAATAGGAATCAATTTCATCAACGTTGAACATAGTCGAAATTACTGGCGAAACAGAACAACAATTCGTTATGATTTGTTGTGATGGCGTAATGAATGTCGTTTGTGTATCATTGGTGGTGAATTGTGACGAGGTTGAATCATTTGAGACTACAGAAACGTGTGCGTTTGTTCGTGACTTGCTTGGACTAGCATTTCGTGGGGGTTGAGCGTTAATCCCATTTCTAGGTAGGTAGGATTGTAACCCTGAATTCTCCCATAACATTTCAAAATACCAGTCTCCTCTTCTTTCTCAACTCTGTACCCTGGTGTCTGTTTGATTTCTGTTCTTTTGCTCTGTTCCTTTCTCACCCAGTAATCCCTTGCACTTAAAATCTCTTCTGTTGTCAGTTGCCCCTTTGTTAGTTTTCCCTTTTTCACCTTGGCTAGACAGTTTTTAACAAATCTCAGCCCCCAGGCCATTGTTCTTAAAGTCTGCCAATATGTTTTTCTCTCTAAAAGTTGTTCCCATTCATCTGATTCCACTTCATTTGCATGAAATACTGTTTCTTTCATTGGCTTAAATTCACTGTTTACTGCTGAAGAACTCTTTAAATCTGGCTGATCTGGCCAATCTTTCTCTGAGAGTAACCACTCTGGTCCTTCAAACCACTCCCCCTTGACCATCTTTTCAATATTTGCCCCCCGGCTCCCTATGTCTGCAATGTTACTGTTAGATGGACAGTATCTCCACTTGATGGCAAGCTTGTCTGTTATCTCTGCAATTTTCCTTGCTCTGTTTGCAACAAAGACTTTCCATAATTTTCCTGGATTTGTAATCCAGAAAAGTGCTACCATGCTATCCATCCATATATTCACTGAGATAATAGGCAATCCCTTAAGTGCACTATGAACATTAATGGCCATATTGGCAGCCATTTGTCCACTTACTAGTTCCAGCCTTGAAATGGATGTATTTCGCTTTGATATCCTTGATTTTGATGTCAAAAGGCCTTTCACAATGCCTGTTTCATGTTGTATTAATGCAATTGTTACTGATGAGCATGCAACTGCACTTGCGTCTGCAAATATATGGAGATTTATTCCTTTCACTTTTCTGTTGTCTTTAATTAAATTCCTAGGAACCTTGACATTTTTCAGTTGCTCTACCCATTTTAAGTAATCTTTGACAAGAGGCTTTGATATCTCTGAATTCCATCCTTTTGTTTCATCACAAGCTTCTCTGTACAATCTTTTTCCTTCTACAAGTGTTGGTGAGACAATACCAAGTGGGTCATATACTCTGCTCAATTGACTTAGCATACTTGCTTTGGTTACTGGATTTTTCTCTGCATTTTTGTTGATCTCAATTTCTAAAATATATTCTCTTTTGTCCCAGCTTAGGCCTAAAATTGTGGAGGGGTTTTTCATCTCCTCGCTTTCAAGCTCTGCTAAATTTGATTCCCATTTATGCACAGGAAACTTTGCATCTTCAAGAATTGCTGTTGACTGTTGTTTGAATTTCTGTAAACTCTCACAGCTTTCCCCTGTTGCCATCAAATTGTCTACGTAAGTGCTTTCTCTTAGCATTTTGACAGTTTCTTCAAATTCTGGTGTGTCACAATGATCATAATGATACACAAGTGTAGCTCCTAGCATGAAAGCGCTGGCTTCTGTGCCAAAGGGCACCCTCAGGAAACACAAGTGTTCCTCTTTACCTCCCAAAGTGAACAAAAATCTGAAAGCATCTCTGTCTTCACTTTTGATTCCTATTTGCAAAAACGCTTTCTGCACATCTCCAAGGAGTATGCATGGTGACATTCTTGCTCTTATCAATATGTCCCATAGATGTGGTTGTATTGCTAAGCCTTTGTACATGCAATCATTGATACTATTAGATGAATGATCAGGTCTTGCACTTGCATCAAAAACCATTCTGACCTTTGTTGTGGTTGCACTTTCCCTAACAACAGGCTTATGAGGCATATGATAAACTCTGCTTCCAGTTCCTGTTTCTGGCACTTTCTCTATAACTTCATTCTCTAACTGGTCTTGTACAATCTTTGTATACTCTTGTTTCAAGCTTTCTTTGTTTTCTTATTTTCTCTCCAGATTTTGCAGTCTCCTTTTGCTTTGAAGTTCATTTGTTTTGGTTAATTTGGTCCCAGGTACCCATGGTACATTTACTTCATATCTGCCGTCCTCTTTTCTGCAAATATTTTCATGAAATTCTTTCATCACATCAAGCTGATCATTTTCACCTCTATCTTCCACCCCTAAAACATCTAAACTGTAAAGCCTTTCATAGTCACTGGTTTCTCTGGTAAACATACATTGATTGTCTGAAAATTCTCCTCCATGAATCACCCAACCAAAAGTTGTCCCTTCAACTATTGGGTCTTCTGGTTTGCCTTTGAAAATATCTTCTGTTTTAATTTTGGAGTAGAATTTGTCTCCAAGAATTATATGAATTGTGTACTTCCTTGAGGATGTCATGAAATATGCTTTGTCTCTTGTGTGTTTATACATAGTTTTTAGCTCCTTCAAATCAGGCCTTGTTATTGTTGTGAAATCTCTTAGGTTTGTTCCTGTGACTTCTATCTCCTCTGATGCTTTGTTGTCAACTGACTTCACAACTACTTTGTATATTGGCAGTGCTTGCTTCTTTGTTCCATTGACAGTCATGATATTCTTTGTTTCATGTCTGATTGGCTTCAATTTAAGCATCTTGATGGCATCAGTTGAAATAAAGTTTCTCCCTGACCCAGTGTCTAAAAATGCCCATAATGTCTCATCATTTGATGCAACAGGTATAATTGGTGGCACTGTCTCTTCTGGAGATGGAGAGTAGCCTGTAAGCACAGAACCTTTCTTTTCTTCTTTTTCACATAAGCTGCTATGATGTTTTGCTTTGCAGTAGTAACATCCTCTGCTAAAACACTTGTTTCCTCTGTGTCCTTTCTTCCCACAATTAAAGCACAACTTGTTATCTCTAGAATGTTTTTTTCTTTTCTCTGTTGTTTCATATTTGTCACACTTGTCTGACCAGTGCTCTGCATCACAATAAATGCACTTTGGCTTTCTCTTTTCTCTGTTTGAATCTCCAGCATACCAGTGCCTTTCTCTTTTTTCTGTCTCCCTGCCTGTGTCATCTGGTTTGTTTCTTCTCAGCCATGCATGAATATTCTCAATTAGATCATGCATTTCCCATGTTTCCCACTTCTCATCTATTCTCACTAAATCTGACTTTATGGCTTGAAGATTTTTTAAGGTTGTCATCACAAGTCCCTTAAGAACCTCTTTCTCTCCTAGTGTCAAAAGGGCATCACAGTTTTTGCTCAGTTTCTCATAGAAATCTTGAATCTTTTGGTAACTGGGTGATTATATAACTGGTAAATTTACAACTTCCTCAATGTGTGTGTTTATAACAGTTTGTGTTTGTCCATATTCTTTCTTTAATCTGTCCCATGCTATCTTTAGACCTTCTGAACCTGGCTTCAAATTTGCAATTTTTTCTCTGACATTTGGATTCAGCATTTCCAGCAAGTAGCCAAATTTGATCTCATCACCAAATCCTTTGTTTAATACTTGTGTTGTAAACATATTTTCAAATCTTACCCAATCTGACAGAGTGCCGTTAAACTGCGTAACCCTAAGCTCTGGCAATTTTGAATAATTTGCTTTAGCTCCAGCTTCTAACTCCAATTTTCTTTCTGCTAATTTCATTTCAGCTTCCATTCTCTTTTCCCATATTTGCTGCTCTCTTAAATATTTTTCCTCACTTAGCTTTCTTTCAAAATCTGCTTGTAATCTCTGTTGTGCTATAAATCTTTCTTCTTGTAAATGAAATTCTCTCTCTTTAACTCTATTCTCCTTCTCATTTTTTTTCAACGCAGCAAAAAGCTTTTCTTTGTCAATAAGCTGCTTTGAGAATTTCTCTTTTGTTTCCTTTTTAAATTGTCTTACTGCTCTGGCTGATTTGCCTTCATCTATTTTTAGCTCTTCAAACTGCAGTATCAAATCTGAAATCTTTCCATGAATTTGTTCTATTCTCTTAGTCACAATCTCAATCTCCCTATAATCCTTACCCTCCAATAACTCGTTTGTTTGCTCAGTGAAATACGTTAATTTCGTGATCTCTTTCTCGATTTCAAGATCCCTTAATTTCTCAATCTCCTCTGAAGTTGGCCTAACTTCTTCTCCTTCTTGTGTCATGATTTCTCAAGCTCGTCCTGGCAGGGTCGCCACAAATGTATCGAATTTGTAAACTTTGTCAAGGTACACCCTCACAAATTGTAGCAGGGTCGCCAGATGTACAAATTGTTTAGGCACACCGTCACTAATTGTAATAATCCCGAAAATTGTATTCTCACGCTCCCATTTTGTAACAAAACTCAACGTGCTCACGAAATTCTAAAAAACGGCCTGAAAACTAGGTCCCAATCCTAATCTAACTACACGTCATAAATGTACTTTGCGGACTAGCGCAACGAAACAAACAAAACAATGTCGCAAATAACTAACTAAAATCAGTTCAATTGGTTGTGGATAGCTTATCAAATTTCGTTAGAAGAAATTCAATTTTATCGATTTTACCTTCTATTTCCATGGCAAATACCTCAGCTTCATCGCAAAAGTCGTCGAGTTCGGCTTCATCTTCTAATTCCTCGAACAAAATGCTTCGTAGCTCCTTTTCTATTGCGATACTTTCCAACTGCTTTGCCTTTAACGCTTTAAATGATGATTTTAAAGAACGAATTTCTTCCTCTTGTAAACGCGGTACGCTGAAAAGCGTCGAAGCTTCGCTGTGTATCTTCGTGAACGAACGACGAATCTGCCTCCTCTCCTGTTTCAACTTCTCTAACTTCGATTTGGGCATTATTACGAATGCTTGAAAACTTTCACAACAGCCAAAGAACGAAAACGAAACGTAGACGGACGGTCCTGGTCACGGCACCATTTTGTTGAGTAGCCAGAGAAGAGACAGTGTATTTAGTAGCAAAATATATACATAACCTTTTAGCATTTACACGAAAACTAACATAACTCAGCAGTAAGTTCGTTAAGAATGTCAAAAGCGATTATTCAAAGCAATTACGAATGTCGTGTGATTTTCATGTGACTCTACTTGACAGAACCAATAAGGTTGCAAGAAAGTCTTCGAGAAGCACGTTTTTTGGCCTTTATGCCCTATGAACCCCCTCCCTCTGACGTTTGCCTTTTTTCTTAAATTAATACTGACATTTTGGTCATTAGGGGCGACTAATGCTAGGGAAGGTTCGAGAAAACATTTATTTTGAAAAAGTCGTTTTGAAAATTGTTATGCAGCACACTCTTTGAAGTTACGTAAAACACAAAACAAAAAGAAAACAAAAAATAATGGTTCTGACTTATCGAATAGAAATGACTGATTAGCTGTTGGTTATTTTCAACAAATTACAATAAATTTTCAGATTGCAGATTTTGACCCCAACCCTGCCACACCCATTTTACCACACCCATATTCGCCGAATAACCGAATATTCATTAAATTTTAAACCGAATAACCGAATAGGAATATCCGAAGGTTTGGACAGCCCTAGTTCTTTTGTGTGCTTCCGCCAGCAATAACCAAACAAGTTTTGGGTACCGAAAACTTTGAAGATAGCACAGAGCACACTGAAGCGCTTTTCGACGTCGGACAGTGACCAAAGCGTTTGATTGGTTCTTTTGTTTTTTACCAATCAGCGACCAATGTATCGAAGACCAATCAAACGCATCTTTCTTCATCTCGCGCTGTTTTCGATCCACACCTGGATTATATATGTCCTCGCAGTAGTACAAATGCCTTACGCGATTTAAGGTTACGGTAAACGTATTCTGGATAAAATATCAATTCTTCGACTATTTCACATTCAAGTTGCCGAACTTCAAGGCACACAATGATACCAAATTTGAAACTAACAGACATTTTGAAAATGGAAATAATCTCATGTAAACGAAGGTTTCCATAATTTCTTTATCAAAACTTTTAGTTGAGGTCTGAAAATCTCTTGACCTGTTAAGCCGATTATCGTTTCTTTGCGGTAGTGGTCGCATGTCTCATTTACAATATCGCATGGCACATCCATATATCCAATGTACGGCCGTGTTTATTTAAACAGGCTTATTGATCTTAAAGCTTCAAGTGACATTGACCCGGATTATACTGTGGTTTACGTGTGTACCTTGCAAGTGCAATCAGTAGAATCCCGTTTTCTCCCGACTTACAATTCCTCTACATACAGGTACGAAAAAGCTATTTTATACCCAAAGAACCAATCGAATGGCTCAAAAATTTGCACACGGCCAGGACAGATGTCGGGTAAGCAAAGAATGTCTCAAAAGTTTTGTATTTGCTCTGGTCCGTCTTTAATAGCCAAATACAGCTATGAGAGGAAAGAAAAATTGTTTGACAATTTTTGACAGGGCATGCTTTCAAGGGGAGGAGGAATTTGAAAAAATTGAAATACTCTTTGGTAGCTCAGGATCTGCGCTTTCTGCTGATATAAGTCAGATTTTGATACCTCGAATGCAAGGGTACAAAATAGCTTTTGAAGGTGGTACGCTCATTTAAGCAATGAATTTGCTTGGGAAGTATCATTTTACAATATTTGCCAATTATTTTGATATGGTTGGAATCACCACATTCTTGTGCATCGAATGATGTATAGTTTAACCTGATTCCGTTAATGGTTTGAAAATTACTGTTTCAAAAACGTTTACCGTAACCTTAAGGTTTTTCCTTCCTACGACCTACTTCCTACGAGAAGGCAAGGCCAAACGGCTCAAGGAATCTAGATAAACTATATATCATTCGATGCACAAGAATGTGGTGATTCCAACCATATCAAAATAATTGGCAAATATTGTAAAATGATACTTCCCAAGCAAATTTATTGCTTAAATGAGCATACCACCTTCAAAAGCTATTTTGTACCCTTGCGTTCGAGGTATCAAAATCTGACTTATATCAAAATCTATCCCATGTACGGCTGTGTTTATTTAAACAGGCTTATTGATCTTAAAGCTTCAAGTGACATTGACCCGGATTATACTGTGGTTTACGTGTGTACCTTGCAAGTGCAATCAGTAGAATCCCGTTTTCAGGTAACAAAATCTGACTTAGACCAGCAGGAAGTGCAGGTCCTAAGCTACCGAAGTGTGTCTCAGATTTTTTAAATTCCTCCTCTTCTTGAAACTATACCCTGTCAAAAATTGGGAAATAATTTTTCCACCCTCCCGCAGCTGTATTTGGGTATAAAAGACGGACCAGATCAATAAGCCTGTTTAAATAAACACGGCCGTACATTGGATATATGGATGTGCCATGCGATATTGTAAATGAGACATGCGGCCACAACCGCAAAGCAACGATAATCGGCTTAACAGGTCAAGAGATTTTCAGGCCTCAACTAAAAGTTTTGATAAAGAAATTATGGAAACCTTCGTTTACATGGGATTTTTTCCACTTTCAAAATTTCTGTTTGTTTCAAATTTGGTTTCATTGTGTGCCTTGAAAGTTCGGCTACTTGAATGTGAGAAAATCGAAAAAATGATGTTTTCATCCAGAAAACGTTTACCGTAACCTTAACAAGAAATTGACTTTGAGAAAATTCTACACCTGGATATATTATTTCACCCTGCTTTCGGTCACTATCCGAGATTAATACCCTGAAAAGTAACGGACGAAAATGCTCCAGTATATTATGTTGCCGCTATTTCGTACCATCTCCAAATTACATATGTTACGCTGCATTTATTTTCAACGAATGGCAAGCACCGCTTTCCATTCTAACAGTGGGTGGGCTGAAAAGAGCGTGATCGAGAATTTTTAGGTTACGTCCTTTAGAATGCCGGAAGACGCCCTTTTTAAAAACTTTTTGCTCCTTTCCACTTATTTTTGATAAACAGCCCGATTCAGAAAATATATCAATTACTTTAAATATAGATTTAACAAGCTAAAACACAAAGAAAATGAACGAAAAGGGTTCGCAATCAAGAAAAACTACTACTTTCTAGAATTCTTTAGAGTAGACTTTCCAAAGTTGCGTTACAATTTTCTCAAAATTGCCCAACCTATTATCGCGGTTATACCTTAGGTGTGTTAAATTTCGTGGTGTATTATAATTCGCGCGTACTTGAATTCGCGCATTTTAAATTCGCGCACATATCTTTCATATTTTCGCGCAGTCTTGAATTCGCGCACACGAGAAAGTAGACAGGATGATACAACAATTCAGATCAAAATAATTATATTTTTGAACGTTTCTCTTGCCTAGAAGTAACCTTTTTTAAGAATGGGTCTTCATACTGGCGCTCTTTTGCTAAGAAATCTATAATCCCAGCCCTCGCAAATCCTTTGACAGCTATATCTGGTCGGTTTTGCATGCGGTCATAAAAGGATGTCAACCACTTTGCCTGTATCGGCTTCAAAATACTGATTTTCAAGTTTACTTTGACGTGTTCTGCTTTATAACCATTTTGAATTTGCTGCTGGACTTGTTCTGCAAGCCAGTTTTGGGACTCTTTACGGAGAAACGCTTCGCAACTTCTGTTCACTGTGAGATCAAGGGGCGGGTAAACATGGGTCATGTTGTTTGGCACTGGAACCACCTTTCCGTTATTTGTAAGCACCAACTGCTTCACATCTTCAAGTCCATTGGCCCTTGAAAACATCGGCTAGCGAAAGCCACTCTTGATTTTTTCTCAGTTGCAGCTCTTCTCTCTTCTTTTCTACATATGGCACTAACATTTTCAGCACCTTTTTTGTGGATATCTCTTCATTGGACCAATGGTTTTCAGTGTGTGTGATGTGGAATTCCTTTGGAAAGGTGTAGTCCGGATGACAACGATTAGCGTTTCCTTGATAAATCAGCTTCCAATCAAGCTTAAGTTTCCACTTAAGCTTATTACAAACATGCCAGTTATTTGTCTTTTGTCTGTCGAATTTGTTTTCGATTTTTTTCCTTTCTTTGCCGTAGTTTATTGAAAAACAGGAAAAAATGTAAGGGCTGTTTGGTCCAAGTTTATAATTAAATCGTCTGGTATTTTATGCGCATTCACAATATCAAATATGGCCTTATGAAAAGAAATCCAACTTCTTTAAGGAGACCCGGAGCGACTGCTGCCTTGGATGTAGTTGCTTTTCTTTTACTATAGCCAAGTCGAAGAAGCAGTGGCGGCTCTTGCTAATGGGCATTTGGGGCAATGCCCCCTCAAAAAGATTCAAGGAAATCTATGGAAATCTAAATATATTTAATTTTATAGATAGTCTTACTGTGGTTAATTATATAAGTTTGTATCTCTTCTAGAAAAAGCTCCTTGCTATCCCGTCTCGTCCTTAGCCTCGCTTCTGGCCCGCTAGTGCCTTGAGCGATGATGTCATTTTACGGGCAAAGTTTTTTTTGCCCCTAGCCGACATGCGCACAAGCTAATTTTCGACCTCGAGCATTGCGAAACGCGGCCTGTGATTGGCTTATTTGGAGGAATTCGGGGCAAGAAAAATTTTGCCCATAAAATGACATCATCGCTAAACAACAACTACATCTATATATGCTCTTTCTTCTGCGCTCCATGACGATCAACATCGAACCATGAATACAGTGAAAAATTTGCAGACCCAACTTTTCTATCGATTATCGCAATATTGATGGTCTGCCCTCCCAACTGTGAAAGTCACGAGCCGCCACTGCGAAGAAGTATAGACTGGGCCCAACTCTGTAAGAAATTATATGGTATGACGTACTACAGTAGTTGGTGCTGTTGTTGTCATTTAATGTACACGTGAAGGATGCGTTAGAAATGAGATTTGAGTTGAAGTTGATTAGAGAAGACAGAATTAGAACGGATCGAATTTGGAACCTAAGTTAAAATTTACGGGATTATACAGTCCTCTATTGGAATTAGAATTGGAGCCTAAACAATATATCGTTTTCTTTCTTATCCTTTATCTACTATCTGTAGTACTGAACTTGAGCTACCAGCGTATATAGCGATTTCGCTCAAACCTTTGCTAAAATCGATGTGGCCACCATTTTCTTTCAAAAGGGTTCTGTCATTTGCGAGTGTTATCCCTATTGCTATCGAGACTGTGTAAGATTATCCGGTATATAACAACGAAAGAACACCCCAACTCGAACTTCAATACTCCATTTTGTATTCTCACGTATAACATCACATAACAAACCGGGCGCATGCCCAACATAACATAAATACGAGGCTAATATTGTCACACCTTTCCTCCAACAAAAGAATAAACAGAACAGTAACATAATAAAATAATTGTTTTTAAAGTTTGCTAATCAGAAGTTGTGGCCAGCGAGGTAGTCAGGCCGAATTACCTTCCTGCCACTCCTTGTCGTTATTGGCTGGTAAAAGTTCAATTGCCTGTGATCAAATCTGGTCCCAGCAGGTCTGGCGGCTGCTGTTTCTTCTTCAGTGGCAACAGGTCGTGAGTGAGGTGCCTCTTGCGGATCAAATTGCTACATTTCAGATTGGTGATCTTCATAAGGTCGAGCCACTGCTTCTCGTTCCTTTCTGGGGAAAATAAGTAAATCTTCTTCATTTGCGTAGAATGGCTCTTTGGTTTGACCTAGAAACTTTCGATTTCGTCTGAAGATTCTTCCATCTTCGGTTTTTATATTATAAGATCTTACACCAACTTGCTCTATGACACATCCTTTGGTCCAGCAGCCTGTTCTGTCATAATTTCTTGGTTTTATCCGGACTACATCATCCTTCCTTATAATACTTTGATTGTATTTCTTTCCTCTTTCGAAGTTGTTCTTGGACACCAGTGACAACCTTTGGTTTAAGGAGCTTCTTCGACATGGGAAGCAGTGTTTTAGCTCGTCTGCTAAAAATACGCCAGGAAGGCGAGCTTTCCATCCCCTCAGACGGCATGTTTCGCCATTCTAGTAGCACGAGATAGAAGTCATTGCCAGATTCAGTCGCTTTTTTCATTAGCATCTTTGCAGTTTTGACGGCATTTTCTGCTTTGCCATTACTTTGTGCGTACTCTGGCGAGCTTAGCTCGGTGGTAAATTCATATTCCTTGGTAAAATCCAGAAATTCTTTAGAGGAGAAAGGTACATTGTCACTCGTGAGCTTATCTGGTATGCCATGAGTAGAGAAGTGTCCCTTGAGCTTCTTCTTAATTTCCCCAGCAGTTTTGTAAAATAGACGATCTATCTCAAAGTAGTTGGAGTAGCAATCCACAGTACAGATAAAGTCTTTGTTGTTGACTGTGAAAATGTCAGTAGCAATTATTTGGCAGGGGCAGCTTGGGATTTCACGAGGAAAATGGGGCTCTCTGGCCTGGTTGTTTTGGAATGTGTTACAGATTTCACATTTCGAGATGAAGTCGATAAGATCTTTGTTTATGCCAGGCCAGTAAACTGCTTCTCTGGCTCTTCTGAGGCAGCTCTGTATTCCTCTGTGTGTTACATGCAGTTTATCCCGGATCTTTTTGCGCAGTGTTACTGGAACAACTGCTCTCTGACCCTTGAATATTACGTCATCCTGTGTTGCTAGCTCGTTTCTTATTGAGAAGTATGGATGAATACATCGAGGAAGGGTCTCTTTTCTTTCTGGCCACCCATTCAAAATTATTTCTTTCAGTGATTGTAAAGTGCTGTCACATTTGGTTTCTCGCTGTATTTCCTTCAACTGTTGCTCAGAGATGGTAAGATTCTCATCGTATGATTGCAATCTTAGTAGCAGAGGCGAGTGGTTTGCTGACGATTGAGACAAGTGATTTGTGACCCGTCAAAAGTGTAATCTCTCTGCCATAGACATAGGTATGGTGATGTTCCACTCCAAATACTTGTGCAAGCAGCTCCTTCTCTATTTGGCTGTAATTTTGCTCTGCAAGGGTGATGGCTCTGCTTGTAGATGACACGGGACGTCCCTCTTGCATGAGCACGAAACCAAGCCCCTTTGATGATGCATCAGCCTGGCCTTCTGTTGCTGCCTTTTGGTCAAAATACTTTAGAACTGGTGCCTCGCAAATGGCCTTTTGTATGTCAGCAAAAGACTTGTCGTGATCTTCTCCCCATACCCATGGTGCATCTTTGTGGGTCAAAGTTCTCAGAGGTTCGCATACTTCAGATAGTCTGGGAAGAAACTTGGCCAGGTATTTACCATGCCAATGAACCTTTGTACACCAGCGACATCTCTCGGCTTTCTCATCTTTGTGATGGCTTCAACTTTTGCGGAGTCTATCTTAAGACCATTCTGTGTTGGTGTATGAGGGAAACTTCATCGCACTTGAACTTGAATTTGTCTTTGTTCAACTTGATTTTTTTTGTTGACAGTGTTTCAAAAGTACCAGCATGTTCATGTCATGATTTTTGACAGCTTCTTCGTATATTTCTCCTCTTCCGGTAACAAGAGCATCGTCAGCGACTGCATACACCCCAGATAGGCCTTCAATGCACTGATCAAATTTGTGTTGAAAATGTTCTGAATCTGGTTTAATTCCAAATGGCATCCTGAGGTGTCTGAAACGCTGTGAGCATGCTTGATTCTTCGTCGAGCTCTATTTGAAGGTACCCTTCCTTCAGGTCGATTTTGCTGAATACCTTGACACCTTCTAACTCTGGTACCACATCCTCAATCAGCGATAACGGATGATGACTTCTTTTCAATGCTTTGTTGAGGTGTTGTGGATCGATGCATACCCTAAATTTCCCAGTGGTTTTTCTGCAATGACGAGATTTGATACCCAATCTGTTGGACTTGTAACTTTCTGAATGACATGAAGATTTTCCAGCCTTTCCAATTCAGCCTTGAGTTTTGCTTTAAGAGCGATTGGTACTCTGCAAGGCGGCATGGCAACAGGGATTTGTGACTCATCAACATCTAAGTGTAACTTGCCTGGCATGTGACCCAAACCTTCAAAGACATCTCCAAAACGGTTCTCTATATCTGCAATACTGAGTAGAGCCTCTGTGGTAGTCGATAAAACCGTTGGTTGTGCCTGTTGATGTGTGCTGTTTGAAGCAATACTGTTAGAGCGAACATTATCTACATTTGCGTTAATAATATTAGCATAATTAACAGTCAGTAGTCCCATCTTTTGTGCTGCATTAGCTCCTAATAATGGTACATAGTCACCTTTTACAACAACAAATCTGACAGTGTACTCAGTCTGGTTCTTTGGGTTTACTACCTTAAGTTTACAAATACAATTCAATAAAGCTTGGCTGTACAGGTGCAAAGAGTGATCCGATTTTTCAACTTTTGTGCCTGGAGGAACAAAGTGTTCTGGAAGAACATTACAGGTAGCACCTGAGTCAAATTGAAAACTAATATGTCTGCCTTTTATAATCATGGAGGCAAAAAATTTTTTTCTTAGGAGGGGACTGGGACACAGCATTGATTGCCAAATTATTTTTGGGTGAAATTTCAACAATGAGAATTTCATCATCACTTGTTTTCTTCCTTTACTGCATGTATTTTGGCTTAAGAAAATGTATCTCTCATACCTGGTGATTTCTTCAAGCTGCACTTCTCAACAAAATGGTTTCTCTTACTACAACCAGAACAATATCTGCCGAAGGCTGGGCAACTCTCTTTGTTTCTTTTATGGCTACGCCCACAAAATTTGCAGTTGGAAATAAAACCTCTTGTGTCTCCAGTGTTCTCCTTAGGCTGCTTTGCTTTCCAACATAATGGGCCATGAGGTCATGATTATCAGCTTGGTCAGCCATTATTTTTGCTTGAGCAGTAGTTGTTTCTGTGGCCCTGCATAAGTCAATGCGTTTAGATAATGAGAGTTTTGGTTCTTGCAGTGAATTTGGTTCAGAAGAGGAAAGTGAGTGTATAGGTTGTGGAGACCCAAAAAATACCGTTGTTTTAGCCTGACAACTAGCCCATTATTTGGCTACCATTGTTTGAAATGCCGTGCTTTCGTTTGCAAAAAAATCTAGAATGCTCAGTTTTTGTGTATGAAAGCTGCCCTGGCTGGAAACAAGCTGAAAGCATGGCTCTGTGTAAAACAATTGATGGCGAAGAAGTGTATTCCATTGATGACGATGATGAGGATGATGTGGAATTAGAAGGAGTTAATGGTATTACAGAATCGATAGAAAAAGAGAGCAGTTTGAGATAAAATGTGGATCTCGTGGTTTTCACCAATACAGAAAATTTTGAAAGTCGTACATGAAAGAGGCAATCTTTACGATCCTTATGCAATGGCTTTGCGCATTATGACAAGAAGGACGCTGGACGGACATCGCGTCATCGGGCATTTGCCAAGGGAGATCAGCCGCTTTTCGAAGTTTTATTACGACTATGGAGGGAAAATGGAGGCCTTTGTATCAAGCATAGCCTTTAGAAGGTCTCCAATACCACAGGGTGGTCTGGAAATACCGATTGTCTTGAAGGTTTTTAAATCTAACGCACCAGACAGAATTTTCGACATTATGAAGGAGAAAGTAAACTCGTACTATACTGAACCGGATCAAATTCAATTCAACAACCAAGATTTTAGTGATATTAACATTTAAAGTAATAGTACAATGCGAATTTCGCAAAAAATAGTACAACGCGAATTTAAATACACCTGAGGTAGCCCCCTGCTAGCCCAATGGATGCGCGGTGCCTAGTTAATGCTCTGGACACGAATATCCTTTCACAACAATACGACATTAAGGGTTTTCGCCGATATTCGTTTTTCAACAGTGTAACAAATTTATACAAACTTTCAAAAGCGTATCAAATTTCTGTTATTCTTTTCTTCGTAAGCATATGCTTATGAGACATGCCTTTAAACAACTAAAAAATCACTTTGTTTGTGCCTTAAACTTACAAAAGTTAGCCATTACAAAGTGTATGCCTAATGTAGATGTATTTTTACCAGAGGTTTATTTTTTTAAACTTTTAATGTGTGAAAAGATATTATTTTACTAGCAAATCGCACTTGTCCTTCATTTATTGCAGTTAGGTCTTCACATTTTCTTAAAAATATTACAGTCACTCTGGTGGGTGGCAAGCGTAACTCACAACAAAGTTAGTATAGTATACTGCATTTCATTTCTTACTGCGTGAATAGTGATGTTATGTTGGACATTATAAAGTTTGAAAATGATTACGTCACAAAAATCTATTTTTAGAATTTTTAGATTTTGACCACATAACCTGAAAGAGCATTCCAAAATGATTGCGCAAAATCAGTAAAATGCGATACCAATTGGCTGCGATACAGCAACATTAGCACGGTAAAATAATGGCTCTCCGTTTGCAAACTTTAATCTTTCACTGGGCATGTCTAACCCAATAGCAGTAATAGTGATATTTCGTGGTATTCTTTAAGGTTACGTTGCCAGAATGAATCTATAAGTATATTTTGATGACGTCACACTTTGGTACTCCCGTTCGTGGCATTCGTGGCATCGTCTTCTGTTTTTATGTATTTTATGAAGCATGCGTTCGCTGCTCTTAATAATTTGAAATACCACTTCGTCGTGAAACGTTGTGAGCATCACAATAAACCCCCTATTCAAAATTTGAGCTGTAAACCTTTTCTGTGTGTCAATGTGTCTCTGAGAATTCTTAACCTTTTAGTTTTTTATTAATGACAGATCACGTTCCTGAAGTGTTCTGTTGCAAAAGTCAATTCTATTCACGGATAAATGTCTTTTTTAGCAGCTCCAGTCAAACATTTTTCATAAATCAAATTCTGTAAGCTTCCGTTTTCGAAGAGTACCGTTTTATATATCGTAACTGAACATTAATGTTTTGCATATCTTGATTTTAAGAATTCGAATTTCTTGACTGAACGTAACATGGAAAGCGTCTTCCGAGAGTCCATGACACCGAATAACTAGGCTCAAGATGACCGAAAGTTAAAGATATTCCAACTGGCTGAGGCTAGTGTCCGATCGCTAGATACAACCAATTTAATATTCTACATTTATGCATGTTACATAATTTACTTTAAACTTGAAACAGATAAAATGTAGTATATAAAGGCTGAAAATAAGTTATAGATTAGGAACGATTAAAGAAAACTTCGAAGCTGAAATTTTGAGAGTCAGAAGTCGCAAAACCGCAATCGGCATTGAACTAATGCGCATCCGCACATAAACGACCAAGTACCCGGTTATAAGAAAAAGGAATTATTGCTAGAAGCAACTGGATGACATGTTTTTATGCCTTTATCCAGTTTCTCAGAACAAGAACAAGCTGCAGCGTTGATCCAAACCTTGCTGGGTATCTATTGACTGTCTCTTTTCTTTGAAACGCATCCACATCCTTAAAGCTGCATGTGTACGGTTGTGTACGGTTAAAGGCATTGAGTCATGATAAAATGGATTGGGTATACCCTAAGTGCCAAAATCCGCTGAGTCGTGATTTTCATGACTGCCATGCTATTGGTTGACCTGGAACTGATCACATGAACTCACCTCGTACTGATTGACAAAGCAATTTTCATCAATAGCAAGTTGTCAACAACGGATGCAAATATCACATGAAACAGCAGCGATCACGCCGAAACCAAATGACCATGACTCAATGCCTTTAAAGACGTAAGACGCGTGCTAAAGCTGCAATCCGCTAAAAAACATTTCCTAGGCCGTACGAAGAAATAGGGACCTCGAGGCCGTGAAGCCGTTATTTAATTTAAAGTTTCCCTATTAAAATATTGTATACTGTTTCGATTCTTCTAAGATGTTGGTATTCGTAGCTACAGCCTCGACGATTGAGAATAGGCTTTTGATAATTTGTTTCTTTTAGAAGGTTCTTGAGAAGTAGAAACTTTGTCGACATGTCATTGTTGAAATTATTGTGGATTGTCTTCTCCACGGTGCTATCATTTTTGTGTCATTCTTATAGGCAGCTGGTGAAAACTGGTATGTCACAATTTTCTTAAGTATAGTTAGGCCATTTTGTTAGATACCCCTTAGCCCATTCATTGTTAGGATTTTCTCTATTTTCTTTTTTGCATATCATTAGCTGTGGCATACCTCTCGTTCATACGACATATGTCTCGCGTCATAGCATTGTCTCATGTTAGCGACGCCCCCTTCCATTGTTTATGTTGTAGGTGCGGGATTTTCCCAGCATTGCTTAGGCCTAGTCATAGGTTACTCATTCTCATCCCTATGTTGTTGTTCTACCATTTGCGTAGTTTTCTATCATTTTTGCATACATTTGATTTAGATATGTTACTTTCTTTTACTTGTTATCGGTAAGTTACCATAATCATCGTGTATTGCTAATTTTAGATTCCATTCGTACATATATACAAGTTGTAGTTTAAGTAGAGTCAGTTGGATAGAGACAGGAGAAGCTATTTGAACGAAACTCTGTCACTCGTCATAAGGCTTTAGGTTAGGTTAGGGCCTAGTATTCTTCGTATGTTTTATTTGTATTTAGGTGTCTGAGTTATAAACACAGTTTTCTCTGGTGTTTTACTCTCTGGGTTTGTGACAGGTATTTCTTTGATTAGCCACCGTCAGTTTTTACAGACCCGTTCACAGGCCCGTCGAGAACAACACAAAGAAAGATGAAGCCGTTGATGACATTATTAAACTGTAGTTGTTAATGTTGTTGTTGTTGTTGTTGCTGTTGTTGATGTTCTTGTTATTTACCATATGTTATTTACCTGGTTATAATTTTTGGCCCTTTCAGCTCGGGGTCTGGGCACTTTGCCCCCCCCCTGCCCCCTCTCAGCGGGTCTGAATGTTCATATTTGCGGGAAATTCGCCACGCTATTGCTATCAAAAAATAAGTCGTTATGCATCACAAAACACTGTTCGTGTATCTTTGTCTTCAGGACAAGCCATGGAAATAAATCCTTTCCTTCAATGAAGATCTTGCTAGCCAATTGGTTTTACAAAAAGCAACATGGTTGTGGCTTTTAAAACAAAAGGATATCAATCAAATCTTATCGAAACTTTAAGTGTTTTTTTTTAAGCAAGCAGTCGTGTAGAATGTGTTTGTGTAGTCCTTTACAGATCAATGTTTCGGTTGTTGATGGTTCTCTGTTTATACGAAATTCAGTGGCGAATGAAACAATTGAAAATTATTAACCAATGAATTGCAGCTTTCTTTAATCCCGGAGGGCATAATTGAAATCTGTGGTTCTCGTATCGCTAGTTGAAAAAAGGTTTAGCGCACCATATGTGATTTTGAGTTTTCTTGGGAATGATGCCACACGTTTAATTGTGTCATAATATATATTTAGCATAAAGGATGCAGGCACGCACACAAATGCAAGATCGCTCCTTCTATTTGAGTACTTCGATTCGTCATCATGATTGCCCACGTGTTATTGTATTTAGTATATGCATGGCTGGTTGTGACGTCAAGAAAGTCAAACCTCTCTTCTCGAAACTAGATCTGTCCTACTATGTACACACTGCGTATCTTTACTATTGCCTATTCAATGGAATCTGAAAATTAGGTATTTAATCTGAATAGCTAAACAAACGGAAAATCATAATAGGAATTATGCGTTGTTTCAAAGTTGGATTACCATAACGAATTGGCTTGTGCAAGAAGCTGTTGTCGTAAGCCGGGTTCTAAGTAAATTAACATGAATGATTGACATTTGATAAAGAAGCTAATGTTTACAAGCAGCCAGCAGATTGTTTGCAATCGCTTTTACGTTGGTTCAAGAAACATTGACGTTATTTCAAAGACAACTAGTCTACTAGACACCGCTACAACGACTAACGATGTTTTCAGCTGGACTTTCTGGGTGTGATTTTGATTCATTTATGTGATATAGGTTTTCATACCAATAAGGAACAGAAGCCGCAAATTTATTGAGTTATCCTAGTTGAAGGACAGGTGCGTGCAAAGGAAATCTCAATTGACCATTAATCCTTTGCTTGCAGGCCTGTGTGGATCTTCGCTCTTGCTCCCAACGACCGAACTGGTATTTTTTCAGTTAATCGAGGTAAAGAAACAGAACCTATCGCTTATCCAATTTGATATCTCGATGAACCTTATAGATGGAAAAACATACAATGAAGTTTGATTGAGTTGGTGAGTAGAGGTTTCCAGATTATCACTGTGGAATTGGAATGAAGAATATATGAAATAGTGCGTTGTGATAAATTGTGGACGCGAGAAGGAATTGCAACATTTCAATTCAAGTTGATGTCGATCAGAAGTCAAGAAATATTTCGATAACAAATAAGTTCGTCCATTCGTCAGATTGAGCCAGTAAGCTATCTACTCTGCTATGCTGTCGACAATTACTGTAAACACTGTTATTACAAAACTCAAGGTTTGTTCGTGGTAAATTAAATCATACACCTGCTAATTTATTTAACGGTATAAACACAGACGCATTGGCAGCTAAAGTCTTTGGAGAATTATTCTGAATAATCGGTCATATTGCTTATGGATTCGCTCTGATTACATATTTGTCTGGTCTAACCCGTATCTGGAGCATAGTTGCTAGAACTTAGCAATATCATGTTTCTATTTTTGACCTATTGTTGATCGCCATGTCAGCCACAAATGCAAAAACGAACGTCAATTACTCGACCCAAAACGGTCACAATACTACAGAGGAAAACGAGGAAGAAAGCCAAAGGGAAAAACTAACGAAAATGTGGGTCGAAAGCCAGATCCGTGGCAAGCAGCTGATGACTTCAGGAACCTTGCCCAAAAGAGAGGCGTTTGAAAATCGCCGTCTGAGAAATTTCCATAATCCTTCTGCAAAAGCCGATGGCAACGGAAATCAGGGAGAGGATCGGTATAACCTGCAAGAAGAACAGCGTAGCCAAAGTCATAAAGAGCAATGTTATGAAATCGATATACAAAAAGGAGAATTGGATACAGATCTTGATAATGATATATTTACAGATCTATCTGGAATGACACTTCATCAGAAAATTGAAGCCCTTCAATTATCCAGAGATGGACTGCATCTTCCGTTAATATCAAAATCACCCTTCACGTCACCTGTCGGTTCGCCGGCGCTTTTCCCACGAAACAGCTTTATGAACGGTGCCGACACTTCGCCGGCCTCTTCTTCAGGAAATTCACCCCAGATCTCGCCAAGAATGAAACTAAATAGCTCGTTGCCAAGAAATTTCAGAGATCAATTTTCAAGAGAGACACGATCACTACCTGGCAGCCCCGTATTTCGTAGGGGTAAAGCAATGCAGCCAGCTGATCCGTTGGATAAAACAACTGCACAAAATAACGATTCGTTTAGGGGAGACCAACAGGATCCGGAGCTCATTTTAAGTTCAAGCCACAGAGATGTTTCTCCTCAAGGAAGAACGGGGCTGGCATCGCGAGAAAGCCTTACGGCGAACAAGCTTTCTTTCAGCAATGCAAGAACAAATCTAAGACGACCAGGGACACCAGTAGCCAGAGATCTTCGACCTAGCTTGGGTTTAGGGCAATTTTCTAGGTCCTTGTCGGACTTGAATTCCATCAGGGAGGCAGACTCAGAAACGAAAGTAAAACGTAGCAGGCCTCTGCTGCTGCCTAGCATTGGAAATTAATTACATTTTCAACATTTACTGGAAGATAACTACTTGGATATGTCAAGATTATCAAGACAAAAGAAAATTGAGTTTAACGACAGTAGAATCCAGGCATAACTTATCTTGCTTCAAGGAAGTATAGGACAAATTTTCTGAGATTTCATTTTAGAAACTAACATCGTTTTTAGAGCATTCAATAATTTATTTTCATCTCTTATCAAACCCAAGGTACCCAACAGGGTTTTGATTACCCTATTTTGCAACAAATGGCATTGCTGGATACTTTTTTGGGGGGATCCGGCGTTGTAGGATACCTAAAGTTTGTTTTTTTAACGAATATATTTTTATCACCTTAGTGTTCGCTGGGATATCGTTAATAATTTAGATCAAGTTTTTCACCCAAATTTTCGAGCAAATTATCTTTGAAATCAAAAGTTTTGTTCTCTAATGGAGTATGCAGCAAATTTCGTTTGCTACCAAATCAAATATCATATTTGCAAATAATGAGCGTAGCATGACCCCAGAAGCCATCACATTCTTACTGCTTTTTATTTGCGGTCAATATTGAGTTCATCAGTAGCTTTGTATTATAATGGCTGTTTGACCTTTTAGTACAGGTTATAGCAGTGACAGAACAAAACTCCAAGGTGACGTCGGGTGGATAATCAGACCACGCCCATTTGATAGTAAGAAGACCCTTTGAAAACAAGCAGCCCTAATATAGCTTTATTTTGCTTACGCGGTAGTTTCAAAATCCTAGGGAAAAATTACGATTCTTCTCGCAAATATTACCATTCCCCTGATACTTTCTTGTAGGATTTAAGCGAATCCTAAAATCGTCCGGCCCAGGATTTAGAGACACTCTCTTCTCTTGGCTATGCCCCTGTTGTGACAATACCATGGTATCGTCGTGACTCAATTCTGTCAATGTTTAATGTTTGACCTTTTTGTCAACTTACAAAGTCAATTAAAAATCTTAACTTCAATTTTTAACTGAATTATTTATTGCTAAATACAGTACTGTTATCAAACTGTCAAAGCTGTCATTTTTTAGTACCTGATCCTTTTCAAGGAGATTTGCCACACACAAAGCCCCTTACCGTCATAAGTAATGCCTCCTTAACCTGAATGGGGAAGTCCATTTGACGCGACTGTAACTTTTCTAACCTAAACAAGTTTGAGATAATATAATGTGTAAGAACAATAGCAAAAACGTTAGATTTAGGAATAAACACGAAAGGTGGCCGCGACATGAAAAGTCCAAGAATATGAAGAAATGAAGAAAATGCAATCTTGAAAAGTACCTCAAGGATAAACCCGATTCATTTCTGATGAAAGAGTAAACAATGTATATATGATCTCGTATGATCGATATCTCTAAAAATTTCGCTGATCTCTTTGTTCCTTGGATGCCCCCACTTCCAATTAAAAGCGCCCTAAAATCACAACAGGATTGTCTGAATTTTAAGACCCTCCGATCTACGCAATTTTCTTGTATGATGTGAATGTATAGATGGAGATTTATAGTTAGAAGGAAAAGCGTCCAACAGTAACATTCGCCAGAAACAATGGCTTAATGAGATTAAATGAAATATTAAGCAGTATTTCTGAGAATTTGCTCACTTTTTAAAGAACTTCTGTCAATTCTATAGAACAGCTCCTCTGTTTACCAATTTTATTTGACTAACCATTTTAGATAAGAGGTACTCTGGGTTCCAGAGCCCCAATGGAAGAGTACACTCGAACGTTGAAAAGCCATTCGATCCAACACTTCCACTGAGGACGGAATCCCAGTCAAATTGTGTTGAGAGTTTGCACCTCCTCCCCACGTTCATCGTTGATAACTCTGCTCTTAAAGTACATGCGTACCAATTCTAAATAGGGAGTAGGGACTATGGTAGGAAGAATATGCTTGAAAAATATATATATTCTACCCTGCATGTGTTTCAGGCGATTGTCTAAGATTGTTGGGATGTGTGATTAACAGTTCTTAATCACAGCAACCATATTAACACTATAATACGCCAATTACCAAAATATCAATGGAAATGATTGTATCTTTAGTAGCGTCAACCCTATTAAAAATCCTTTTAAAATATCAAACGGTTTTTGCACTTCATAAAGTTTAAACTGTAGAGTATGCAAACTTAGCATGCAAACTCAGTATGCAAACTTTGAGTAAATGAACATGTAAAGAACGAATGCGGAATATAGATCGTTTCGAATTTCGCAACGTTTTCTCTTTAACAGTGTGAAAAGGAAGCACTTTTTGAAAAGAGACGAAGAGAATCGAAACGAAAACAGAGAAAATGCGTAGCAGTGCTTACTTTCGTTTCCTACTGTTGAAACGCGGAACGGAATCGCTAAACGATTCTAGACAAAGATCGTATGCCTGCTTCTTGGGGCAAAACGGGTAGGAATTTCATGTGGTTGATTCTCTTGCCCACCCTTATTTAACCTTATCTATTTTCTTAGTACTCTTGAGACCGCTTTGGCACGTACAACGCATTGGTACTGATCCTATTAATGACCTCACTGGCGTAAATTTCCCACTCAGAACTCACTTAGGCCTGGTTCAAACGTCGCATTTCTCATGTGCCGAGCCTAACTCTGTTTGGAGCGACACTTGAGCATGTTTAGCGCGACTCCCGTTTCAAACGTCGAACTTAATCATGTCGCGCCAAATGGGTTTTAGGATTGTTACATGAAGTATCTTGGTTAAGGCGCGCAATCTCAAAAATTTAATTGAAACGCATGCACCCTCCAAGAAAGAAATGAATTCTGGGAAGGAAAATAAATTAAATATAATTATGCATTGAGTTCGGTGCATGACAAGTTCGACGCTTGAAACTGTGCCGTGCTGGAACCGTGCAGCTCGGCAAGCTCTGCCGATCCAAACTAGTCTGCCGCTCCTAACTAAATCTGCCGTACCAAATCGATTCAAACGTCGCGCCCCTCATGTACTTAATTCTCGAGCTAGGTTCGGCACATGAGAAGCGCGACGTTTGAACCAGGCCTTAGCCTCTAGAGAATTTATAACAACTACCTTACTCTAGCATTTAATAGCACAAAAGTAAATACCCGCGTGTTTTTTCCTCTTGAGAAAAATCGTCTAATAAGCAGGGCTTAGAAGAACGACTAGATAATAACATTATAACAGAATTTAAAAGAATTGGAGTGAAAATAATAAAACAGACAACTTCTATCAGAATGTTTGGTAAGCAAACCTTTCAATTTAGTTTTCTTTTTGAAAAGAAATTAATGATGAACAGATAACACAATCTATAAGGCTGGTGGACACTAGTTTCATTTAGGCCGTCAAATTGAGCTTGCTTTGCCGTTGATGTTATCAAAATCCAGTAAACTCCAAAATTATTGTTTTTTCATTAGAAAAGATATCTAAAGATTTAGACTGTCTTACAATATATCCAAAAGCTATAAGAGTTTGCAATAAGATACTGTCATACGTTTTAAGTGCGGTATAAGACTTGGTTCAAACCACCCGGCCTTTGTGTTCCAAAGAAGACAGGCTCTTGCAAGTTCTCCTGGTTGAAAGGGAATAAAGCAATCCGTTCAAGCCAATATTGAAACTAATGGTTTTACGTAGGCATGTTGCAGATTGACTGTGTAAATTTACATTGATTAACGCAACTATAGAAAATGGGAAGATCATAAACTGCAGTAACGACATATTTTTGTTCTATTTACATGACTAAAGTCTTTCAAAAAGCCGTTCATCGTACACCCAGTATTCATATCAATTTCTTGAAATGCTAGATTTCTTGCTTTTTGTTGAAGAAACAGTATAAAGGCAGAGCTTTGATCAGGCAGAGCAACACCCATTTAACGCTCAAAAACTACTTTGATTACAGCGGACAATGATCTGACCCCCCTCTTTTGCTTAAAATTGTTTTCACTGAATTTAAGCGGATCTACCGGGCTAATCATTTTTATAATCCAGTCTCTTGCAACGTAAGCTGCGCCATTACACCTGCAATAGTTCCAAATGAGTGGCAGTAATCGGGACGAAATATACTATTCGGCAAAAAATTATTAAACAAGGATTGTCGAAGGAAAGGATTTGGTAGTAAAGTTGGATGCATATAAAGCAAAATTATCGTCAACTATAAGATGTAAAGAAAGATGAAATGAAATGACATTTCTAGGTAGCAGCTTGGAGAGGGAGTGTAAAAATAGTGACATTGGTATGGACACACACTTGTGAATAGTTTCAACTCGTTTCGATTTTCTGAAAATGCTTGTCATTGATATTCCGCAAAGTACAATCACGTGTGTGGATACACCCCATACTGGGATACTGTTATCTCAAAGGTGTGTCTTCCAAGCATCCTTAGCTACGAAAAGGGGCCAAAGACTTTTACACTGAGTAGAGATTTGACAAGATCTTATTTTTTACCAGCGCAAAGGATTGCAAAACCAAGTTTTTTTATTCCCTATTTCTATCGCTATTCTTTTACTTCAAGTTTACGAAAGAGTTGGATAGATAACATCAATGTACGCAAGGGGCAAATCACTGCTTAAAATCACGTACTCTCTCAAGAATAATCACACTTTAATCACAAATGAATCACATTAATAAAAAAAACAAATTAATCACAAAGTATATCATTAATCATAAAAGTTACTTGAAATAAATATTAGAATCCTTGCCAACTTTTATCCGGATTTGCTATTGAAAAATTCAATATTTAGAATTTTTCCTTTCACACTTTTCCAATCTTTTCATGAACACGTTAGAAAGTCTGCAAACACACGCTCGAGAACAACAAGCTTTTATAAGTACCCTGCAATGGAGCAAAAAAACGAAGGCCTCGTTATGATGCCGGGGTCACTGAAACAACCATTGCTGTTTTTGTTGCCCAAATGCCATCGAAGTTGATCTGACCGGAACCACGCCTGATAGCAGTCATTTTTCACCCATTGCTACAGGGGCGGATCCAGACAGTTCCAAATTTCGCAGTTGCAGCTGTTACATTTATGGGAAATGATTTATGTCAGATTCTTGCAATTTCCACAGATAAAGTTTGATAATCAGGTTCCATACTTCTGGAACTTGTAATTTTTTATATCGGTGAAAGTTTCAGGAAAGACAGTTTAATTTCCCAATAGCGATACTACTTGCAGGGTGTTCAACAACTGTTCACTGTTTTTTTCATTCCAGGCTATTTGGATCCATATTGCTAATGCTATTGTTAAGGAAAGATAGCTTTTTTGATGCATATTCAAATTCTTATGACAAAAGTTGACGGCCCACAGAAAAGAGCACATGCATTTGTCTTAATGTCTCATTCAAAGTGATCAACAACTCTTCACTGTTTTTTCATTCCAGGCTATTTGCTTCCATGTTGCTAATGCTAATGCTCAGGAAAGATAGCTCTTTTGATACAAATTCAAATTCTTATGACAAAAGTTGACGGCCCACAGAAAAGAGCACATGCATTTGTCTTAATGTCTCATTCAAAGTGATCAACAACTCTTCACTGTTTTTCATTCCAGGCTATTTGCTTCCATGTTGCTAATGCTAATGCTCAGGAAAGATAGCTCTTTTGATACAAATTCAAATTCTTATGACGAAAGTTGACGGCCAACAGAAAAGAGCACATGCATTTGTCTTAATGTCTCATTCAAAGTGATCAACAACTCTTCACTGTTTTTCATTCCAGGCTATTTGCTTTCATGTTGCTAATGCTAATGTTCAGGAAAGATAGCTCTTTTGATACAAATTCAAATTCTTATGACGAAAGTTGACGGCCCACAGAAAAGAGCACATGCATTTGTTTTAATGTCTTTCACAAGGTGTTCAACAACTGTTCACTGTTTTTTTCATTCCAGGCTATTTGCTTCCATGTTGCTAATGCTAAAGCTCAGGAAAGTTTGCTCCTTTGATACAAATTCAAATTCTTATGACGAAAATTGACGGCCAACAGAAAAGAGCACATGCATTTGTCTTAATGTCTCATTCAAAGTGATCAACAACTTTTCAGTTTTTCACTTCAAGCCACTGACACCAACCTATAATACTGATTTAATATTTTGCTAATGCTGCTGTTCAGAAAATATATCTCTATTTTTAGTTTGCACCTTTTTCGTTTGCAAATCTGCAACTTTCAAATTTTTTTCTGGATCCACCCCTGTGCTGAACTGCTAATTTTTTTTCTTAATTTCATATAGCGTGTTGCAAAATCGTTGACGACGTTTATTGAGCATGAAACTATTTGAGAGCACTTTTGAATCTATGATTCAGTTTCTAAAGAATCAAAAATTAATAAAAATAATTAATCACTTTTATCACTAAAAATCAAATTTATCACACACAAAATTGATTTAATCACAAATTAATCACTAGTGATTATCAATCTCGTACACCATTTTCAAGAGTGATTTGCCCCTCGAATGTACGTGCCTTTACTGTTTGACAGAGCTACCATCAATGCATAATACATTCTCTCTTTAAAAGAATGACATTTATATGAGTATTCAGGCTCCGAAATATCCATCTTTTAAGAATATTGTAAGAATGTTGCTCAACCTCAGCTTGATATTTGCGTCTGTTTTTCAGCTTGTGCCTGTCTTACAGTTGTTTACTGTTATAATGGCTAAAACCTCTAAATCCTATCATTACCTTTAAATTACATAAAACTGCTTTGCTATGTTCACGTGAAACCATTTGAACAATACGATACGAAGAACATACAAAACGAAAATATCTTTACGATATTGAAGCTGGAAAATTCTTGGTATGTTTAATAGACTGTTCTTCGCCATTTACCCACAAAGCCAAATGTCCATATCTCGAAATAACAAAACTGTTATATTCTCAGGGTTGGCAAGCCGAGTTAGAGATTTTATCTTACACTTTTGTTAGCCGTGAGTAGAATCATTTTTCTTTTACAGAGAAAGCTTATCGTATTTATATCGAAAAAGTAAAGCAGGCTCTGGTTAGAAAACCTACCATAAATGTGAGCTGGTCTTGAATAAAGCCCTATGCCTGTACACATCCTCAATGATACGTTAATCCTCATCTAAGACCAAAAACCATCTGTTTTATCGACCAGGTAAAAAAAATAAGCTGGCTCATTACCAGCTAATAAACATCCGTAACAGAGAATACACCAAAAGTAAACCAGGTAAACAAACTATCATTTTATCTGAAAGTCTTACAATATTATATTTTAAGCAATGTCTACAAATCAGATCGACTAAGCCTCGGTCCTTTTTTCTCTTTCCTTTTGGTTTTCTTTCGACTTTCTTTGCTTTTTTGAGTCTTTTCCATTTTTTCTCTAGCCTCCTACGACAAATAAACAACGTTTCTCATACAAAAGGCACATGTGAAAACAAATTAAATCCAGAGGCATAACCAAGCCGGTTTAGCCGTGAATACAAATTAATTTCGAAACATATTCAATCTCCAGTTTTAAGTTCATGGAGGATGCTTTTATAAAAAGATTTTGTCAAAAAAATTTTCAAAACGCAAGATCTTAGATCTCCTAAAATGCGCCTTAGCGTTTCGTCACCCCTCCACAAGTGTTGCATGACACTTATTCTCAGGCTTTCTCAAACTAATAGATGCCCAGATGGAGCCACTCGACTATCATTTTTTTCAAAAAAAACAAAGGCATGTAAAATTTCAAGAGGAGAGAGACAAATAAAACTTTAAACAAAGCCAGGTGTAGGAAAGAAGAGCCATCAGAGGTGGGGGATCGAAAATTTTTCGAGGTACCTTACTATAACAAAACCATAAAAAATAATGCTTAGAGCTGCATGAAAAAATCATTTAAGGAAAGCGCCTTCTGTTACCCTTGTTCCTCCTTTTCGGCACAAAAATTCTTTGATAATAGAGAACGAAATTTTGGACTATCCGGATTATATGAGGGTTTAATTCATGACGGGAGGAGTCTCTGAGGTTGTTTTTGTTTAAATGTATGCAACTGATAGAGACGTACTAATAATTCTGTATTTTTGAGCGAATATTTGGTCAGCTGGCATTTCTAATGGGTAAAAAATGAATGGTGGAACTCCCAAAGATAAAGACAAAGGAAGATCGAGAGGGCATTGACTGATTTGTCTGGGCTTGCAGGCATACGGGGCACTGTTTTTCTAATGGGTGAACAATGAATAGTGTGGTCTAAACCAATTAATGAATAGCTCGGTCTAAACCAATCAATGTACTGGTGTCTTGATCACTGAACAGCTAAATTGATATCAGCATTTCATGAGCCGTTTCAAAAAAAATGCAAGCAACTGACACACTGCTTTTAAGAGAAAATACGTATGTCGGTGATGATATTCGCTGTACAAGCCGGTAGCATCAGAAAATTTGATTGACTACACAGCTATTTTCAAAGAATAATCGAGAATTTGCAATATCAATGTGTTTTCAGATCAATTACGATGAACCATGTCTAAGAGATAAATTCTCGTTAAAAGTAAGAGCCTACGAATACCATTCTCCAAGAAATTGATCCACTCATGTGAACCTGGATAGTTCAAAATATACAAAAAACCTAAATTAATTTTTTATCGACATACAATAAAGGCAATATCAAAGATTTGCATTCTTGCAAAATTCAGACTTCTTTCTAGCAAAGATTGAGCACACAATTAGAACACAGTTAATGTTTATTCTATTTTTAACATATAGCTTAGAGTCCTGAATTTCCAGAGTCGTAAAAGTTAATTATTTTGGAAAATTGGTACAAAGCATAGAAATGCTGGTTATTCCTGTATTTTTTAAAAAAGAAATTAGAATAAATGAAACTTTGGATTTTAATCTGCTCAAGCATTTAACTAAAATAATATTTCTGGGCTAAGTAAATGGAAATATCAAAGTGGCACTGGTATTAAAACTTGATGCCACAGCTCAATCTATTCATGCTTGCTTGCTACATAAAATGTTACAAAAAACATGCTGGATCAAAATAAATCCATCCAGCCACGCTAAGACAGGAGGTTACAATCTTCGTGAGAAACGACGGTGTGGCGACCGAAGCGTGGGACTTCGGGTCTAAAGATGAGTCTATGTGTCCCAATACAATGTAGAACATTTTTTCTCATTTGTGTTGGAGAAAACAAAACATACTCACTTTTATCAGAGTCTCTACTTTGTAAGGATTAATATAATTTGGATCTCTCGGTACCAGATTAAGTTCTTGTGCAACCTGTCATGTGATCAAGAGTAAAGTTTATCAGTTGAAGCAACACTTTTTTTTTAGCTTGTTTGATAAGAAAGAGAGAGGGGAGCAGATAAAGAATATAGTCAGAAAGGGATTGTTGTCAGTTTTTCGTTAATTTCCTAGCAAACTTTGGGTTTTGAATACAGACCTATCCAGGCGCGCAACTACGGGGGGGGGTCCTGGGGGTCCAGACCCCTGCCCTTTTTCTCAAAAGGGGAAAAGTGCCCTTTTTCCTGGAAAATTGCTTGAATATTTTAACTATTACGCTAAAATGGTTGGTCATACAGTAAATGACACACTCCGGAGATGTAATGGACCTCGCAGGAATACAGATAAATGATTTAGTCAAACTTTCACGCACTTGTTGGGTCGAACGTCATCATGTTGCAGTAATAGAGTCTATCTTCAAGCCCCAACTCTACAGCGTGTTTTATGATGCGCTACGCACTGGCTTTGAAAAAGAATGGTTCTGGGACTCAAAAACCAAAATAAAGGCACAAGATTTTGAACGGGATAGAGCCTCTACGACCTCTGGTAAAAAGTTACAAGAATAAAAACCAAGACATTTTTCAAGCCTGTCACATAGTTGACAGGGTCATAGAAGACCTTTGCATGAAACGAGCGAATGCAGAGAAATATTTTCGGACTGGTATTAGCAAGCAGTAAATATGGCACAAAAAGTTGATGTTCAGCTGTTCCGTTCCTTGTCAGTATTACAAATCAGCTGAAGGCAAGACTTGGAGACAGAAACCAGCTGAAGGCAAGGCTCGTGGAACTGTTCAACCTCCTCCAATCTGTAGTGCGAAGCAAAGAATTCAATAATAATATTTTACAGCGCAAAATGTCTTCGGATATGGAAGATGATGGGTTGCTATTCAAAAGTGAGCTGGCGCTGGGAAAAGGAGATGACAGCAGGGTCGCCGAGAGGGGGACAAAGGGGCAAATTGCCCTAGGGCCTCGAGGTCTAGGGAGCCTCACAAAGCAATGAATTCCGTTTTTAAATGGAATTTATTAAAAGTAACAAAATTACAATTAAAAAGTAAAACATCTTAAACGAATTAGTGAATTTAAGCTATTTGCAAGGGTGTGGTGGCAAAATTTTTTGCTCGCTTCGCTCGCAAGAGGCATTGTTTTTTCCATTTCCCCCCTCCTTCGGGCCTCCTAAACTTCATCACACCTCACCACAAAATAAACCGTACTCCACAACTTTTCTCTATTGATCAGTTTCCCTTGTCTGGCGTACAATTTTTACAGATTTACTAACTGCTCATATTTTCGGTGTACCTAAACAAATGCCCCGGTGGACCTTTAATGAAGTTTAATTAGTGCCCTTTTTGTGTCTTGGACCCCTGCCCTCTGAAATTTCTGGTTGCGCGCCTGCTATCTAAGTGTTCATATAGCAATGTTATGATATGTAAAGGGTACAGCGGTAGATCATTATCGCTGTTTCAAGTTGACAAAATTATCTCGGAATTGGGAACTGATAACTTATGGACTAGTTGCAATAATCAAAGCACACCCTATTTTGATTTGAAAATGAACTTCTATAGGTGATGCTACTGCTTCTGTCCGAATCCTAATAAGTAATTTCATAGGCATCTAAATCAAGAAAACAAATTAAAGCAAAAAAGAACAGATAAATGGAAAAACATTTGATAATCTAACAAAATGATTACTATAGCTAAAAAAAATTAGGTTAAACTTGTAAAGGCAAGTAAGTATAGTATCAAATATTTATAAAAATTAAGACAGATTGATATAAAATTTACTGACATTGAACAAAAATTGATAAAATAAAATAACGACTTTGTACAAGAGATTAATATTTATTACCAAATATATAAATATATTTATCTGTGATAAACATTCCGTTCTTGTACAAAGTCGTTATTCTATTGCACCAATTTTTGTTTATTACTCAACGTACAACACGCACAATTCCATTGATTATCAATTTGCTGACGTTGATCCAGGTAAATGTAGGCGACATTACCGACCATGTAAAAACTTTGCTTTTCAGCTAGAGATGTTACCTAACAGCTAACAGCTAATGAAAACAGGGAGGAGGAGTTTGACAGAGATCCCAAACCTTTGCAGTAATAAAAACCTTAATAAACATCAATAAATGATAAAAATCAATAACTGAGTAAAAAAATGTTACATGACTGCTTACCAAGGAGAGGAGCTTCTCGTTTGCATTGTCAAACAGGCCTGTCTCATTGCAAAACCCGACACTCCAATTGACAATAATCTGCCATTCTTTGTTTCTTTTTAGTATCTATTTGCAAAAGCAATGGACAAAACAACATTAGGATACATGCAATATATCAAACTCACCTGGCACATTGGAATGGGAGAAAATAAAACACAAGGAAGAAAAGAACAAGTGGTACTTGTTGATAAAGCATATTTAAACACATTAGCACAGGCTACAAGAAGAAAGTTTCTAAATGTACAAATAAAAGAAAATGTCAGTATTGATACTATGGCAAAGGATGGTGATCCACGTGATCAGTTTCACACACTATCTAGTAACCAGAGCCGTAACAAAGTCTTTGAAACTTTGAAAAAAAATATTTTGCAAAAATATAATTTTGGACTTTAGAGTAACATAATGGGCTGAAAACAAAAAACAGCCATGAGGCTTGTGCAGAAAACATTTACAAGCAATACCTTATGAGTGATATCTGGAAGCCGTAGTAACATGTCACCTAGGAAAGCTGTGTTCTCCACAACTAGTGCAAGCGCTAAAAGATGAGAGAAGAAATAGACTGTAATTCTGGAAGCAACTGCAAAAAGATTGGCTGGCTCTAATGACAAATAGCAGTGTGGTAACTTAAACTTCAGACACGATTATGCGCTGCTTTTTTGTAACCAATTCTCAACCAAGTGGATTTTTGTCTATATTGGTATAACTGAGGTCAGATCTTTCCATTATTTTGTTCGCCTGCTAGAACAGATGGAAATGGCATAGGGAGCCACTTTGGGGCGGGGAAATTTCGATTACCGGTTTCGAGTTCTCTATCAACTGGGGATAATGAATTGTGATGGTAAATGGGGTAATTAAAATTTCCCCACCCAAAAGTGGTACTCCCTGTCAATTCTGTCTGGTCTATGCAAAGCAATCAAAGGAACATTCAACATTCCCTGATGTTCAAGCACGAGGGCTATTTAATACATTACCTGGGGATGTGCCTGCCAAAAGGTTCTCATGTTCAGCTGAAAAATCTGGGACAGGATTATACATTTCGTTTTTTTTCTGGCACAGGTATGCCTATTGAAGACACTTTTTGAAGACAAATCTGTCAGGACATGAAAACGAAAATGTTATCTATTTTGAGAGTTATTCTCTAAACTCTTTTTCGGGAATTCAAGAAGAGGCTAATTTTTCATATCAACTAAGAATTATTTGCAAAATCATGTGAAGGTGACCATCAGTGTTCTGGATTTTATTCCAGAACAGGTGTCATATTTTCAGACTTTTGTTCCAGGAGAGGGAAATTTCTGGCATAATAAATTTTTCCCTTTCAGGCACATCCCTCCAAGGTAAACCCTTGTTTATAAGATGTTTATAATAATATCATGCTGCAAATATAGTCTGAATTTTCTTATATATGATTCTTTCATTTAATCTTCTGTTGCTAGGAGATTCACTGTACTTAAGGTTTTTCATAGCATCTTTGTCGTGGAACATATGTTTCTGACAATCTTTCTCCCACATGACTGTCTCAACAAAAACAGATGGCAATATAATCCCTCCAAAATGTCATTTCAATAACTTTTTTTGACAAAAAAATGTGCAAGCGAACAAGAAAGTAAGCAAGGCTTACTTGGTAATGCAAGTTTGAGCTCTGGAGGTTTATAGCTAAACGTAAAGCTGAGCCAAACAAATGCCCCCATTGGATTCTTTGTTAAGCCCACAAATTTCAACAGATTTCAGCTGCCATGGGGTAGGCTGTGGTAAACATAAAGCTAGTAATGAAGTATATTTACCATCAATATTTCTAAGAAAAGATGTTCATAACTAATAACTACTCCTAAGGTCAGTTATCTCTCATAATTATCTGAGAGCTCACTCAGATTCCTCCTTCCATGACAAGTGGCAGAAATTATGGGGGGCAGGGAGGGCTCAGACCTCCCCAATTAGCATTCTAGTTGCAATATTCAGGCTTTTGTTGGATAATTGATGTGCCAAAAGCCCATCCAACACATGCCCTTGTTTAAAGGTGCAGTGGTGACAGATTTGTGCAGTGATAAAAAGTAAAAGTGTACAGTGCTAAAACTATGATGAAGCAAGCAAATTTTCCATATTTTAGGCAAATTTCCAAACTTTCCATCACTCTGTTTTTGAAGGTCCCACCCAAAAAGCACCCATTTGCATCAAAATATGCAACATTAAATTTTCCTTAAAAAATGTATTATTCAAGATGTTATCTTGTCAGTTAATTGTGGGCCTTATCTCCCAAAAGAAAGCCTGAATTTCTGCCACTGTCCATGACTGACCTTCTGAGAGCTCACTCAAAGCCCTCCTTCCATGGGGCATCACACCAGACCCTTTACTTCTGTCCCCCCCCCCCATTTAGTTTACCACGACTAAACTGATTTTTTTACCTTGCAGCTCTTGTTCTTTAGTTGGAAACTCTCCTCCTGGAATGTATGATGACTGTGTTATCTCTAACTTTGAAGAAGCCAAAACCTGTAATAAGATGTGAATAAATTAGCAACAAGAAAATGTACCCTTTCATTCTTGATGAAGTTAATTTATAATTTGATGCAGTTTGGTTTGAAGACAAATAGCTGCTTTAATCACTGCATGGAAGTAAAGAGCCCCGAAAGGAACAATCACTTGAATATGCTTCATTGAGTATCAATGTAAGCAATTGAAAAGGAAGTATTAAATAATACATGAAATAGAGCATACTGCTTTTAAAAATGCTGGGCCAGAAAAAAGCACCTGTTCTTTGCTGGTAACAATTAGCACTGTCCATCAGATCACAAGCATAAGTTGCTTGACTCAAGTACAGAGAAAGAAAACCATTTGCCCTCCAATTTGTTTTTTAATAATTAGACTCAGTGCCCTTACAAGACTAAAAAGGAAAATAAATGTCAGATTTAGATAATGTCCAAGGATTTTGCATTAAATCAATTTTGGTAAAAGTACAAAGACAAATGGTTTAACATTTTCCTGAACTTTGTATTTCTTCAAAATAGACCTTTACTTACATCCAATTGCTCCTTGTTTTTTCTGCTTTCCTACCTATCTCTGATAAAAAAATTACCAAATCCCTAGAGAAACTATATAACTGACTTTCTGGAGGAGGAAGGGTAATAAGACAAATGAAGTAACCTCTAGAATTTTTTCCACAAGGATCTTGACCATCTTGTATTGTTTAGAATAGTCTTTTATTTCTTGCAGTTGCTTCACAGCAATTAGTTGATGTGCTCTTTTCAACTGAAATCCTGAATAGTCTATAAACAATGTGAAGGAATCAATACTGATGGCTTTTGTAAATATTTGCTTAAAAGAATTTGATATCCTTAAAAAGTATTTTTTCAATGAAGAGCCTTATGCAAAAACTGACTATTGGGGCACCTTAATGGCTATGTGCCACTTGCTGCTTCTTATCAAAGAAAATTTAGATGATGATACTTTTATTGAATGCCTCTCTCTGCAGTTAGAATCATCATCATGTCATTTCATGCTAACCTATCGCTAGTCTCTATGAAACCTTGGGTCTTTTGGATTGCACTCTACAGGCTATGTGGGAAATTACTGATCTTTTTTTGTTGCAAACTTTTAGAAAAATTGCTAAAAGTTTACAATAAAGCATTTTATAGTAACTTTGCACTAATAAAAAAAATTGATGCCTCAAACTCTAACAACAAGGCAACATGGAGAAATCTTTTGGGAAACTCAAAGACTTGGTGACTTTTTTGCTGATGCAAGATAGGCAGTTTCCTAATTCTTTTGATATTTTAATCAATATTTTACCAAAAGATCTATCTACTTATAATGAACAATGTATAGTTTTAACTAGTTTTCAACTGATATACAATATTTTACTTACAACATCTTTTGTAATATCTATTATGCTTACTGGTGGATAATATCATCAATCAGTATATTTTTTTTACTTTTTGTTCAAATGGTAATGCAGGAAAATGAAATATTATGATAATATCTAACAATCTTCGCTAACAAATCTATGCATATGAGGATTCAACGTCAAAAATGTACACTAAAAACTAAATGACCTTATGTCAAGAAGCGTTACGTGAGAAATGTGTTACTGATGAGTTGAAGTTTTTGCCCCTGTCCCATTTCGTCCATTTAGGCCCTTTCGTTTACTTGATGCATTGGCTATATTGTCATATAATGTGAAAATTCAATCAGGGATAAAATCACCGTTTACCAGAATAATATAAAAAAAATTAACAACTTAAAAGGATACAAATGTCTCGTTTTGATATAGAGATATTTTTTATATTCTCCATATTAATAGTTTTTGCTCGATCCACCTGCTCATTATCTCTGATTTTCTCATTGTTCACTGTCTGCCCTCCAAAATCCATTATTGAATCCGAATTTTTAGTATCCCCTCGTATTTGTTTGGTATTAGACAATATTAACAGAAACAGCAAAACTGAAGGTGTAATAGCATTCATGATTCTTCCTATTTTTGTTCAAAACCATACGAGTTAAAAAATGTCCCTTGAAAAATTTATTCTTGCTGTTCTGCTGTTTATAACTGCTACTTCATCTTTCATTCAGTGACAATTCCTTGCTCGCTCCACGTGGGACAAGAAGAAAACAACTTTATTTCTTTGAAACTTCACAGTCTCTTTTCGGTTCACTTTTAACGAGGCACGTGTGATCCCGCATAATACCCGCGTAATTATGGCGTTCGTTGGCATGCCCTAGGGTTCGCCTTTCTAATCAAACTGAGCGGCAGATTACCAGCTTCGTGTATTTTTTAGAATATCAAAGCGACGTTCCAAAATGTGATATGGATTGGCATTTTACTCGTCGTTTTGATAACTAGAAGTAAATCAAACATTCGATGGGCTAATTTTTCAGGAAACTATTGAAATCGTGGTGAGTTGTAGAGTATATTTGCCTTTTGCAGTGATCGTATTTTAGGCCATTTTTGAATGATTGTGATCACAAGCGAGCATAGGCCGTGGAATCCCATTTGTTTGCGTGCATCCAGAAAATTTGTGTACTTTCTGATTACGTTGTTTCAAATTTAATTGACAGCGCAGAAAGTTCCTATCGTTACTTTTTAGATTCGTTGTTATTTTTAAAAGGGGGAGTGTATATATTCGCAGTTGAAAACGACCGTAAATAAACTTTTAAGATGCTCCACAACGCAAGCTGTTGCTAAGTTAACTTAGTGAAGCTAATTCCGCGCTATATATTGCATAATTTAGTTGTAAAAAACTTGCATTCAAAACTTGTGCTTCGTCGGCGTCAAGATAAGGAAATTAGGCTATGTTGCTATGGAGTTTTACTTTTCCCTTGAAATATTTGAGATCAGATAGGCCTACACACTACAGTGAAATAGAACATCAAATGTTTGCCCTTAATTCTCAATATAATTTTTCAACGCATAAGGAAGGCATATTTCAATCCTTTCCAATTAAAGCAACAAGAGAAATCCGTCCGTTTGCCAGTATATGTGCATTTCTTAAATGTCAACGAAAGGCAATTTCTTTCTTTACCTTTAATGAGATACTCATCATTCTAATAACTTAAATTCCAAAGTATTTTCTTTTACTTGAACCGTTTTTCATCATTCTAAGCAAACTCCACAACGTTTTTAATCGTTTAGATAAAATTTAAAGATAAGTGATAGTTGGCAACTGGTAAGACAAAAAAATTTATTATATAGGCTTTATAAAAAAACTCATTAGTAAAATGTCTAAAGATAGCATATAAACTTACTGAAAAATCTTGAATAAGACATTTTGCTTTTGGCTTCATCATTTTTCATAAAATATATATTTGCACAAGCTTTTTTGAAAGCTAATTTACATTCATGCGTGTAAAAGGGCAGTTGATAGAGCGTGATAGATCATATATTTATATATATATAGTATGTTATATAGTATTTTAAAAGTTTGAAGCAGTTTATTGATGTTTTGCATTAGCATGGTATCAGAGTATTTATTTTGTTAGAAGCATGATATTTCAGAGAAAACAACTTGAACTGTTTGATGGAACCTATCAATCCAAATATTATTTTTTAGTACTTTTCAGATGAGGCCTTGACCACACTCACAGCAATAGTAAAGTTATCTTTGGTAATTTTCAGGGGGGTGTGGTTGATAGGTTCTGGGCCAAAAATAGAAAAGGAACAAAGACTGATATATAAACAAATATATATATATATAAATATCTGCAGCTTGGTTGACTTGGCATAAAATTTTGAAACTTTTATATGCATTAGAATCATGTTAAAATTATTTTTATCAATTCATTTTTAATAGAAAGATCCCTTTCAAGTTGATGAGTAGGGATCTAGGTATAAATTTTTCTTAGGTCTTTCCAAAAACTAGTGGTAAGATTTGCTAAAGTTTCAGTTATTCAGGAAATCTTAATATTGTAATCTTTTGTGTAACCTGCCAGACCATTTTAGTTGAAAATTAAAATTAACTGAGAAACTAACTAAAATTACCCAAGGGAGATTTATGAAAGGCAGTCTTTTTGCAAGCTTATTGGAAAATTAATATCAATAAAACTTTTGATTCTCTGATCATTTGCAGAGATTTGGAAGCTCTGATATTTTTATCAATTAAATTGCAGCCAGATTTTAAAAGCTTAATTTCAACAGGATATTAAAAAATTAGTAAACTCTGACACTTAACTTGTCTGTCTTTTTTTGTTATTCTCTCTTGATGTATTCTCTAAATTTGTTTGCAAATTTTATTTATTAAGCTCATAAATATTTATTTAACTTTATTCACACCATTCGTTGTGAGAATGTTTGCCAAGCAATACCTCATTGGCTTGGCAAACACTCTCACACAGAACGGCATATGAACCAAACCACTGAACAAAAACCTTACAACAACACACCATCATCACCCACATTGTCACATTTTCTACCACCCAATTTTACTATTTTATAATCATTATAATTACTCTCAATATTCTCATCATCATTATCCTTAATTACATTTTTATTTTTATTTCTTACTACCATGACCATTATTATTATCATTATTTAATAATACAGTAACATTTCATTATTATAATTACTGCCCATCCTCATAACACTTTCATTTCACCGCCACCACCTATGCTCTCTTACTCGCCACCCTATCCTTTTCCACATTCATTACCTGTTTCTTCTCTGCTGCCCTGCATTCACACCATTCCACGTCAACCAATCTGACACCACCATGGCCTCTTAAATTTGTACATTCTTAGTCCATTACTTTTGCTCTGATGAAGCCTTGTATGCCAGGTTGAAATATAAACCATTACTGATTTATGTGTTTTTGTTGTTGTTCATTCTCGTTGGATTGCGGTGTTACTTATTTACTATGTTTTATTTGTTAAGAAGGTCTATGACTGATAACAGCTCACATTTGCTTATCATGTTTTGAACCTGTATATATAAATGTGATGGGGTTATTATTTTTATTTGCTTTTATGTGATCTTTGAAAGGTATATATAAAATAATTAACTTTGTTCAAAATCTTGTTTCTAGCTGAATTGAAAAATCCTAATTTGAAGGTTGAGAAAACTACCAAGATTGTTGATGGTAAGGGTATTTTTCTTTTTTCCTATTCATTTCTTTTTATTTGTGAATCAGTTTTACAGAGCCTATTTACCCATTTTCAGCTGAATACATTAAATATTCATCTTTTGTCAACAAACATAATTGAAAGCAAATGAGACCCAATTAAAGTAAAAAGCCTTCTTTTTGTCATGGATATTATGTTATTAGCACATGTCTACTGTTGTTATTAGGAAAATAATTATTTCACATGCCCAACAAAGCATGTTATCAATGCCAGACCCAGAATTCATTGTTAGCATGTATAAATGATGCCAATTTTCTCTTAACACTACTACTGTGCAAAACCAATGTATTCAAAAATATCAAACAAAGAATCCGAAACATTTTTACATACTCGGTCTTCCTAAAAATGCCTGATTGATAAATGATTTCAGAATGTTTGTAACAGATAGACATGTATTTGACAAATTTTAGAAAATTTCAAAGTCTATATCATATTTTTGAAAATGATTTTAAAGCTGTTCATTTGTCCTTGTAAAAGCATAGGAACTGAAGTGGGTATTGAGTCAATATGGCCTGGAATGTAAATATTTTTAGGAAACATAGAAAAAAGGTATGCTTAGAGACCATTCCAATTATGTCAAGACCCAATTCTACCTATTCCCATTATTGTACTTTAGAATTGCTTACAATAGATTTTGGTTAGCCTGAAACACCATTTGACAGACCAAATGTAATATTTGATGAAATATCTGTAACAGTTAATTGGCCTCTTGACCAAAAATGTCTATATTCATTTTTTGGCTTAAAAAATGCTGGTACATACAATATGAAGCTTTTTTAATTGGATAACTCTGACCCTTTTTAGGCATATCCAAAAAGGCTTATCCGGGACTCTGTAGGATCTCAATGTTTTGTTCTTTGCTTGAAAATTATTATTTACTTAAGGAACTAAAAAGTAACTTCTTTAAACAACCACTAGATTTAAAGTTTATGATAATGTAATTTAAATTCATACAACAACGGGCCCAGTCTCTAGTCATTGAAAAAGAGTATACATGCAAATTGTAAGCACTCTTGACTGTTGAATTTTTTTATTCTTTGGCAAAGAATACCAGGTTTCATAGAGTTATGCAGATTCCAAACAAACTTGTTTGCAATTCATAGATTTTGATGTTATCTATGAGTGATGAGTGATGATATAATTCATACCATTCTGTTTTGTAATGTTCCAGCCTTGACTTATTTCATTTTTATTAGTACCTTTATCGTGTCCAGCACATGACCTGTTACCAGTAGCTATTAATTTTGAATATAAAAGATTTTACATTTATGATTTCCTGTTTCATACAAACTACTTTTGTTAGCCTTCACTGCACCTGTCATCATGTTTTGTGTTATTGTCTCCTTTCTTAGCAAAGGTTGATAACCAGCTTTTATTTTTCACTTTTAAAATGAAATTTCTTGTGTCTACAAATTGAATAGTACCTATTATGGCTTTTTTGTCCTTGCTTTTTTGTATTTAATAAACAGCATCTGATTCATCAGAAGAAAAAATCAAAGCCCATTGAATGTAATTCCATGTAAAATGTAATTTATGATTTTATTTGATGCAATAGAATTTAGCTTGTAAAGGTTTGATGTTTTAAATAATAGCAATAAAAATGAAACTAATTATGTCATTTTTGTTTGTTTTAAGCTAAAGATTTTCAAGCATGCAGCATAGACAATTCAATCCATCATCCTTCTGTGATAAAGTGAAACATAGAATTGATAAAAACACTGAAGGGAAAATGAAATTACAGTTTGTGTAGATCTTCTGAGCTATCGATTGCTTCTTTTAGTTCCAGGCTGAGGATAATCCTACCCAAGCGGGTATCCTTTCCTTCTATGGGGAGGAGGAACACCCAGAACTAGCTAGCGAGCATGAGAGCTTAGATGAGATTGCCTCTGGTGCAGGGAGTCTTGTTGCAGGTGAGGAAAATGCTATCCTCCATGGCAGTGCCCTTCCAATGGCAGATGAGCCAGTTGAAGGAGACCTCAGCACAACATCTGAGTGGGTAAGGATAAGTACTGTTTTCATATATCAAAATGTGGGCAGTCAGTTTTGATGACATCTGTCATTTCAATATTTTGTGTCTTTTCAGCAATGCCTGTATGTTTTTTAATTAACTGTATTTATACAGACAGATGGCAATTATTTGTCTCTAATTGAAGAGGATTTTTTGAAGAGGTTTAATGACAATTTTTTTACCAAAGTCCTTCCTGACATCCACAGCTTCATTTGTCTTGGTTGACCTTATTCTCCTATTGGCTTTAGAGGCTTCTGAATTCAGTTGTTTTGGCTTTGTTCATCCTTCTCTCTTATTGTCTATGCATTTAATATATATATGTAACTTGCCTATGCATTGAACAACTCAAGAAGGCAAAAAAAATATTTTCCTTTCAATATTATTTAGTTATTATTTCCAAATTTCCTTATTTGTAGGTTTTTTATTTGTTTTTGTTGATAGTAACTCAGAATGAAAGTCAACAATTGATTTAAAACATAAGATTTAAAGCAATATTTCAGGTCATTATATGTTAAAAGAGATTTGACTAATGTTTGCTGCGAGCATAGCTACCTATGGTAACAAAACTCTACTTTCTTTGAAGTTCTGATTTGCTGCAATAGATTTCTCACAACTATCATTTCCTACCCACTTGTATGTGTGCATATGGCATAAAGTTCTGCCCGACTGACCAGTAAGCCGTAATCTCTATTGTTAAAATATTGATAGTCAGCTTCATGTCTTGTTACTGTAATGATAAAATATACTGAAATGATTGATTTTCTCACCTTTAAAATATTTAGGATGATTCACTCACTGGTGGTGACCAAGAAGGTGATATCAATATTCCAGCCGGAATGGGTAAGATATGATCAAGTTAGGATACTGTTTATTATAATTTAATTTCGTTTTTCATTTCTGATCTTACTTCTAAACTGGATTTTGATGTTGATTTCATTGTATATTAGCGACCAGTTGTTGAGTCTTTGCATATCATTTTGGTAGTGACATAAAGCACACCAAATGCTCAATAAGCATAGTGTTTCCAGTGTCCCAAAAAGCTGCCTTTAGAAGCTAGGGAGGTACAGAAAAATCACTGTTGCCTATTATGAAAATGAGGAAGATATTCTTGGTCGTCAGTTTGTATTTTGTTGGATAGAGGATTCATATCTTGAAAAGAATTGACCAAGTGTCATTTGGCATGAACTCAAATCCGAGCTACAAAAATTTTTTCAAACCCATGATGGAATACCATTTCCTGACTCTAAGTTGCCCATGATCGGTGTACTTTTACTATAAGCTATCCTAGCCCATCTGTCATAGAGTACTTGATACCTTATAGGCAGTGTTGTTCATGCATTGGTCTATAGAACAGAGTTTCATGCTTAATACGATCATCAGGCAACTGTTCCCTAATAATAATTGATATCTTCAACGCATCATTTTGTTGGTATATAAAATTACAGTATATCTGTTACTTGTATTGCTGAATTAAGGTGTTATGCTCCTTGTGCTGAACCTTAACTCCTTTGAACAATTTTATAAATGCATCTATCAACCTTTTCCTAAAACTATCTATGAGTTTTTTATTTTCTTTAACCTTTGAATTGAAGCTCTCTGTGAATTGTGTGGACATCTTGGTGACAGGGAATCATTTTACTCAAAAAGCAAGCGATTTTGCCGGATGGAATGTGCCAAGAAATTCTCTGCTTGTCAAAAGAAAAACACCAATAGAAATATTCTAGGAAAAAGGCCTGCAGCTAAGAAAAGACCAAGAGTAGCAAGCAAGCAAAAACGAGTAAGATTCTTTTTGTATCCACAATTGAAGATTTAATTGTTTATAAGAAAGCAAGTTCCAGGCCAGAATTGGCAAACGATAATGCTTCCAGCTGCAGGTTTCAGAATTCTTGAAGAATTTTCTCGCTGCTAAATTGACCATGAATATTTGACCATGTCTTTTCACAATTGTGTCTCGTGATCAGGGTCCAACAATAACATCCTATTTTATGGTAGACTATCTCCTTCATATTTAATTAGTTTTATTCTGAGAGTAAGGCATTGCATTAATATTACAATTTCCCCTATGCTCTGCAACTTTAAGGCTGCTATCTTTCATGAAATTTTGCTATGACAGGCTAAGTAATCTTCATTTTCAGAGTATTTGCTGTCATCTCGTTCATTTGCTTTTCTGACACGTGATATTTTCTTTGAATTTGTTGCTCTGGGCCAGATATACAAGTGTACATTATTACTGTCATGTACAGTTTGCCACAAATGTTGATTTGAGATTTTGTTCAATTCCAGCAACGACTAGACACTCCGCTGGAAGCATCGCTTGGTAAGTTGCTCTGAAAATAACCCTGTACTTGCCACAATTATTTCGTGTTTAATTTTTGTTAAAGAACACACTGCAAATTTATTCTTGGTAGACTAAAATTCTTGCTCTTAATCCGAATCTAGGGTCAAAAATTATATACTAAATGAATTGAAGAATTTTTCAAAGTGATGCTGTAAGTTGAATTGGTGTAGTAACATCAACATCTCTGTCCAGTGACTAACGAGTTTCTTCAAGTTTTTTTAAAACCTTTTTTTCCAAAGGTTTTTTAAAACCTACCAAAAAATCTTTCCAAAAAGAAATGGTTTTTTCATTAACCGCAGCTTTTTCGCAATTTTTAAGTGAATTAATTGTTTCAGTTTTTTTCAGATGCCAATCTTTTTTGTATCTTTAAATACAATTTTTTCCTTTCTTGCTAGACAACAAAAAATATTGTAATGATAAAGTCGTTTAAAATGAAAAGCGAGCCTTAGTTTATGTTATAGTTTATAAAACCTTTGCTGGAGCTGAGAATGTCCACGTTTTTTTTGTCAAATTAAAAGGGGCTGTCTTTTGTCCTTCCAAAATGTCCGTCCAAAATGGTCCCATGTCTCTTTGATCTATGTGAATATACAAAATTGTTGATATGGACCAGGTGTTAAAAAGTTAAACTAGAAGCCCTATATTTATTTTGCCTAGCGACGTGACCTTTCTTTGCAACGGAGATTGCTTCGATTGGCTTTATGATAAGGTCAAATGTATTCAGGATGTCTAAGATTGTTTTGATGGTGCACAACACAACGACAGATAAAATTTCTTAAATCCCCTGAAAATTTACATTTCATCTCTGGTTAGAATGCAGCTTAACTCGCATGCTGAGCTGAAATAAGATAAACGGTAAAAAATAGCATGAGAATTCTGTGTCTGTTTTTATTTAATGCAATTGAAAGAACCACACAAAACAAGGCCATGACAGTGTTTTTGAAGTGTTTGTGCTCCGCCCTTCCATGAATTCTACATGCTTTAACGTTTAAAACTGTATTTCAGATTGAACATCTTATACGCTTGACCAGTTAAAAATTCTGACATTCACCATTACTGGGTTCAAATGAATTGGATAAAAACTTTTGTTTTATATGGGCATAGATTTGCCCCGAATCTGAATGTATCCGGATTTCGGTGATTTTTGAAGGTTTTGTAGGCAACAGTTACTTTGAAAGATGTTGTCAAGTTGTAGCTTTGGTTTCCAAAGCAATTTAAAAAAGGCCTATCTAGATCTGTTCAATGTTTCTGAATACTTATAATGGCAAAAGGGGAATCACGAAATGCTTTGATTTAGAAAAACCGAATGGCTTTTCCTGAATGCTGTTGTAAACAAACTCAATGAAATTTTTTTTCAAGCGATTCGTTGTTTTCGATCGGCATTAAAAATGGCGTTACTTATTAGCAGCCAGGTTGATACGCTGCTTCTTGTATTTTTGCTTGACTTTCAATCTACGGTTCTCTGTATTTTTGCTTTTTGCTTATCAGAACTCTGGGCATTTGTTTTTATTCTTCAATCAAGGAGCTAGAATAAATTGTATGACTCAGTTACTGTTTGCTTTCAGTTCCTCATCTTTTGTTTATCTTGAGGATCGTTTGTAGAGTGATTGAATTATTTTATCATAGCTGCAGTGTTTTAGGGACTCAAAGACGTTAATCAGTGCCTATCGCATACCGATAGGCAGCAGAATCACAAAATTAAGAAATAATAAGAATTTGTTTTACATTACTATTTTTAATTGCTATTCTTTTGTTTATTTTTTGTTATTCATTTTATATTGCATTACTGATTCAAAACACTGGCATCCGCTTGCCTGCTATCTTGCAACCAGCGTACACCATTGCCAATCATATCTCTGTATAATCACAACGCACCCCACCATTTTCGGCTCATTGTATATGCCTACAATCGTGGCCAAAACTCCTTGACACTGATTTAAAAATTCGGCATGCTATCAATTGTTCCCAAGAAAAATGAGGACATATCAATTTCTCCCCTCCCCCCTATATCAATGTTGGTGTCGTTTGAGAGCTAAATGTCCCAGCATTCGATTTTAGCCCATACAAACACCCCAACATTGATGTAGGGGGTAGGGGATCACGTTGAATAAGAACCCAATTGCATTTGGGAAGCAGTCTCACGAGTTTTGGCCAGGATTGTAGGCCCTATTTTTTAAAGCTGCTTAACGTAGTACTAGTCAACTTTCTTGTTAATCAGCCGTATCGTGTTTTTACGGGACATGATAGAGAGGTATGTGCCTAATAGAACTCTCAGATCGAGTAGTGCGCTGCTGTTAAACGTTCCTCGTTTCAAGAACCAAACATTAGGTGCTAGCACTTTTGCCTATGCTGCAGCTAGTTTTTTGAACAGTCTTCCGTTGGAAATTCGTGCTATTGACAATGATAGTTTTAAATCGTCGTTAAAGACTAATTTAGTTAGATTAGTTTATGATAATATGTGATAGGTTTTGAATTGTAAAGTGTATAAAATATTGTATAATAGTTATGCACTTTAATTAAAATCATAACACATCATTCCTATTCTCTCATGTGCAGAATCTCCAAGCAGCTCAGCGCAGTCGGCTTCGAGTTGGATTGACCAGGTCTTCAGCTGGGATGAATACTTGAAAAGTACTGGTGATAAGCCTGCTCCCGAACATTTTTTTAAACACGTAAGAATTTAATGTTAGCTTTTCGATTATTTGATTAAAGTAAGTGATCATGAATCGTTATAGAATTCTTGGTTTCATTTCAGCAAATGTACTAGACAAGAAATTGACCAATCTAGGAGGCTTGATTATTTCACGGCCTTTGGTTATCCTCCCACTTTATAATTTACAATCGTTGTGGCGTGAATATCCTCATTCAGTTTCAAACTTACTAGCCAAGAGCCACGAAAATGCTAACCCTAAGCTTAAAATGACCTCTTAAACACCAGTTCTCTTCTACGAGAATGAAATCGTTGATTTTTACAAATTCAATACCATGCTTGTTTAAAGTAAAACTTGTATTAATTTGGAATTCCTCCATAGACAATGCGTGCGCCTACGCTTAGCGAAATCCATGTTGGCATGAAAGTAGAAGTAGTCAACTGCAGTAATGGTACGCCTAAAGACAACGAAACGGCTTACTGGGTTGCAACAATTCTTAAAGTTAACGTTAACATGATGTTGTTGCGATATGAAGGGTATGAAGATGATGGTGTAGATGACTTTTGGTTCGACGTCAGGTCAAAAAACGTGCATCCAGTTGGATGGTGCTACAGCGTGCAGAAGCTTCTAATTCCACCGCCAGGTAATGTAACCTTAACGCGTCCGAAAATCTTTCTGTTGCACAGTATATTTCGTTTGAAGCTACTGTGGTCTTTCAACTTTCGATTACAGATAGCAACAGCAAAGATATTGGCCACTTTCTATCAAGGACAACTTTATTCTAATTGATGTAGTTACCGTCACCTCTGATTGTATAGTCACGGCGGGTAATTCTTACGCACAGCAACATGTCGGGTAATTTTTACGCAGGCAGTTTATTGCGTAATTCAATTGTTGTTTCCTACAAAAACTTTTTATTCATCCAAAGCAGTCCTTTCTCTTTCTGTTGACATAAAACTTGGCAGTTGGTTTGCGCGACAGCCTTTGTGAAAGCGATTCGCAGACATGAATCGCAATTTACCTAGGTACAAAGTTATCAACACTACTCATCAATTTTATTGTCCTGGCATCATGCGGACAATAACTAATCCTTTTAAGCATTCAAATGACTCTTTTGTGGCTCACCTTTGACCTATTCAAGTACTGCTGAGAAATATGCTTCCGTTCCTCGGAAAACACGTGCGTAAATATTACCCGACATTCATTGATTAGGAGGTTAATTTTTACGCACTTTTTATAAAACTGCATCGGGGTTTGAAAAGACGGCGCAACATTTATTTAGTTCCCTATATGAAAAAGAGGAAAGCTAAATGTTTGGTTCCAAATTCCCAAGGTTAACAGAAAAATCCCCCAAAAATAAGCAAAGAAAAGGTTATGTCCAAGCTCTAGGTGACATTCATAGCGGACGATCGACAAGAAGCACTGCGTAAATACGGGATGGCTGAAGGAACACTATATGTTATCATTCTAAAATGGTAGAAAATGATGGACCCCTCAAAGGGGGGTGGGGGAGGGGGCGTCTCCGAAGGGATTCCATCAAATTTTGGATGTAGACGTTTCTGACATTGAGAATATTTTTGCGAAATCGCGTGTTCGAAATTTTTATAATATTGACCAAAAGTATGAGTATTCCTCGACTATTTATCCTTAGAATTACCCTCAAAAATAATAAAAATGGAACTCTTTTTAGTGCGATGTTGAAACGCTAAATGTTTTGTCGACATTTCAAACTTTTTGTTGCTCTCAAAAGCAAAATTTTTTCTATAAAATTCTGGCATTTCAGCTTTTATATCGCATCCCTTCTACATAAATTTCCTACCAGTAGGTCTGTGATGAAGGCTTGTGGACTGTTTGAATTTGTAGGTAGCCACAAAGATTCGTAATAATTCTGTTCTATTCAGAAATTGATGTGCGTAAAATATAGCCGACGCCGCGTAAGAATTTAACGGAAGGGTCGGCTAATCTTTACGCAATTAAATTTGATTATATAATTAGTAAGCAGTTTCGATTTCATCACCTATTGTTGTCTGCTAATTAAGTATTGGCTATGAGTTCACCTGGTATATTCAGGTCATCAAATTACTTTGTTATTGTCCGTAAATTTCAAAGTTTATAAAAAATGCGTAAAATTTGCCCTCCATGACTATATTATGTTGTACTTTGTCGATTTCATTGCTCAGCAACCTTGCTTGTTCATATGCTTATCTGGCTGTCGCCTATTCAAATATGAGTTCTTCCTACCTTAGTATGCACAACTGTTCACATCTTTTAGACACCTGCTCATTAAGAATACTGAAGAGTTCTGAATTAGCTAGATCGAATAAGTTAAGTCTTCTTTTGTCCCAGCCAGAATACACGAAAAGCAACTTGAATTCAGAACCGTAGACAAAAAGGAACATTGGCTACCACAGATTGCACAAACCTTTTTGTCCCGACTAATTGTTTTTGAAATAATAGCTAATATATGACAATAACCTGTAGTTTCCTGGGAAGTTTATGCCATACAAATGTTCTCATTTTAGCTATCAAAAGTAGAAGATCGAATTGGCAACAGTATCTGTTCAAAAAGCTCTCTGGGGCACGGACATTCTCTAATGACTTTTTAGAAAGGGTATGTACCAAATCAGTTCTATTGGACAAAATGGGCTAGCTTCCTAACTGTATGGACCTGTCTACTGTGTATCTTGTGTCTACCTCAATAGCAATCTGTTTTTTGGGTATCTAACCTGAACGTTTCATCGACCATAGTGAAGCAAGTGGTCTTTTAACAGGCATTGTGATATCATAATGGTTACAATATTCTACGAATGCTTAAAACCCAGGTCTTGTCATTATAGCAGTAGCCAGGGCTCTTCATTGCACAGAAGGCTCAGTCGTTGTTGGAAAGTAAATTGTTGAATTGCTTTTAGAATATCCTTTCTCGGTTGATAGTGTTCTAGCTTGTGTAACAGACAATAGACGTCGAAGTCATCACCATTTGATTGGTCGATTTATGATGGACAGCTTTACTCTAACCAGTGAAGTTTAATGCCGAATTTTCCAACGTGCGTGGACAAGAATCTAACAATTTCCAGCGATATCACGGATATTTCGACTTTAACAATCGGTCGTGCTGGATTTCATATTCAAAACAAGACTTTAGAAATGTTAATCTTTTTCATGATATCAATATGTTTATATTTTGTAATTTTTTTAAACGAAGGTACAAAACGGAAACCACAACAAATTCGACATTGGCATGAAAGTTGAAGTGTCTGATAAACACAACTTGGTGTCGATGTGTGTTGCAACGATCGTGGATATTGTTGGTGATAGACTGCGCTTGCGATATGATGGGCTTGACGCCGAAATGAATGAAGATTTTCTCTGCCATTACCTCTCGTGTGACATTCATCCTGTGGGATGGTCATCACTGGTTGGCCATACACTCCAACCGCCAGTCGGTCGGTGCTGTTCTTGCTCAATTATATGTTAATTACATTCCTGCTTCAGTTAATATTTTATAATATTGTTTCTTTAAAAGCTTGATATTTTGCTTTAAAAGCTTGATAAAAGCTTGGCAAAAACAGGAAAGTTTACTCACTTAGAAGCAAAATTATGCAAAGCTAGTAGTGATTTGTTACCTTCGCTTTGCTATTTGTGCTTTGTTGCAACAACTGTTAAGAAGTTACGAAATAATGAAAGAAGGAATTATCTAAAGGTGCTGCTAAAGATTAGATTTTATTTGTCATACCAATGCGAATTGCTTTATGTAACTCCTTCGTAGGAATTCAGTTGTTAAAAGATTATTCAAGAAATACAGTCCTCAAGTTTTCAAACTTGTAAGAAACAGTTTTAAAGCAACAGATATTGTATGCCGTGCCCTTCTAATAGAAATTTAATAAAAGTTTTGTTTATTTTGCTGCATCTCCCATTAATTGTCTTTGTCTATGTCTGTCATGAATTCATGTTTCTGTTGTCTGGAAAATAGATTGAGCCCGTTCATTTTATCACTGTTCTTTCGTAATTTCCAGGGTGGAAACAAGGGCTCACAGAATGGAATGAATTTTTAGCAGAAGATCTTCAGAATTCTCGTGACGCTCCACAAGAATGCTTTGTACCTGTAAGTAGTAAGGAGTTATATTTCTTTTTAACCGATTAACTTTTAAACAACCACGGTATGAAAATATTGTTTCTGTCTGTCTATGCATGCCAATTTTATTGGGTGCCACCCACCATGTTTCGGCAAAGCTTTTCCATATAGATGTTCTTACATCACCACCATCACGTCATCGCCAGTGGAATTCATATTATGCTCAGTCAGTAACTAAAACGTCCTATCTTTTGTCGATGATGTACTTTGTAAGCCTTTTCGAAAATTATTTTCAAGGCTTCTTTTTGAACATACTCTTTTTCTAGGTTTCAATTTGAAAATTTTTTGTCCTACTACTTACCACTTTCCTACTTTCCACTTTCCTAAAAAAGGAAAGTTTCCTTTTTTGGCATTTCTTACTTCACCGTAACCCGGATTCACCTGGGATTAAAAACTTGTGCGGTTCTTTACTATTTTCAACCTTTAATAAACTTGATTCATTAGTTGTGCGTTCCGGATTCGTGTAGATAACGTTGGCAAGAATTGATATCTATGAATTGCTGCTTTATATGTAAGAATTATACGTATCTGTGAATTGCTGCGTCAACCATTCATTTATTGCCTGTGACATGTTCTGCATCATCTGCATCAGCTCTATATTTTTATTTGGCTCTTCTTTTCCAGGAATCCATGGGAACCCCGCCTAGCCGGTACGGTCACTTTGAACCCGGGGCGAAATTCGAAGCAATCGACCCCCTGAATCCAAGCAACATTATTGTAGCCACCGTGATCAAATCGCTGCGGTTCAATTATTTTATCGCCGGAATCGACTCTACCACCAATTATTTCATATGCCATGCTAATTCACGAAGTATTTTCCCTGTGCATTGGTGTAAAAATCAGAAGATAAGCCTCACCCTGCCTAAAGGTAAATTTTCCTTGTAAAGAGCTGTGCTCTGTCTGTTGAAATTTTGCATATTTAATGCATCGTGGTGATTCGAAACGAATAACAACGAAGGATGGAGGTAGTTTGAAATATACCGTAAAAGCTCTATTAAGCCCACTCTCTATTAAGCCCGCCCCCCTTCTTATCTTGTGTTGTCAAACCGGTAAAACATAGAAAAACATGCGCATTTAGTGGGTCTGTTAACGGGCGTGATGATAATAAGATCGAATGCATTAAATACGGCCCATGTAAAGACGTACTTGTGCGCCTAAAGTCAGTCGAAATTTGTTTCGAAGATGTTCCAGGGTTATCAATTGATCCTGGTGATTCTGATGAAGAAAAGGACTTTATAATTGATTAATTAGACTTTTGAAGCTGCTAGCGAAGTTTTCTGAGAACATTTGTGTGACATTTTTGAACAAAAATAGAAAAAGGCATTTTTAAAAACATTTTTTACTTCAAATTTTCAAAAAGCCCCCTCTCTCTAATAAGCTCCCCTCTCTTTTAAGCCCCCCCCTTTAGGACTGAAAGAATAAATAAGCCCCCCGGGGGCTTAATAGAGCTTTTACGGTATGATAGTCTGTAGTTAGTTCAATACCTGAGTAAATCAGCTTAACAGAAATATATTCACTATCATTTGTATCGAACCAGTCAACTTGGAAAGCCTTCAGTACTTCTCGTCCGCCCCCCCCCCCAATATTTCCGTGTCCTTCGGTAAATTTTGCTGCCATTTGGTGAAGACCGTATTTTGGTAGTCAATATTAACAATATAAAGCCCATATTTTATATTATTTTTGCAAAATGGGCGTTTCCATCATTTTCCAGTAGCCTGGTGGGTGTGGTACCAAAATCATTGTTGGTGAAATCCGTCCCGATCATTGTTGCTTAAAACCGTCCCTGATCCTGATGTGTGCAACTGCAGCTAAAATTCGAGAGGCCATCTAATGATTGCGTATAGGATGTTTATTGTTTTGATAAGCGTTACAAATATTGGTATATTTTACCTCATTTTACGTCACTCTGATCTTTAATCGTGTTTGTTTCGGTGCTTAATGTTCATTATATACTCTTTTTCTAGAATATTCTGGGAAATCCTTCGATTGGGTAAAATACTTGGCAAAAACTGGAGGAAAACGCGTCTCTTCGTTACTTTTCAAGCAGTGTGTAAGTTGTTTTTCTGAAGTCTACCTTATCAAATTGCAACAGTTTATTTCAAACCAGGCGGCTGGGAGAGATTTTAAACTGCTATAAGAGAAAATTGTGGTATCAGGGCGTGGCTGCCGATGTTTTTTACTTCCAACCCCACCCTCTTCAATGGTTGTTTTCATTATTGCACTGTTTTTTTCTATGCTCTACCTCATCGTTACATCTTGATTTTCTTGGCCGCAAGTCGAAAACACCTTGCCGTTTTCCTTGTAACGCTCTCTTTCTCATAGTCATAAAGAGATCAAAAATCAAGAGTCAAAGAGTCAAAAATCAAGGGGGGGGCAAGGCCACGGTCGGGGGCTATTTGATCTCTAGAGCAACATGGCCCATTGTCAGACTTATCAGACTTATAATTTTGAATTTGATACTAATCCCAAAAAGATTGTAAAGTTGCAGCACGTTTCTTAGTTCTAAATAAAATTCAGAGACATCCTTTCAAATTTCTACTAAAACAACCTTCATTGGAATACATCTACAGTTCCGAAGTCATGTCTACACATTCAGTCTTTCAATTACGACTGTAGGCTTTGGCTTCGACGGCCTGCGGCACGCAGATGAATATCATCAGCTTACAATGAAAGGCTCTCTGTCCGTAGCCGTAGCCTCTTTTTTGTTGCTATTAACGGCCCTCTTTTAATAGCAAAATCATATCGGCAAGTATCGTACATTGAAATACTCCTTAATAAGGACAAATATTTCTGATAAATGCTCATTGTTAACATAAAAAACCAAAGCACCATATTTTTCAATTCAATTTAAGTGCAGATTTAGATTTTTGATGAAACTAGCGTAACAGCTTGAGAATAAACTACATATCGCTACACCAAAATAAAAAAAAAGCACTATCTTTCATATATACAAACGAAGTCGCTGTTGGTGTGTTTATCGTTGTTGTGAAGAAAGGATTGTCTGTCAGTATGTCGTTTAAACCCCCAACGTTAACTAGAAACGACCATATGATTTATTTCAAACGCAATATGCCACATGAATGGAAGAGCGAACGGAGGAATCTTGCTATTAGAAAGAATCCGGCTAATAGCAAGTCTGCATATATTGGGTCTTTCACAACAGCATGATTGGCCACTTAACGTCACACAAGGAGACACAAACAAAGGTGGATATGAAAGTTTGGGGTCATGGGGGTCCTACTGTCATATTGTCTGGTTTTTCCAGTATGCCATGAAAGTTGCTATTAGGATTCACAAACCTAATAGCAAAATTTCAGGGCTGTGGCTGTAGTATTTGTTTGAGGCCGTCCGATGAATGCGTCACAATAAGTGTCGCGACAAGCGTAGGAGGGATGTCTATTTTTTGAAAGGATCAAATCAGTTTCAAGAGTAGCGGCTTCTGCTCGCTTCACCATGGCCATATCACGGCATATCATTGCAAAGTGGCAAGAAAACAGTTAGCTATTCAAATAAACTGTTTTTGCCAAGAATTTTCCGGTGCTAGTTTCTTTTTAAAGATATATGACCAATAGATTATGAGAGCCTTTGCTGAAAAAAAAATTCTAATAACGCTAATACCGCTCCCAGCCGCCCCTGTTTCAAACCATTCTCTGACATTGCTTATTTGTTTCTACTCATTGTTTTTTTGCCTAGAAAGAAAACAGAATTATTTGTTCTTGACGTACATAAATGTTATAATTTTTCATTTCCCCGCAATTCGACTTGTTCTTAGATGTATCTCACCTTACCGTAGATGGAGCTCACCCTATTTTGAATTGGCTAAATTTTTTTTCCTCGTTTATTGGCTAAATTTCAAACTCTTGAGCGAGGCCCATAATTTAATGTTACCATTATAGCGATTCTGCTTCCAGGCCTAAGCGTATTGACTCGGCTGCTTCATCGTTCAAGTTGAAACGGGTTGTTCTGAGGAGTTTACTTTGACCACATAGTGGGCATTAATTTCTACCAATCTTGTCGTTACAAAGCTCCTAAATGCAATGAAATCTTAAGAAGTTTGCTTTGTTTAGGAAAAACGTATAAATCCATTTCAACCCGGGATGAAAATAGAGGCTGTTGACCTTCGTGAGCCATCCTTCATTTGCCCAGCTACTATCATTGAGTCCAAGGGGCCACTGGTTCGCGTTCATTTCGACGGATGGGACGCTACATTCGATCAATGGTGTGACTGCGAATCGTTGGATCTGTTCCCAGTTGGTTGGTGTGAGAAGAATGGACACCCACTTCAACCTCCTGGGTACGATTTTTGATATAATAACACTGTTTATGATTAGTAAACTATGTTTTGGGCAGTGAAATATGTTTTCTGAGATCTATCAAAACTAAAATTGGAATCTTTTTTAATATTTTAAAGTAGCCCTTCTATTTGCGTACATGTTAGAGTTTCTCTTCACTGCCCTAGACTTTCGCACAGGTACAAAGTGCCGCAGTCACACAATGAAAAATGTAACTGTTGTCAATGAAAATCAGAAAATGTATCATTGATATTTCCAGTTAATAACACCTTCTTAAGAACATTGACCTTTCTGGTTTACAAGCATTGACTAAGAATTATTTATTTTCAGATCCCAGATGCCGGATGTCGTTCTCGAGGCAATTCGTCCTAAGCGTCCTGATTTCAGCGTACCGTCACCTTCATTGAAAATGGCACAACCGAAGGAGCAGGCTCCCCAACAAAACCCGCTTTCTGGGGGTAAACCCTCATTTAAACCAGCTAAAATCAAACGCGAGAACTCCTTCGAGAAGAAGCCAGCGAGTGCTTTGCGCATTGGAAACCCACCAAGAAGTCCCGCATCTCAAAAAGGTATTTCATGCAATTAATTGCAGGAATTTTTCTTATTATCAATATCATCATCGTTTCTATCTTAAAGTATTCAGTCAATTGGCTGATAAAACAAGAGCGCCTTCTGGCTTCGCCTTAAATTTTGAATTGATTTGAGACAAGCAGAATCTAGATTAAATTCAATTTGACAGAAATTCTGATTCTAATTTAGGATAAATTTCCTAATGTATATGCCTGAACTTTTTACAAAATGATCTTAAGTATGAATCAGTTTTTAAAAGGCAATAGACAGTATCCTTGATTCAACTCTATCTTTTCTGGCACGGTAGAAAATGTTACTTTTACTTCAATTCATATTTTACCAGGCTTCCACCAGGTAAAATGCAACAATGAGTTTTAGAATGTTTTGTCAGTTGTTGGTCAGAAGGTCAGTTGTCAGGTGTTCGTTTTAATGAATTAATTAATTTTTTGCTTTTCTAGTTGTTGCGAAGGCTGGCTGTAACATGATATACTTCAATCAGCATTGCGCTTCCGGGCCGTTTCTAAATCCACACGAGGTTGTAAATCTTCCAGACTCAATAACTGGCGCGCTTATAGGTCCACCTCACCAGAACTGTATCCGCAAATGTCTGCATCATATCGTTAACGCAGCCATAGATCCGAATCAGGTGCTTGAGTTGTTCAGCAAAGAGTTTTATCAGACAAAGCAGAACAAGGATTTGAAACTTGACCATGTAATTTGCGTCGAAATCACCGGCAAGAGTGGCAAAAGATTCCTAAGGAGGGTTCGTGTACCCAGCAAGCAAAACCTCATCCCCAAATATCTGGCCAGGGTTTGTAGCATGTTGAAGTGCTGTCCTTCTTTTGTATGCGATGAGAGGTTTTTTGGTGGAAAATGTGACACGAATTGTAATCAACAATGTAAGTGGTTTTCTCGTTATGTATCTTTGAAGCCCCCAGTTTTTGGTGCTTGGAAATTTATACTGTGTTGATTTTTCAAAAGCTCGCTACAAACTGTTTGAATCAGCAATTTTCTGTTGCCTTGATTATACTCAGGTGGAACATTTAAGGGTTTTGAGAAAACTATGACCGTCGTTTTATATTCGTCGTTTATATTATACCAACTGTACTTATTCTTTGGGAAGGGTAGTATAAAGAGCAGCTTCGATGATTTTTAGGTACAGGAGATTTCCTCAGTATCGTGGAAAACATCACTGGTATTTTTATATTTTGAATTTAAGCAGAACGTTTTTATTTGCTATTAAAAGTTGGTTATACATCATATCCAGACAACGAGACTCACGCACTTCCTGATTCACAAACTGGCGAAGAATTCGATGATATACGACCAAGAACATCAAAGATGCCCCCCACTCAATACCTTGATTCTCCTGGGGGTCCATCGTCATCCACGCAAGACAGAGGATTCGACCCGTTAAACATGCTCGATGAAGAATCTGTTCGTAGCAAAGATCCGAGGACGTGGACTGTGAACGAGGTTATGGATTTTCTCGCTGCCATTGGCTGTCAAGATCATGCCATGACGTTTCAAAAACAGGTTTGTGATCAATTCGAAATCAAAGTTGTTGCCATAAACCCACGTTTCATAAAAATCTCGGTCTCGGTGCCACTTTTATTTTAATATGTAATGTTTCCGGCTTTATGCCCTACCTGCCTAACATTGATAAAGTTTCAGTCATAAAAAGCAAATTTTAACTATACCTCTAGGAAATTTAAAGTAATTGGAAAAAGCTTAAAGGACAGTAGTAACAAGCATTCTTCTGGCCTGGAATTAACGCAAACGAACTTTAACTATAGATAGTGGTTAACAGGCATGTTGATAGCTTCAAACGAAGACATTCACGAAAGCAATACTTTCTCGATTTTACCTACCTTGGTCGAGTCTACCTACCAACTAACGATTTTGCAAACCAGCTATACCAAAATAAAGGGTCAGTGTAATGCTTCCACAGCCAGATACCCTATACCCACCTATCAGCTTTCCCTATATTATGAAAATTGCACGAACAGCGGGAAAGGAATCTGGGCTTCCAGTTCTCTTTTTGTTTACAAATTTGTGAGAGAGGACAATTTTGCGGAAAAATATCTGTTGAAAATTGACATTTTTGATGTAAATTTTTGTGTGCCATCAAGAACATCAGTTTTTAACATCACTCTCGCTGTGTACATTTTCGCTACCTTTAATAACCAATTGTTCAGATGTAAATGAAAATATGTCTATTGTAGTTGGTCACAAGAACAATAATGTTTTGTAGCCATGGTAGGTTGTGTAATGCACGTTGTGAAACCTCCTAAACATTGATAGGTAACCGAAGGGGGACTGAGTTCGTATCATCATACATAGGGCATCCAATTTATGATTTTGACTAGAGGAAAACTGCTTTTTAGAATACAACGAATTGTTATTGCTGTTTCGTGCCATCCTCGAGCTTAACAATAAAATCGGATTATTACAAGTATTTTTCTCTGGCAGGAAATAGATGGCAAAGCGCTACTTTTATTACCAGCCAATGCTCTTGAGGCATTGACGGATAACAAACTCGGACCAATAACAAAATTAATGGATGCCCTTCAAAGTCTGAAGAAGATGTGGGGACTGCATTCGTAGGTTCGTTACATGAACATTCAATTTGTAAAAAGCAGAGATAAGTTTAATTTTTTTACCTTCTTGTGTTACTTGGTTTTATTAGGAGCCGAATGAAAAGGTACCGTGACCCAGGTAGTTGAAAATAGCTGTGTTCCTTTTTAACAAATTTCGAAGGACCACAGATAACCTGTTCTCACACGCCACAAAAAATTGTTGTCGTAACTTGCTCAAAAAGCAAAGATCTGCAGAAGTTTGTTAAAGTACATTCTATGTCTGGAATAGACAGGTGGATGAAATGATGGGGCGGATGGAAGAATTCTCGATGAGGAGTAGAAGTGGTGGTGCAATAAACATTTCCAGGTTGATTTTTTCTCACTATTTAACAAGCGTCCGGGCTGCTTCTTCCATATTCTAGTGTTAACAATTTAGCCGGGGTGTAGCAGGTCTCTTTGTAAAACGTTCCTGGTAAAAAGGAATCAAATGAGACTTTGGTACAGCAAAAATTCAAGATGGAACGGAAAAATGGGAACAGAGAAACATTAAAGTATGTTATGTCTCCGTTTTACCGTGTTATTGTCAAATTTAATGGATTCATTTAACTTGTTCAATAGCAGGGAAAAAATCCTGCATTGTAGAAAAATTTAAATTATTGGAATGAAAGTTCAAGCTAATGATAAAGAGGCTTAAGCCATCATGATAAAGAGGCTTAAACCATCTGTCAATCAAAATTGGCCAATCAATAAGCTTATTACCACGCTCACGTTTATTAATAGTAGATCGACCGACGGTCCAAGCCACTTTAGCATCTGTCGATTGCCTTTAAGGGGCTTATGTATGTGGTTTCAACCAAATTTCAAGCATTCTGGTTTCCAAGATTGCAAATTAAGGCTCCAAAGCAGCGTTTGACCTATTTTTTGTAAGTTTGAAAAATGTTTCTTGGCCGCTGGCATAAGAGCTAAGAGCGAAGAACGAGTGTTGATTGTTTTGGAGCTATAAAAATGATACAAGTTCAAACTACTGTCAAGTTTATAGCCAAAAAAAATTCAAATTATATTCGGTTGTGATCATGTTAAAGTAAAAAATTGTATTGAGCTCAAGATCAGAGACCGAATTAAATGTTTTGTATCGGACCAATTTGGTTAGAATATTGTCACGCATTTCCATTGCATAGTTTATTATACTCAGATTCTTTAGATGATGCAATTTTGGAGAAAACCAATCTTTCGGAAAATTAGCAATTTTTTGTGTGCTATTTAATATGGCGAATTGTGCGTAGAAACATCCTTTGCACTTTTGGTTTACCAAAATACTCATGAAAAGATTCGACATGTTCATGTTAGTTAACCCTTGTTTTATTTGAAGTACATTTTGTTCAAATGTAGTTTAAGTTATCAGCCAGAAGAGTGTTGTTTGAAGATCAGAGCAGAACATCTGATTGATTTTTGTCATTGTGCATAGAAATTTTAGGGATTCCCCATTTATAGGAATTTAGATCGAAATATCTTTCCTCAGAGAGAGGCTGGGTGTGTAGTTTATTTTATGTTTAAGATTTTTGCATCAGTTTTTCAGCTCGTATGGTTACCCTACCCAACCAAAGCATCATCATATTTATTTATCGCTCAAAGTTCAAAAGAGGCATTTTCGTATTATAGAAGGTCGCAGCGAGAGGTAGTGGCTGCTTAGGTGCTGATAGCTTCATCTATTGTTAAGTGTAGTATCACTTTTATGCCTGACCTCAACCATGAATTAAATGTGAATCATTCCTCAGCTCAAGTTAGATTAACCAAGGGTGAACCAGTTTTTGCATCTTCTATGCTTATAGATTTATTTATTTCTTTGATGAGACAAGTCTAGGTCCATACCAGCATTTGATATAATTTTTGTCAAATGTAAGTTATAACTTGAAGCAATTGTTTATTGGTAGTTAGGCTGATGGCCTTGCAGCTCTTATTCTTCTTCTAGCACTTGAACTGGCTGATAAGGTGCAGCAAATGTGAATCAGATGTAAAAATATATAAATATATATGTAAGGTATACGTTTTTGTGTACATAATTATTTTAGAAAATTAGCACCCAAACCTTTTAGGTCTTTCTCCCTCGTTAGGCTATTCGAGTTTTTTTAAATCCTTTGTCTACTTGTATTGTGCCAGTGAGAACTCAGACATTGTTCAAACTCCAACAAATAGAGAGATAGTCATATATTACAAGATTTTAAGCATACCCACCACTGCTTTTAACAGTGTAAAATTTTGTAGCATTCTAATTTTTCTGCAATTCCAAGTACAAATCAATTGTCACTCTGTTAGCAATTTTATTAGAGACCTTTTTCCGGAATTACACAAATATTTTTGCGTAAATGACACCAAAAACCAATTTCTTAACCAACTACCTGTTTAGTATCATTGAATTCCTAAAGTAAGCTAATGCTAATCAGAACTCTTACTGCTTTGGTTAAGGAGATTTAGGTGTGTAGATCACACGAGAAGAATCTTGTTCCCCAATATGTGTCGTAAGCCATAATTATTTAATGGGGTTTTATTAATTTGCAACAAGGCCAAACTCTGGCTGTTGAGTAGTTATATGCATTTTAGTCTTCAAATAGACGGAAAAGCATGATGTCAGTAGACCCACACACTAATTAACATACTATTTTTCCTAACACAGCTTGTTATCAGTTTGCGTTAAAGAATGTCAGAATTCTTTTAGCCAATTTTAGCATAATGTGCGTACAATGACCGGTGTCTTTTTCGTCGTGCCTTAACTGTGTCATATTTGTGACTGACAAGCAACCATATGTATTGGATTTTATTTATTTGGTTTTCTTCATCAATCGTCGCATCTATCGTCATCATCCATCGTCATCATCATTTGTGTCTACTTTTCATCAGGTTCATTCTGGTTCGAAATCTTATTTCCTTAACTAGACATTTACTGTTGGTTTCCTAATTGAAGCTTATTTCTTCCGATTTTCCGGTGTTTTGGACTAGAATTTCATGAGAATTTAAAATTCACCACATCTGTGCAAGTGATGGAGTAATTGTCATGACTGTATATTCTTGAAAAGTTTATGTCATTTTGCATATATACTATTTTACATATAAGAAAAACCACCCTGGGAAGATGATTCTTAGATTTGAGAGGCTGTCATTTTAGTAGTTTTATTAAGGAAATCTTGAAAAATGTATTCAAAAGAGTTCAGCGTTAGTCTTTCTATTTCTCATGGTGATACCAGCGCCTTACTAGCAAGCTTGTCTTAATCAGGCTTAAATCTATCAGTAGCAAGGCAGAACACTGTCTCTTTATGCCCATTGTTTGAATCTGTGTGAAGTTTTTCGCCAATAAACTTGATCTTCACGCTGTCAAACTTAAACAAACTTATTGCCCCAGCTGTCTCTATACACATATAAAAACACGAAGCATTTTCACAGATTCAGTGTTAAAAGTACTCAACCATTTTTTAATTCCATAACTGTTAAGACACATCTAATATCCCTACGACCTAACTATTGCACTGTTTCATTTTTTCCCAGTGTACTGTGGAAATGCAGATATAGGTAGATTTCAGCTTGGTGTCTATGGTGTTTTCAGCTTGGAACAAACAGACATAAAGAGCTTCCTTTTCTTAGAAATCCCAATATTTTATAATTGTTTATATTGGTATTGCAATATTGTAGGGAAATAGGACACAAATCACCCATAAAGTATGTTTTTCAATAAATTAGTGCTACAGAAGTATGTATGCAATTGAATTTTCACAGCAATTACCAATACTTTGTTAAAAGCAGAGTACATAAGAAGGATGATTCTATGGTTTTGAATGTTGTTTTCTTCATTTCACATTAAATTTTATACCTATGACAATTTTATCTGCTATAATCACCAAAGGGCAAAAAAAACTTCAATGTCCAGACCTCTCAAGCTGTTAAAACGTTGTCTTGTGTTTTCATTGTGAGAGAAAAAGTTCATTGTCAGCCTTTTCAAAAGAAGTTCCTGGTTATCATATGCAGTCTGAATACAGTTTGCAAGCTTTTCAACAGTTTCTTCTTGAAACTCATAGTAATCAGAATTTGATGCAGACCGAGATATATTAATTCGCTCCAAATACGGAATAACATCACAAAGCCTTTGCATAAAGGAATCATTAATATCACATTTTTCTAAAACAAGTCCCTTCAATCTACAAGGTCTTGGGCTTGATCTTGAACTCAAAATGCAATCTACAATATCTTCAAAAACAACGTCTTCCAACTTGCATCGAGTCAGATCTAAATTTTCTACTGTCTGAATGATTTTGCATAGAGAGGGTGTCACATTTCCTGCAAACTTGCATCCATGAAGCCTCAACTCTTTTAATCTGAAGTTTTCATTCACCCTGTTATTCATAAGCCCAATAGCGATTGAAGACATGCTGCAAGCAGTCAGGTTGTTGTACCATATCTCAAAACGTTTCAGAAATAATATGCTGGATGACAAGATGGAAATATGCTCTTCAGATAAATCGCAGTTACTAAACACAAGAACTGATAAATTTGTAGAGTTTTTTGTTGACTGTATTGATTGTGATACAGAATTTACAAATTCTGTATCAACAGTGCAAGCAATAAACTTAACACCACAAAGTTGTTCTACAACTTGAGAAAGATCGCTTGTTTTCTTTAATGATAGGTGTGAGTTCATAAGCTTTAGTGTGACTTCTGAGAGGGCACTGGTACCAAATGATTTCAATATTGTCTTCATGCAGTGAACAAAATGGACACATTCAATTGTACTTAAATTGTCAAATGAAAAATCCATCACTTTAAATAGATCTACTGTTTTTGGAATTGAATCATCTTCTCTAAAAAGTTCATAAAAAATCGCCAGAAAAGGTTTCCATGTGATTTTTCGCTCTTGCACCTTTTCAAAAATCTCAACAGCTATCTTCTGAACTGTGGGTCTGTCTTTTATGAGTAAGAAATCATCCGAATGCTGCTCATTGAGTATAGAGTGCACAAACATTGAAACAATGTCATTTTTGTGGTTCCTAGCTCTTTCATTTGCATTCGAAAGCCCAGCTACAAAACCAGCCACTATATACATCTTCTTGCTCAGTAATTCCTTGATGTTAACACCGGCCTCAAAACAGTGCACACCTGCTAGAAACTCTTGTAAGGAAACATGTTTAAACTGGTACAAACATTCTGTGGCTGTTTCAATTTTGATTAAGAATGAGTCCAGTAACTTCTTCTCAAGAGGATCACCTAGTGAAACAATGGTAGTAAATTCCTCTTGTGTGAAGACACGTTTGTTAGATGCTAAAAGTTCATAAGAAATTCTGGAAACAGCACCAATAAAGTTTCTAAAGCGTGTGTCCAATAAAATTCTGTAGGGCATTTCCTGCATCTCCACAAAATGCTGTCTGATAAATGAAATGAGTACCCATACATATAGCTCAGTAGTTCTGTGAATGCTTTTATCAGTTTCCTTTGAAGCTAGAATCCCACACAAACTTGATAGAAACTGTGGTACTGCAGCCATTGCTCTCAAACTCACACTCTCCTGAACTGTAGTCATTATCCGGTTTTTGACTTCTTCATCTCCAGCAGCAAAATTTCCCACATAAGCTGCAATTGTTTCTTCAGAAAATCCAGTGATTTCAAAAATTCCAAGCTTTCCCAATGTGCCCAGTTCATTTTTAAGTAATACTGACTGCACATGAGGTCTTCCAGTGAAGATGCAAGTGTGTCCCGGCAGCAATGTGCTTTCCTTTTTAATAAGATCTCTTATGATTGAATGTAAACTACAACTAGGCTCCTCTTTAAAAATTTCTTCTAAAGATGGCAACTCATCTAGTCCATCCAAAATAATCAGAACTTTCTCACCATCTACCTTTCGTTTTATATAGGATATGCTCACTCCAAACAGCTCATCAAATAAACATTCTGAAGAGATTGTTATGTTTTGATACCTAATTAGACTTCGACACTTCAGCAAGAAGAGCAAGTCAAATTTTTGGAAAAGCTTCTGTTTGGCCCAAGAAAGAGCTATGTGTTCCAAAAAGCTTGTCTTTCCAACTCCAGCAACACCTTGGACTAAAACTCGTCCATTTTTTTGTTTGGTTAACTCTTCTTCAGGAACAAAATTGGCTCTGCTATATGGTCTATCCATATACCGATGTATTTCATTGAAAGAGTGACAGCACTCTTCATTAGCTTCACCTTCAACAATATGCAGATTAACCATAAAGCTTTCACAATCTCTCTCCACACAGCTGTATCCTTTGTTGTTGATCACAGGCACAGTCCATTTACTGAAGTGTTTAATGTAGAGCTGTTTTAGTCCATCTGATAGGCCTAAAACACATAGACATAAATTGAGATGACATTTGCAGTAGTTGTTTGGGAAGCTAGAAATATTTAGAACAAAATAGAATCCACAGAACTGTAAGTATCTTTTCTGGCCAAGGGAAAGGTAGTTAAAGATTTTTGCTCTGTAACAGAGCAATGCATTGCTTTTAAAGCTGGTTCACAGATATACTTGCTTTGACATGGACAAGCAAACTAAATCTTTTGCCAATTTCAAACCTGATGTGGAAGCTTTGAAAAAAGAATGGGAAAATCTAAACATTTTATCTACAGATGCTTGTCTTCTGTAGAAATTGGCTCCTTTTTGGCATTGATAATTAGGATTGAGCTCCCATAGCACAACATGCCTGGACCCTGGGTATGATATTATTGGTATTTGTTCATGGACAGTATCATATTTAAGGTTCCATGCCATATCTACACATACATTTTTTTTAAAATTTGCCTTTTCAAACAAATTAAATTTTTTATGCCTTGATGGAAACTGTGCATTTTCAAATTGTTCTATAAGTTTTTATTTTTGATGCATGGAAAATAAATGTTTTGTTTGAAAACGTATTCTTGTAGATATGGCCTTCAAAGGACCCAGATATAAATGTCATCAAAAGATTAGTGGTGTGAACTCTCGAAAAAATCTTATAAATCATAATATTATGGTGTTTTAAGGAGATGGTTTAGGTTTGATCATCATTATTTCAGAACAATATTTTGCTTCCTGGCAATATCATTTTACATTATCCGGTGCTCATTAAACTGTGCTCCATTGCTATTTTAAGAAGTGCTTTCCGTGCTTATGCTCGATTGAGCACCCTTCTGGGCAAGGCCTGATTTATGATTGTTAAAATGACAGAACTTTGTCTTTGGTACCAGTTTTGATAAATTTCAAATATACCTGCAAAATCATCTTGCTTTTGCTTGTCTTCAAATTGGGGCTCTAAAATTGTAATGAAGCATTTATGGAAAAAAATTGACATCAGAGAGATCAAATCAACTAGCATAAAATTTTTTATTCATTCTAATGTATATCTAATCTCTGTCTGACCTATTTATGATAACTGAAGCGACAAAAAATTTCAGATAATCACATGATCTAGCATTCCCAGATCAGTGGAAGGGTAAATGTTGAGCATCGCTGTTTCAGGTGGACGCTGTTTCAGGTGGTTGTTGCTTATATGCTTTAACGTGGGAAATTGTGATTATTGCAAATGGACCACCAAGATCAATAAAAGAAAATTTCTGCTAGCTTAAAGTAAATTCCCTCCAGGATCCCAGCCAAAATTGTTGAAGTATGTCTACTCAATTAGAGTTAAAGTACTCATAATTTGATCTAAAGAGGTAGTCAACAATCTAGCACACACGATTGCATGGCAATACCAGTTTGCATGTTGCAAATTGATATACCCTTGTTATAACCTTTATCCCTGAAGGGCACATTATTTAAAAAAATAATTATTTGATTAGCCACAAATGGAGTGGGCAAGCCCGTCAGAACTGGGGGGAGGGGCTGTAGCCCCAAATAATTGCCAAACTGTAGTATATTTTCTTTAAAACAGTGTACTGAATAAGAAGGAATAAAATGGGCAGCCCCCCAATATGAATTTCATTCCGACAGCACTGGTGGGGTAGCAGCTCCTGCATTGTCCAGCAAAATTATAAATAATTGATGACCAAACACCTTTGTTTCTTTTGGCCCTTCTAAATATTACTGATGACCAATCATTTTGATTTTGACACTCCTTGCCTTGAATACCAAACTGAAATTTTCAAATTGAATTTTTAGCATAGGGGATGATTTTCACTATGGCAAAGGCATTACTTTTTATCAGGGCCGGTTTCAGGAAATTCTAAAACATAAATTCCTATTCTTGAGGGGGTGTTACACCCCTTCCACCACATCCCCCATTGGACCAGCCCTGCTTTTCATTTTTAAAAAATGAAACAAAACTCAATGTCACTATCTGAAGAAATTATATACTCATCAAACCTGCTTGCAATATTTGTCCAGAGCCAATGATGACATTCCCTTGGTTTATTGTGATATTATTTTGTGCCATGTTTGCTCTTTAGATGTGCAAGCCCATATGATCTTGTCTCTTTTCACTGTTTCTCCTTGCTTTTAAAAATAACAAGGTTTTGATTAGTTAACATTTAAATCTCAGATTGAGGGTTTTTTATACATTATCCAAATTTGATCTAAATAAAAACAGAGACGTAACAGGTACAATGAAATTTGATGGCATATGGACTCCCAGGCCCTATTTTTCAATACTCCAATGTATTTTACGAAAGCACAGCCAGGTGATTTGGTAGCATGTGAACAGGCTTGTAGGGCCAAGGAGAAACAAAACCAGATTATACCAGTAAAACAGGGGGAGCGTTGGGGGAGCTTCTTAATGTACACTAGATATTCAGGACGTTGGGATGTTTCCGGTTCTCTTTAGCTGTCTGAATGATAAAGGCTTCAAAAAGAACAACTGTTGGTGTACCTTGTCATGATATTATCGATCTTCCCTCAAACGTCAGGCAAGCTGGATTGTATCCTTCTTTTTCGAACCTCTATCTTTCAAACAATCGCCTTGGGCCTTATTGTTGTTTCGAGGATGTGTGGGACGCCAAAACCGACGTTGCTAAAACGAGGAACAATTAACGAAGCCGCAGGGCCGACGCGTGTCCTTTAGCTGTAAAAAACTATGAGCACTAGAAAAACCATCGAGATCGCCCCTTATTTGTTGGGGATACAAGAAGCCAATGTTGAAGCCTCGAAGCTATTTCATTTGTTAGGAATCAAATCAGTAGTGGCGCCAGGGGAGGGCTGGGGGGGGCTACAGCCCCTCCGTCGGAAGCATCTAGTCCCCCCCCCCATCGGAGGAAATTTTAGGTTATTGTCGGAGCAAATTTGACAAAATAACGTACGAAAACTGCGTATCTTAGTCATTTTAGCCCCCCCTGTCGGAAGCTCCAGCCCCTCTGTTGGAAGATTTCTGGCGCCACCTATGAATCAAATCAAGTTTTCTGACCTTCTAATTTATTATGCCTGGACCCCCCTCCTCGCCTGCGCGCAGACTCGACGGTTCTCCCAGAGATAAATTTAGTTGAACGGAAAATTTAGGGTTGCTTTCCTAGTATAGAAATTTGAAGGGAAACCCAGAAATTTCCATGAAGTGATACCCAGAAATTTCCATTCAACCTTCCAATTTCCATGAAGACATACCCAGAAATTTAAATCAGCCACGTAGCTGCAGGGGACACGGTGGGCTGCACCCTCCAAATGAAGTTTTTGACTACAACTTGCCATTTTAGAAAATTGGCATAATTATCATTTTGCAAGTGGGGACCCCGTGCTAGCAACCTTTTTTGGAAATTTTGCTCCTCCTTCAAATTTGCTCTGGATCTGCCCCTGCATGGTGTGACAGCCCCCAATCTTTTATCGAGTCCGAAAGTTTGAGGACAGCCGAAAATTTAAAGCTGTTGGTAAAAAGCTAGGTTAATCGGAAAAAATTTGAATCATTCGTGAAAACTGAAGTTTTGAAACAATTGACCTTGTAAACTTTAGCTCCAAAAAAGCATAAAAAATGTTTAATTCATAAGAAAATAGTCGTTTGGTAAAAGGCAGCCCTAAAAAGAACGAGAAGCAACGCAAAACAGAAAAATGAAGTTGGGTACGAAAATGCAAGTATTTTCAACTACATTCGTCGTAAATTTAGATAAGGTAGTAGAGCAATAGGCAAGTCGTAGAAGGAGAAAATTAACATCTGATTTTTGGACAGCGAATGTTTTGATGCACTAATTAAACTAACAGTTTTTATGCTCGATCTTCTAAATTTACGAAATCCAGAAACTTGTTCATACAGCTGAATAATTATTTACGATTTATAAGGTTTTTTTAGTAAAAAACTTTTAAAGTTTAGGCCCTCATACAAAATTAGAGTTGACCTTTGTCAGTCGGAAATTTCGAGCACCTCACCCCCCCCCCCCCCCCCAAATGAAATGTCTGCCAATTTACGTCCCTGTGGCTGTTCTTTATTACTATCGAAGCTAATATTTTCGTAACTTTGCAATAACTTATTATCAGAATATCCGGCTTAGACACATTTAGGGATATCATCATAACTTATTTTAAGAATTAATTTGGATGCTATTTACCTCTGAATTTAGAGTTTGCTAAACATGATATAAGACTTTCTCGGAAAATAGAATGCTTGTGTCATGTGCAAAGAGATGAGAATCGATAGCATATGAGGAATTAATAAATATATAAGTATTATTAATATATAGAAGAAAATGTATAGGCCCACTACCTTGTGGAACACAGAACACAACAATTAAAAGTGATTCGATTTTACAACCTTTACGGTAATTATCTTAGCTCTGTTGATGAAATAAGACTTAAATCATGAATGTCCTACCCCATGTTTGCCAGAGTGTTTTAGTTTACTAAAAGATATTTCATAATTTACAATTTCAAATGCCATAGAGAAATTGAGAAACACAGAACAAGGCTTTAGTTTCGATATTTTTACTTACTTGCGACTGAAGCTACAAAACGGCCAATGTTTTGATCTGTTTTCTTGAAAACAATATACCTGATGCTCCTGCCAAAAATTTAACGGGGTTGGCAATTTTTTCTAATTTGTTCTAAGGATGGGTTTGGGGTTCTCTTTCTGGATATTTCAGGATTAGCCTACTGAAAAGGATGAATTAGCAATTGGTGAGGATGGTTTCAAAATGGTTGTCCAAATAAATTTAGATTTTCCGACAGATTTTTCCCATAAATTTGAACATAACAGAACGACATCAGAACTGAAATAAAACAAGAAATAAAATCTCATAATTTATTCAAAGTTAAGTTTCATCAATTGTACGAATGAAAGATTTTTCTGGTCTTTTTTCTCAAAAAGGCACTTTTAAGTATAGTACTTTATTGAAAGAGATTGCCAATCTGATACAGACCAACAAAAGAAGTCTTTATATATAAAAAATTAAAACATTTCCTCTCAAAATGTGATACCTAGATAACAATAGGAGCCCATGTTTATAGCAGTATAGCTTTACAAGGGGTTTCTCACCCCCTCTGACCCAGAGGTGGCGCCAGAAATCTTCCGACAGAGGGGCTGGAGCTTCCGACAGGGGGGCTAAAATGACTAAAATAAGCAGTTTTCGTACCTTATTTTGTCAAATTTGCTCCGATGATAACCTAAAATTTCCTCCGATGGGGGTGCTAGATGCTTCCGACTGACGGGCTGTAGCCCCCCTAGCCCTCCTCTGGCGCCACCACTGCTCTGACCCCCTTCTATCTACGCCACTGGAAATAGTGATTGAAAGAGTTGGCAATTTAACAATTGATGTTATTGTCAGATACCAAATTACCGTTAATCTGTAGATTAAAGCCATAAATTTACTTTGTTAATGCGTTAATCTTATCTAATTCCAAACCAAGTTTTCTCGAGTAATTTATAATTAGCAAAATGATAAATGTAATATTTCATTTTACTTTTGCGTATAACGTGGTTAATCAAGTCTCAATGAAATTAATGTTTTCTGTAATGTGCTAGGTCTTTTTCTAATTATAATTTTTTATAATTTTTGCATTTGATAATTTCAAAATGCGTTGGGTAGTCTATGAATTTTTTTTTCTTCTGTGCATTTTTTTAATAATCGCTTATTTCAATGGGGCATGCTTATTGATGTTCTTAGACAGCATTTCGTGAATATTTTATGCTGCTCGTCTGTACCCTGAAAAAAACTGACTGTTTTTGTTAAAAAGATTCCTTTTTTAAGTCATAAGCATAGAATCATGATTAAGGTTACGCTAAGATCCTTTATTTTGATTTTTTCATTTTAAAGTTTGACAAGTGATCATAAATAACTGAATTTCAATTGCCATATATCCTGTCAAAAACTGTGGTCTCTAAAAGTATGTTGTCGATTGAAGATGGTCTGAAAATATTTATGAATTATAACTCTAGTTTGTTGTAGGATATATGGCTGAAAAATTAAAAAGAAAGTTGATAAAACTACTTGTATAGCACTAGGTTAAACGTTTAAGAGATTATATATGGATATATGATATTATCAGTAACAAGCATTGTTTCATTTTCTTTGTTTATTTTAATTGATAGCATGTCGGTTCAATATTCCAAGCTTTCGTGCCTTGGATGAGGCTAAAATGTAACAATTGGGTTGGGTTAATATAGCCTGCGTCACGGTCTGTGACGCAGGCTAGGTTAATAATAGTTTTGGTTGTATTAATTTCAATCCAAGAATATTACTCCAATGCTTTGCCAAATGAACCGTGGATATTCTACAAAATCACTATGTCCCGTTATCAAGTCGACGGGCTATGCCCGAAACGTCGTTATTTATTTAAAAAAAAATTCCTGGTACAATTTACTTAGATTGATCGTTATTATTTACGAAAGATCTATTGTAAAGTCGGATTGGCTCAAGCCTCTGTGTCAAAGAGAGGCTTGCAAAAAGGAGGAAATAAGGCCGAAACATTCCACCAAATTTAACCGATACGAAAACATCTTGGCACAAAATGGGTGGAAAAGAACTAAAAGCGCTTGAATCGCCATAAATGAAGGACCAAACAGTCACTTAAAGATAAAGTAAGATTTTATTATTTCTGTGCTTGTAGTTATTGTCGTGTTATGTATTGTTTTTAATGATAATTTTCAAAATGACCTAGTTTTTATCTTATCCTTTTTTGACATTTTCTTTGGTACAGTCAATTAACTTTATTATCACTCTCCTTGAAGTTCAGTTTGCTGGTTACATTGTTTGTGACCACAGTGTAAAGTATTCAGTTGTTCAACCTCAAGGCAAAACTTGTATTTCTGCATTTTTGATTTGCAGTTTGCTGTTTCATCTCGACTCGATTTTGATTTGCAAAAATGTCAGACTCTGGCCGCAAAGTGATTCATACTGATGTTGACACAGGGTTATGTGTCGTAAATGATTCTGGTGATGAACAAGATGATGAGGTTTGCTTTTTAGTCCTTCTTATAAAGAGGGTTTTTTGCTGTGTATGTGCTGTGGATCTACAATTTCTAAATTTTGTCAAGGGCTACCTTTTTACCTAAATTAAAGCTTGCATTGTTTGGGCCTAAGATGATTCTTTATGGTCTTGTTAAATTTAAGCTTCTATTATACTACTCTGATGCCTTGTAAAATGTATTTTGATTACTTGTTTTTAGAGCTTGCTATGACTCGTATGAATTTATTCCATTTTGGTACTAGCTTATGACAGATTTTCTCTCATGGCAGGTGCTTCATTCTTTTCAAATTCAAGCATACAATTCATATCTTAGGCTATTAGTATTAACTGCAAAAGAACACAAAATCTGCTGTTTAAATATTCAAATAATAAAAGGAAAATACAATTGAGGTGCAACAGTAACAAAGAATTTAATTTAAAGCTGTCAAAAATGTAGAAAAACTCCTAAGAGCTGTTGGACCTCACTTCTGTGTCTAGCATTTGTGTTGCATAATTTGAATAAATAAAAAAACAACTTTTAGTCCAAAAACTTGTTTCACAGTTACACAAGAGTGACTCATGTTATAATCATGCTCTGGTTACTATTTGTTATTTGTATCCACTTAAAATCAGACCTGTTCAAAAAGACCAATGGTTTGAATTTAAAGGATCTCAATTGTAACTTAAGTACCAAACAACAATAATTGTTTGGTTGGTTAGTGAAAGGAATCATTTTTCCCTACTACCTCATAATGACTTATAACTTTGGTTAACAGTTTATTTATAGAAATAATGTTTTACAAGTTAGAAAGTTCACTGCAACTTAATCTTTAATTGTCTAATATATAGTCTTCTGTGTTGGATCAATATTGTACAGGAAAAGCTTAATGGAAATAATTGATGCCTTTTCTTTTTTAAAAAAGTAAGACCTTTTGTTTCTTAGGCCTTTGAAAGAAGTGAAAGTGGGTCTGGGGATATATCTCTACTAAATGGTGAAAAGATTATCACAAAAGGTATTTATTATGAAGTTGGTCATTTTTATGATCACTTAAATCTCATAATGTCTTTGAGACCATATTACATGACCATAGAACCTCTTATTGAGTTTATCGACTGACTACAAAGCTGGGAGTAGGCACATTAGATATGTGAAAACTATAAAAATGTTGTTTGTTACATTACATGGATATAGAGACAATGAATTGATGCAAAAATTTTTACATAGCTTACTTTCCAAACAGTAGTTTCCTGACAGTAACTGTTTTCGAAATTTCTAAGACTCATACAGGTCATTCCATGCCAAATCAACAGACAATGGAATTTTTGTGGAATGGCAATTATGGAATTTTTCAGTAGAAAGGCCAGAATTTTGTTTTGATTTTTTAAATTTTGATAAAAAATTCAACAAACATGTAAGAAGGCATGACTTGTATTTCAAAAAAGTTTATTATGTCATATTTTTTCAAGAAACGTTTTAATTTTTCTCCATAATTACCTCTTATAGATTGTGCAAAGAGATGTGTGCTAAAATTTTATTCTTTTCTAGCAGCTGATGTTATGTATGTTTGTCCTTTTACTGGCAGAAAAGTTGGATCTCTTTTTGTCACTAATTATAGAATTATCTTTCAAGGAAAGGATGTGAGTGAAGGTTTTTGTTTTCAATTGCTAATTTTTACAAAAGAAAAAATGAATTTAGCATTGACATGCTTTTGTTTTATTCAGTAGTGTTTGTTTTTGCAGCTTTTGTTTCAATTCTTAAACTTGACATTTTATGCAAATTTATGGCTTTTTTCTTTTTAGGAAATGCTAGTTGTAGATTCAGCATTATGTAATGTTGTGAAAATCGACAAAATTGGAGCATCAACAAAGAATGCAGACAGAAATTATGGCATAGATATTACTTGTAAGGTAATCTTTTGCTATGTTTTTAGCTAAACACTTCTCATTCACGAGCAGGTAAATGATTGTGTGGTTACTTGAATTTTTAGATTTTCTTCAACTTAAAGTGCAACTTTTCACTTTACATAGGAACAGTTTAAACAATTGTTTTAGAAGCATTGCATTGATTGTGCCTATAAACTATTTTTTCACAATCAATTTTCTTTAGTCTAGAATCAAATGCTATGGTTATTGTCTTGAATAAACTAACTTGTATAAGTTGACCATTTGTTGATTTTTATTTTTCATTTTTGTCAAAGAAATTTGAAAGGAAATATCTTATTTGGAGTATTTGAATTTTAAATTTTGCTCACCTGATCAACAGGATTTGAGGAATCTCAAGTTTGCCTTAAAACAGGAAAACAGCTCAAGAAAGAAAATTTTTGATGCAATTCAGGTTTGTTTGCTGTTTCACTTCAAATGAGATCCATAAGTTAGTGCTATCAAAAACAAACCTTGAGGCAGAATCAGTTACCAAGCAGTCAAACATGAAAAACAGGAACAGAATATTTTCCAAATTCACGGATAGAAATTTTACCATGAATGTTTTTCAAGTTCTTCAAATGAATATTCTTCATTTTTTAATAAAAGCTATTTTAGTTAATAGAAATTGAATGGGGTTTCAAAATTTCATTTTATGAACTTGGAGTTTCTATTCAGATAGCCTTGCATTTACAAAGGCAATTTTTTGCATTCTTATTTGTATGTACACTGTTGATATTTGATATCACAAGATATAGCTTTGGGTATGAAATTTTTCAAGAAAACGTCCCATGAAATGCAGGAAACAACATCATTTTTAACACTGGCAGCAATATACAGTTCTGTGCTCAATGTGTCTTTTATTGTATTTGTAAGAAAATTTTGTCAGTAATTGTGAAAAGTACCTGAGACAATATATCTATTTCAATTTATTCTACTATAAAGCAGGATACAATGTATGATTTAATGCACATTGTACTACATTGTATTCTGCTGTATTCTCACATTAAAAACTCTTTATGATTTAAATAAATTGAAATTACTAATGATTGGTTATCAAGAAATAAGTACCACCTTGTTATCCGGAACACACAAACTCAAATATCAACTGTCTTTTCACTTTCAGAGTAATGCATTTCCAGCTACCTGTGGAATTCCTGGAGTGGTATGACCTATTGGAGATTTTCAGCCCCTCTTAACTACATGCTGGCTTTGATATCTTCACTTATTTTGTATTTCATTTGCTGCAAAGTTTTCTACTTCAAGAAATGAATAGTAGAAGTGAATAGTAGTATATCTTGTCGATCATTGCTCAATTTAAAGAGGTCATTTGTAAGGAAGTTAACATGTTTTTTAATTATCTTTACTGCTAGCATAAAATATTCAAAGTAAAGTAATGTGTTCATTTTTTGGAATTTATACAAATAAACAGATCAAAGAATTACGCTTTAACAGATAAAGATTAAAATAAATGTTGATTTAATTTTCTTCAGTGTTTTGATCACTTTGTTTGTATTTCTTTTAGCGATTCTTTGCATTTGAATATCGAGAAGAATTTAAGATCAATGGATGGGATGTTTATGATCCAGAAAGAGAATACAATCGACTTGTAAGCATTAAAATCACTAACTCGTAGACAACATATATAATGTTCGTGCTTCACATGACGAAATAAGTTTTGTATAGCTATTACTAAGGAAAATTTAACCAAAGTTTTAATTCAAAGTCCTTGTCTGTAGAAGTAGACTTTATAATCAAATTGATTAAAGTATTTTTGAAAGAGGGGGATTAGAAGTGTTAATGATTGAAACAATTTTTGAGGGCGTGTAAGATTTCAGAAAATATGCTCAGTGAAATATACTCGAGTGATACAACCAGGGCAGAACTCTAACCCGCGATCAGCGTAAGTTGTTGCTCTAATAACTGAGCTACCCAGTGGCTTTCAAATCCAAACCTAAAGCCGCTCAACTTACTCACCAGTTTCCACTTTACCAAGAACGAAGTGTAGTCATCGTAGCATCCACATCAATGAGCAGTGGAACTGCAATTAGCAAGGTTTTTCGTTAAGCGAGCACTGATGCATAATGGGGTGCTGATTCGAGGATTTACAGTACTCTCTGATCATTCGAATTCTGCTTTTGTCATATCATTTCAAGAAGAATGTCGTTTAAGTACGTTTTTCCTTGATATATTGTGCAAGAATTGCGACTTTTACTACACTGTAAGCCTGATATCTTAAATATTAACTTAATATTTACAATTTAAACTTATAACCTTACAATTCAAGCCTTCTAAATTCAATGTTAACATTCTGGTTTTTTTTAGTCCTGGGCATTTTAGCAGCGGCTCTATAATAATGAACTGATTATCTGGGTATTTGTTGTAGGGACTTCCAACTGAATGTTGGCGGATATCGACGGTGAATCGGGAATACCAACTCTGTGATACCTACCCTGGAATTGTATGTGTTTTGTTCGTTTAATTTTGCTTTGACTCTTGTTTTATTGTGCAGAGGAACTTTTAGAAAAAGTGGCCACGTTTCGTTTATTTCGAAGTTTTGAGAATAATAAAATCTTGTAGGATGCTCAATTTTGGAGAAATTTAAAGCAGGGATGATGCTCGAATTTTTGAGAAAATCTTAATTACAAAGCTGTTAAGCAACACTTTCAGATTGAAAATTTGTCGGTTTATTATTTTACGCGCCTAGGTGTCGGTATCATGTCATATTTTTCCATCTAAATCAGTAAAGATGTTTGAAACTGCAGGTTTGATTCAAGATTTAAATCAGTCCCATCTTATATTCCTGATCCATCAAGATCTCTTATGTTTGGGTTTTGTATTGTAAAATTGGCAATAATTATATATTGAAATAAAAAGAATATTTCATTTTTGGATTGCTGCTTATTGTTTTATTAACTATACTATCCCATGTTCCAATTTTTCCTTTGCACTGATATGTTATCTCCAGATTTTTTCTCTCTTAGATAGCAGTTCCGTCTTCCTGTAGTGACGAGGAAGTCACCAAAGTTGCAAGTTTCAGAAGTCGTTCAAGGATACCAGTAAGTTTCGTAATGCCCCACACCTAGCAAGTTCACTTTTGGTAAATTTTTTTTTGACCACCCGACCACAAATGGAGGTATACAAATATGTAGATCAAAATCAGTTATTTTCTAAACAATTTTTTGGTGGTAGCAAATTTCAAAATGATTTTAAAAAAGTAAAGTAAAAGTAAAGACAAACTAAACCTTTTCGTCTGACACAATTCAGAGTATAAAGCGTCAGGATAATGATCGAAATTGCTAAGCTTACCAAGGGAGTGTACCAAGTTGTGGATTGAAATAGGCCAGAACAAATGACTGTTAAGGCTGCAGTATCAGTGTTGCTTGTTGGTGAAATTATTTTCCGTTGTTTTTTCAAAACCTTTGTAAAGTACCTCTCTACTTGGTTTTGCTTCAGGTGCTTTCCTGGTTGCATCAGACAAACAGCGCATCGATAACACGTTGTAGCCAGCCAAACAATGGTGTAGGTGGCATCAAAAGAAGTAAAGACGACGAGAGATACATCCAGGTCTGCATTTTCGTAGCTTTTTTTGTTAGATTTTACGTTGTTGTGGTTTGAAATCATCGCCACTATATAAGATGCTCCATGCATAAAAGGGCAGGGACGTTATGCCTTTCGATACTGTCATGATAGCCATAACAAATATGCTGCTTCTGATGATAGATATTTAATGTCATAAATTGTTTCGAACAGAACAGAATCGTCCTAATTAGACATTATAATCAAGAACAAGATCCTCAAATAATCATATCACATATTGTATTTGATAGGAGTGAGTCAATTCTGAGTGCAAATCGCCCCCCCCCCCCTCCCCCGTATAAGGTTTTTACAGCCAGGTACATCTACATGACCCTATTCATAGGTGGTGTTTGATGTAATTGTTGTTTGTTTTGATTTTTCATGTTCCTATCTTCTAAACTTCACGCTCTTTCATATACAGACAATTCTTCAAGCCAATCCACAAATGCATAAATTGTATATAATGGATGCTAGACCAAAGATAAATGCAGTGGCAAACCAAGTGAGTAACGATCAGTTGCCAAAAAACCCCCTTATAGGCCTGCTGTCTCTAAAATAGCACTTCCATATGAGTAAACCCCTTTTACACATTTAATATCGATGTAGCTATCCAGCACAGTGCAAGCTCTTTTTGTACTCGTAACTTCAAAGCTGCATCCCACAGCTGTCATTGCTGTTGCTGTTACTCTAATTGTATTAATAGATATAAGTGCGTTCAGGAAACAGAGGATTAGCCGAACTTATATGTATACATGAACTGAGTGTTTCTGTGTTGCTGATTACGTCACTGTTATATGACTGCCTAAATTTGGGCTTTTTATGATGTTTTGTTACTTCAATATCTTGTGTTATTTGATGATATGTTAAGAGTACAAGAGGTGAACTAAACATTTTTTGAAAAAGTCAACAAAAGGTATACAAGAATAATATGGTTTGGAAATCAATAGATTAGGATTATAACCTTGGCAATGAATATTAGTGTGTAGAATTGTGTGATCAATTTTTGTGAATCTCCTTTTTTGTCGTACTTTTGTATCAGTTCAGGGTATTATGGAAAAACGTTAACATCTCGTGTTTACATTGAAAATATTTTGTGCCCATGATTCACTAGACAGCTTTAGTCTAAAGTAAAAAATCTGTCATCTTTAGGCAAGCCTCAAGCTGTCCATTTCTTTTTGTTGCATTTGCATTAGATAAGAAATTAAGAACTGTAACTAAGAAAATAAATATTATATTTGTTTCTTTTAGGCGAAAGGTGGTGGGTATGAGGACAGTGATAATTACCCAAACACTGAACTCGTTTTCCTTGATATTCAAAACATCCACGTGATGAGAGAAAGGTGAACATTTTTAGCTTTTGTCATTCTATATTCTTTGTTATGGCCTTGTGCTTTGTAATCTATAAAATGCAACTTTTTAAAGAGCTTTTAAACACAAGCTGATTTTTAAAGTTGAGCTTTGAGTGGTTGATCTTTAGATGTTAAGAAATATACGCTTAAGTTTCAAAAGTATCAAAGAGGAAGCTTTTACTTGTCATGAATTACGACAGACAGAATTTTCTTCATCATTTGGGGAATTATCAGTGCTTTAAGAATATTTTCTTGTGAAAACATAACTTTTATTGTTAAGAACTGAAACAAAATACTATTTTGATTACTCAGAAAATTTCTTTGGCCGCTTCTCTGCATTTAATATAATTTTCTCATAAATTTATGTCACTGCATTTCAGCTTGAGAAAACTGAGAGATATGTGCTACCCAAGTATCGATGATGCGCATTTTCTCAGCAATCTAGAATCATCGCGATGGCTTGATCACATAAAGGTATGGTAATCGCTTCCTCGAGAAGCTGAACAAAATTTTGTAAACACTATACTATAAGAATCTCGACATGAAATTTTATTTCAATGCCATTTATGTTACTAGGTCTTTCTGTATCTTTTAAAATAAATTGGAAATCTCACATTTCTTCTATTGCTAAACATTCTTCTCCAATACTTCGGTTCCTCTCTAGAGCACGTAGATTCTTCTCACCGTCACAACTCTTAACAAGTTTATAAATTCTTCTCTGGCCTACGCTCTCATATTTGGGGTGGTGCTCCCAAATCTTCCTTGCGCATCCTCGACAAAGTCCAATCCAAACCCATTCGCCTTGTCGATAACTGTATCCTCACCAAGTCTCTTCAGCCTCTGTCCCAACAGCGCTGTGTAACTGATCTCGATATTTTTATAAATTTTACCGCATCAATCATTTCAGGAGATTAGAGATATAATCCTGGGTCCCCTAAGATATGCACGCAATATTAGACACTTTTCCAGCGCTCACCCTTTCCAAGTCTCTTTTCAAACGCACGAACTCAATCTCACAACTCTTCCTTCCTCCCTAGACCTTGTAAACTTTGGACTGCTCTTCTCTCTTTCTGTTTCCCAGACTCTTACAACAAAACCAAAAATAAATAAGCTTGATCTTTCCTTTCTCTCCCTCTCCCTTCCTATTCCCTTATCCCTTCTCCCTAGCATTACCAAATAAAAAGAAGACGACTAAGGATTAATAACGGTATATACTTTTATATACTTCATTTTATAAGGATAGAATGAAGTTGTTATTGCAATGAAATTTATATATCAATATTTCATTTGAAAATGCTAATACTTTCAGCAATGAATATGATGTAACTACAAACTTCAATGTATTGTAGCTAGCTAATGATTACTTACTTCCTGGGCACTTAAGCCACCTTTTTCTTCTGAAACATCGGCAAAGACGATGCAGATTTTTGTATGAAGGCTAACTAACGTCTATTTTTGACTCTACCTCCTGTCATTCCTGGAATAGTCGCCATCGGTAATCATCATATCTCACCTTATAATTTCTTATGTCTAGTGTTTCATTAACTTATTATCTAATGTTCAGTTTAATCTTTTGAATTTTCGCTACGTGCGTTAATGTCAATCCGTTCTTTTCATACTTCAGTCACCATCACAAATGAAATTAATGTTTAAGAAGGCCAATATCATTCATATGTTTTATAGCAAGTGCTGCACGATAGTATTTATAGGACAACAATATTTATAAATCTACGGATTGTAAGATTGTGAAAACTGTTGCTTTGTATAGAGACAAGTTTATCAGAGAAGAAGATTTCTTATTTGATCAGCTGATCGCTGAGAGTGCAGATACCGAGTTACAAACATAATCACTTTGTGCAGTTATTAAATTGAACATTACTTTTATCTGATCATATTGTCAAATTCATGATCTCCTTTTTCGCCTTTTTTTAATCCTCGTCCAAACTCCTTGACATTTCAGGCAGAATCTTTTAAGATATAATTTTGTACTCTAGGCCATTTTGTCCGGTGCAGTTCGAATTGCGGATATTGTCGACAGATGCAGGCTGTCCGTTATCGTGCATTGCAGTGATGGATGGGATCGGACCCCTCAGGTAACATCATCGAATTTATAACTTGAAAAGAATGGAAAAGTCTATCTCTCATTCTTCCTGGATCTTTGCATAGGTTCAGAATAGAGTATGATGGTTTAGAGAAAATAAAGAGATCTGAGAAACATGTCTTGTTTTTATCTTGATATCTTGCGGTGTCCCATATATTGTGTATGCACGATTAGTATATAAAAACTCGAACAGCTTGCAGAAATTTGATTTGAAGAATAATATGTATTGTAGTTTACATTAGAAGGGGGGGGGGGGTTAACTTCTTTGACCTAGTTAACGTTGCATATCTGTCAGTGTAATTTTTCTGATTAAATATATATTGTTTTAAATCTTTATTGCATAATGTTCAGTTTGATAATTAGAATCAACCGAATCTATTGAAATTATATGAACCGAATATGAGAGCAAATCTTAGATATATTTGTTAAAACCTTCTTGTTTTTGGGTTTTGAAAGAAAATAGTAACTTTAGTATTTTTTTCTGGCCAATTTCGTTATCGTTTGCCAAAACTATAAAACCCCAAGTCCCGTTTGGAAACATCCGGTCACTAGTAACGCTATATTTGAGCAGTAAAAGATTAACTTGTAAGAAATTACATAAGTGTTTTTAATTCTATTTTATATTAAAAATTTTACAGGATTGTGCCGATCAAATTTCAGATTTCTGTTAACAATTTTGTCTGTAATGATTTGTTCAATAAATTTTCATTCTATTTGACGTCGTGAATGTAACGACTTCACCGCAAATTCATGTACCCACTAGGTTATCAACTGATGAGAGAGTAAGGTTTTGGAATTTCGATCCATTGTGAAATTTACTTGATTTTGTCTTTCCTTTTGGGCTGTGATAACCTCTTCTTTTATAGTTGACATCATTGGCAATGTTGCTGCTCGACCCATACTATCGTACCATTGAGGGATTTGAGGTAATTCTGATTTCATACTCTTCAAATATTTATTTAAAAGATCTTGCCGTTAATTATTAACTTTGCTTTCAACTATCCGGTGTCTTAAGCATCAATTCCAACCAATGTGTTATTTTTAAACTTTTTTCGAAATCATTCCATAGAAGCCTTTAGAGGCGTTATTCTGATTGAGTTGAGCATCGAAATATTTTTCTGTATGCAAATTACTACTACATAAACTTCAAATTTCAGATTTTAGACATTTAACCGCGGATTTTTAAGCCCTTTTTAATGCTCAGCATTACTAGTTCGGCATATATTGTATTTTAATGACGATAAGGTTCATTGTTTCTTCCAAAACCTTCTCATTTCTCATGCAGGTTCTTATTGAGAAAGAATGGTGCAGTTTTGGTCACAAGTTCGCAAGAGTTTGTATTTTTAAAGAATTGTATTGACGGCTCAGTTGTTGAATTGATTAAAGTTCCATTATTCTATTGTATTTCTCGGAGTAGTAAATGCATGATTTGTCTGAAAGATTGGTACTAAAATAATCAAGTATATCCCTCGAAAGAAAATTTCGTTCCAAAAAGATTGACAATTGAATAAGTGGGAAATATATTGGATAAAATGATAGTTATGATAGGCTTTTAATTAGAAGTGTTTGTTTCATAGAGGTATGGGCTTGGGGATAAGAATTATTCAGATGAGCAGAGATCACCCGTGTTCCTCCAGTTCATCGATTGTGTTTGGCAAGTTGCAAGACAGGTAATCAATTGAGATTCCTTTTGTTAGTTTGTTTTTCTAAGTGTTTCTGGATGAATTCTCGGACCAATTATTGACCCTTAGCTGGATTTCATCATTCGCAGTTAGTATATGTAGTTATTATTACACAACAGGAGAACACAAAGTGAATTTTGTGGGTGAAAAATAACAAAATTGATGTTTGAAGAGAGCATCCCGTCGCAAAAAGTACGTCTTCTTTATTAAGGACAGTTGTTGAAGCCTTCAGCAACAACAGTATAATGGAAAGCCTCTGCGAGAAATTGAAATGCCATGTCATAATCGCTAATGTCTTAGTTAGAATTGCTTTATTGAAGAAAAAACAAGATAAAATATAACGAGCTTATGCTTGATGTATTTGAATTTTGATGCTCAGCTTTCAGAATCCCAAATCATGTCTGTATAATGTACAGCTGTACACGGGTTTTTGTATGAGTTTACGTTAATCTTATTTAAAGAACTGATTTCGAAAATATGCCACCATGTAGTAACTTCTCACGTCGAGAGGAGTATATACTGCTGCTATCGTCAACAGAAAGACAATGCCACTACACTCTAACTTCATATAGAGAGTCTATGTATTTATATTCTTTCCAACAATTTGCACCACTCTTCAAATCATGAACTGCTTTTTGTGGCATTAGATTGTATTGTTGGGCAGTTAGTCGAATAATGAATAACAGCATTTCACGAGAACTAGTCCAATAGAATTGCATTCTTCATTTTAAACCTTTCCGTTCCAGATAACGCACTTTTTTTTCTGTTTTTCAAGATATTCATTCCCATTTCAGTTTCCTTGCGCTTTTGAATTCAACGAAAACTTTCTCATAACGATTTTGGATGAGCAGAACAGGTGAATTCTATTATCTTATTTGCTCCATATTCTTTAGAACATGCGCTCGTTTTGAAGGCAAACGAAATTAACAGACACTCATAGAGTGACTGCCCCCTCTTCCATCACCCTTTACCTTCTGTCCAAATTATGAAAACTCTGCTTTATTGATTATTAACAGTTTTGACTGAACATTGAACAGAAATTTGTTATTTTTCTATTATAAAAGGTCTTTTCTTGTTTCTAATCTAACGACCATAATCGAAGTCACCACTGCCAGCTAAACTCTTATTTTCTTACACACATTTTTAGCTGCCGCTTTGGCACATTTCTGTACAACGCAGAGGCAATTAGGGTAAAAGAGGTAAGCGATTATCTTTAGATGAATTTTTTAAGCAGGTCTTTTGATAAAATTTTTAAGCAGGGTTGAATTGAATTTATACCTTATTATCTCCATGTTTTCTTGTGACTTAGAGTGTAAAATTCTTGCGATATTAAAGTCATAAGTAGATTTTACTATTATTTTTGCAGAAAGTTCGCACGGAGACAGTATCCTTGTGGTCTTATATCAATAACAAGGTAAGAATAACTCTATTTTTTAGTTAACGGTTTGCATTGAATGATAGATCTTAACTTTAGGTTTATGTCTGTTATGAGAGTATAATAATATATATGGGAGCATAAGGAGTACCTCAGTCGGTAAAATGCTAGAATCAGCACCGAGCAGTTCTGAGTCAGAGCCCCCATTCTTACTGTGCAACAGGAAAGTGTCAGGAAGAACATCCGACTTTCAAATGCTAAATTGCTTCACTCAGAAGACCTCAAAAGTGCACGTCTAAGCCAGCTCTTACGAGAAGATTGAATGTAGATTTAAAGAAAAACAGTATATGTCTAGTTGCTGAAAGTGGATAATTTAAATATAGTAGAATGAAATTCCAAAAAGCCTATCCTATTTGGAATGCTATTTTCTAATCAAATCTAATACTACTTTCAAGATAAGTGAAAAAATAAATGAGTTGAGATAAAGTATTTCAACAGTTTGTAAAGTTTGGCATTTTACGATGTTTTTTTCTAAAAGCCCCTTGATTTGAAAAGCGATTGCGACTTTTTATGCATATTTCAAAAATACATCACATAAAAAATCACATAAAAATTTTAACGTCGCCAGTTTTGCTTTAAAATGTCGCCAAAAATTGCATTGAAATAACTAATTCTCTGTATTTTTCCGTACAAGATAAGTTATTAATATTTCATCAACTCTGCTTTCTGCTTAAATATTTTCCTTCTTATCGCTGAATCTGGCTCTAACCGAAAACCAGCAAACATGCTTTTAACAACAGTTGTACGTGCTTGGTCTAGAAAAATTTCGGTAGACTACGCTGTGTGCCAAAGCAAAAGCTGTTGTTAGGGGAACTGGCAGCTGCTTTCGTGTTTGCTCGTTAATACTTATAAAATCTACGTCATGCACACCGTGGCATGTTCATTTTTTCAGTAATTGGCCGAGATCTCCATGGCAAAGGGCATAATTCTTTCTTGAGTATTGCATTTATTTTAGGTTCTCAGCACAACACGCAGAAAACTACCTTACTTATGGAAGGGAATTTGCTCATCAACTCTGCAAATATTTGTTTGTTCTCACCCCTGTTGCTGGATGTGTCTAGTGATGACCTTTGTTTTTAATATCTTGTGGCTTTTGGGCTGAACGCGTGAGATGCTAGTTTCTGCATCTTGATTTAAGGCCTGCTAATATTGTTCTATCTTTTTATTTCTTGAAAATCTTAAAGCTTTCTGCAAGATCTCCAAAAATGCATTTAAGCATTTATCTAATTCAACCTGCTGTTCTGAAGGATTTTTTTCTTTTTCCGTTTTTGCTTCCTTCACCCTGTAGGAAAATGAAATGGAGTAGTGTAGATTCTAGTTTACGCCATTTTGGTTTCCGTAAATATGTACGACCTTCTATTAGATCTGAAGCAAAAAATAGGAACTCGTTCATGTTATTAGAACATTAAATTTTCTCTTAATTTTTAAAAATAATTTTTTTGCTACACTATCTAAAAATTTTAAAAGCAATTTACGGTGTACTGCTTTTTATATGTAAATCGAATCTATTCCCAAAACCTATAAAGCCAGTTTATTAAGATTCACTACAGTCACACATTGCTTCCAGTCACACCTCATGAGGTTTGGTTTTGTGTGATTATATATGGAGTTGACTGAAATAACACTGTCTACTGAGTTCTGATCATCAATTGGCTGGTTTCTCGTCCTACATGTGACCACCTTTGTTTCACATAAGCTCTCTTTCAGCTTTCCAGTAACGCCATTTGATTTGAGTATATTTATTCTTCATTCTTCTCCTGCCCAGTTAATTAAGAATCAATGCATATTTTGCGTTCATATGTGTGTCTTAAAATCTCCTTTGTTAGTATAACTTATCTGTTCTGTTAAACACGGTTCTAAGGAAACCTCTGTCTTCCTGATGTGTAGGCTTGATGTTTTTGTTTTCTATGGAAACATTCGAGTCAGTATTTCTTAACATTTAATTAACTCCTTGCTTATAATTCAAGTATAGATATAAGCAAACTGTTGTCCATATTGAACAATTTATCTCCGTAAAAGCTGTTATTTTTAGAAACGTTGGAGATTCTATAGCAACAGACTTTGCCAACGGTTGGCCTAACACTTGACCCTATTAGAGCTCATCCTTCAGGTTGAGATGTTGCTCCATTCCTCAACAAAACATCGAGATCTTAAGAATTAATTTGCTGAAGAAACAGGTCTGAATAAATAAGATTAAACTAATTCAGGCCTCCAGATTATAAAACAATTAATACAAAGCAAATCATTTTTAACTTAGACATTTGTTTCTTGACAACTTCTTATTGAACTTAAAATTTTCGCAATCCAATGAAATACATTTTGCATTGAGCGCCGGTGAGTGAAATACTGGGTTCTCAAACGCAACGTGCTACCGCTCTATCGACAATTTTCTGTAGTTTGCTTCTAAGGCTGGATGCCCCGGTAATTTTTCCTAAAAAAATAAACAATTAATGTTTCAACCTTAATACATTTCGCTGTTCAAGGGGAAGCAATTCGAAAATTCATTTTAAAAAATTTCAAAATTTGTTGAAAGAATAATTTCCTCGTCTGGATTGTTTTAGGTTATCATAGAAGATAAGCATTTTCTACACATTTTTTGATCTAATCAGTTTTCTCTCCAATTCTATTGTATATTTGGTGTCGTGTTTATGTCTTTATTGTACAAAAAAAGAAACTTGTATGAAATCCAATTGATTTTTGCAAACAAAATGTCAAAATTCTTTCCCAGTGTTTTCCATACATTTGAACAAATAGATATCTTGAATTTAATGAAAGCTAACTTCATTAATGAATAGATTATATACAAAAATCTCAAAAGGGACACTGCATTTTCGCCTGCATTGCAGTCAGCAACTAAAAAACTCTTCTACCCCTCCTAACGTAAGAAACTTGGTGACAGCTGTATATAAACGATAACTGGGACCCATGCCCACTAACACCACGGAAACTCTCTGCTCATTGGTAAGACCTCCTTAATAATTAATCTTCACATTTATCCATTGACGTCATTGCTACTTCAATGTTTAAAAACATAGCACTCAAAACACTAAGTATAAATGTGCAAAATATTGCTGATGTTAAATTAGATGATTGAAAACCATATCATAGGCTAGAAAAGATCTTGTTCTATGGTGAATTAAATTGATCAGTTCACTTTTTGTGTCGCAGCTCTTCTTATATTCGCTAACAGGCGAAAACATTGACAGACTATTCTGTATAGTCTGAAGAGAGTTGGTAGTTAAAATATTATTTTCTTAATAGAAATGAAATTGTAGTTAAAATATGATTTGTGGTAGGTGAATTACCAGGCCCTCAAACATCTGGCAATTGCATATAAAATTAAGTTGTCGCTCCTTCTCTTTTACACATTTCAGCTAATAGAAGAAAGCTTTTTTCTAAAATAGGATTTGTGCTTTTGAGGTTTGCCTATTGATGCCATCAATACGTGTATTAACGGTTCTTTAAACTACAAACCTAAAATTGAGTTAACAGGCGCCATGTTGGAAGCTGGCTAGAAAAGTACGATTAAGCCAGCTGTACGAGTTGATGTTTCGTATGACCTTGACTCAGCTCTGTTGTAACTAACATATAATGCCAGCAAACTTACAATGCATGGCTGCTTTTTCTCAACTTCCAATTTAATAGACTCTTGGTTACTATGTAGATGTTTTGAGAAATTTCTTTAGGTTTTTATAACTTGATTCTTTCATACCCTTTACAGAAAAGTGACTTTATCAACCCGTTGTATGCGAAAAATTTGTATCAGCACGTAAGTGATTTATTAATTTTTGCTGAATTTCTGTTTTCAGGTAAATTATACTTTAAGGTAGTGAAACTTTCAATATTTAACTGGGTGCATTATGAAACAGTTTTGTAATTGTAATAATTGGTTGTTCCATCGAAAGTAACCGTGTTTATTGAAATAATAATTTTGTTGTTGTTTATTTTCTATAACTCGACTTGGTTCAAAGCAGAAATGTCTTTGAGGGTAGTCCTTATTGCTCAGTGCTAGTTTCCCTGTTTCATGTATAACTTAAAGTTCCCCAAACTTTTTCCATCTACATTAGTATTAGCGTGTTCCCAATTTGCAAGTTAGAACCGTCCTGTTCTTCTAACCAAAGCCCAAATATTTATGTGTGTAGTTTACCTAAACAAAACGAGAGGATTTTATTTGTGACTATGATCTTGCTTCAAATAGCTAATTTTGTTGTTGTGAAACCTCCATCAACTGACACCTCTTAGCAAAGGAGGGCACAGGGGTTTCCAACGTTACAACATTGTCATCATTTACTGCTGACCTATCATGGCTCTAACATGACCTACTTTTTCTCTAGGTCCTTTTCCCTGTCGCCAGTATTCGCCATTTGCGATTATGGAAGTCGTATTATATCAGATGGAATCCACGCACCCAGCCACAGGTGAGCTTTTTCGAGATCCACTCAGCCTGATCTTGCTTATTATACTGGGAACATCAGAATTATTTCTTGAATAAAAGATTCAATGTTCATGACTGATTGCTAGCTGCCTCTACTTTGCCCTAATTTTTTATTTCATTCCTTTTAGATTTCTCGATTTAAAATTGGTATAAACGCAGCAAAAGACTGAATAAGGAGAAAATGTTATCGTGATTTTGTGATTAAAATGTAGAATATGATTTTTGGTCTGATAGCTGCCTACTTAGAGATGGAAAAGATTTCATTTTATGATTTCATTCCGTCCAATTTATAATCATACTTTTCATTCCTTCGTAAAATTAGATCGATTTAAGTCATAAGAACGCTTAGGAAATCTGGTTAAAATTTGATGCTGGAGATAAATTGCCACTGTATGTAAGAAAAGGTTTTCTTTCACGTTTATTGATAAGATATTTTATTTACTTTTTTGTTTCTAGGAATCAATTGAACAAATCAATAAGCTGTTATTTCATCGGATTGAGCAGGTAAATCTGTTAAAACAACTGACAACCACATTTTGTAGGGAAACCTTTGTCTATCTGATAGGTTTTGTACATCTGAACACCAATAATTTTGACTAGAACTTTATCTGACAGTTTTTCTCACAATTTTTTAACTTAGTTATGTTTAGCTTACAGAAATAAGCCAATCGTGCCGTTTAAAAATAATCTATTTAGAAAATTTTTAATACAATTAAGCTTCCACAATGAGGTCTTCTTCAAAGGTATGTACAATAGACTCCGGCTATAGTCACACCAATTGATGCTTGAAATTTGTTACTGTAAACGAAGTGTGATTTTAAATGGAGTTAAATTGAAGAGTTTTGCATATTTGGGCCTAAATGTTATGTGGCTGCAACAAGAAGTGTGACTTTAAGCGAAATGAGTGTGACTTAAAGACTCGTTGCTAACAGTGAGCCTTTGTGAGCGTAGCAAATTGTCCAGGCGACGATCATAACAATGGCAGTAAAAATTTGATGGATTAGCCAAAATTAATTTCAGACTTTCTGAAAATGCATTATGGGGTGCTTGCGTAGTGCATGGATGAAATACAGTAAAAACCTGCGTGTAAGAACATACTTTTTCAGAGTTTGGTAAAACAGGCTCTTTTTTAAGGGTTACTTGATGACAGTTCAGGTTAAATATGTTCTTAATTAGGTTCTTAATTTTTACAGAGTAGATATTGTTGTTTATTATCAGAAAATAGCATCCAATCTGGTCTTTTTATCATTCCAGATATTTCTTAGTGTACCAATACTGCCAAAAGCCCACCAACAATAATACCTTAGCAATAGTTTTTCATAATAACGGTTCAAATTTAACATACATTCTGCGTTTTGAATTTAATTTTAACAAATCAATTTTCTGTCATCTTTTTTGTTTTTGCTAAGAAAGTATATAAGTTAAATGGCTCAACACCACATATAGGAACCTGTTGGGAATTGTTTGGCTTAACAGGTTCTTATATTTTGGTATTAAGAAAGAAAATTTCTGGCAGAAGGTTCTTAAATTTAACCAAATTTTCAACATTGCTTTTTTAGTTGGTTGAGAAATGCGAAGCACTCCAAAGAGAAATCGACGAGAGGGCGACAGTGGATGGTGATCCTAGTGACTCAGTTTCTTCGAAGCAGTCTGCAACCCCCTGGTCAGTTGCACAAACAACTTCTGTATGACCTTTGTATCCATGGGTGGCCTTCTAGTAATGCTTGAACATTTTTCATTAAACCAGTTTGGTACTGAAGCGATCAAATAACTAGTGATGTATAATCACACACACAGATTTAATTTGTAGATTGTTATCAAAGACATGTCGTAGTTTAAACTTGAGCGTTAGATAGGCTGCATATGTTTACATTCCAAGTTTTTTTGACGTAAGCTCGCTTGTCTCTTATTTTACAGAATCCTTACAAATTTCAGCTACATATTATTGTGGTGAAATTTTCAAAGACCTCTGATCTAACCTTTACTTTTATGTAGGAATTTTTTAGACAATTAACCAAACCACATTTGTCTTTTACCTTTTACACATATTTAATTTCATATGCACCATCATGTAATCTTCTCAAGGTTTTAGTCCCAAAGATTTTCTTCATTAGCCTGACAATATAAAAGTTTGTTAAGGGTTCATTCAAGACAGATGCCGTTAATGGAAAGGATTAGAAGTTTTAGAAACAAAAAAACAACTTACGTTCCATTTTACTTTGTCTCTGTCCAGTACTGCACACATTTTTTTAAGTGAGGCCGCGTGTACGAAATGCCAAGTCATGAGTCCTAACATGACAACAAAGTTAAGATATCATTGTACTGATCATCCTCAATCTTAGGAAACTTCCCGAGAATCGTTCTTATAGAAATTGAGTGAAAATGATTCTTTTTTACGGCTAGGCACCTATTTTCTGTTTAATTGGCATAAAAAATAGAAAGAAGCATTTTGGCATTTTAAGGCTTTTGCGCCACCAGTATGCTTAGCGGCGGCTGTCTTAAGAAATTGAATATTTTCATGCCGTACGATATTAGGCCGGTTTCGGAATTATAATTGCAAAGCATGCCGGTTGCGTAAGAGCCTTTAAGAAACCATCAAGATACTTCAAGTACTAAAATCGACAAGAAAATTAAAAAGACTGGGTACCAATCCCCAGGTTAATTTCTTATAAGAATGTTTGTAGCCTGCCATTATTGCATCTGAAACCGCCATGTTCTTCTAAATCATTATAACAAAAGTCGAAGTTATCATTCCTTCATAGAGAAAATTATTTATTTGTTGGTGTCGTTTAATACTGACACATTTATTCACATCGTTTCACACATCGTTTTTAGATTTTTAGTAAGTGTTCCACTTGATATGGTCACCTGCCATACCAAAATTCATTTCAATGGTTACAGCAGCTTTTCATGGACCAATGCATATCTGGTAGTTTTGGCTTGTCTACTCATGATTTTCAACACTTGCTGCCTAGTCTTACCTATTCAAAAGATTCATTAAACTAAAGCCATATTCCTACATGATCTGCAAACGTGACTGTCATTGTGCCGTAACAAGTCACGACGAAACGATAGAGTGGCAAAGTGATGACGTCACGAAAATTGATTTCCATAAGTTTTTGGATTTTGAACGTATAGCTTGTAAGGATGCCATAAGATGTCTCTAAAAGACACAAAATCAGTTTGATCTGTTACAGATCGCTTTAGATATGTCCACGTTAGTATAAGCTTTTCCACACTCGTCTTTAATTTTGGTCTGGTTCTGAAACTTATGAACCATGCCCAAATCACTTATGAATCGGGCTTCAGACCTTTCATTGGCCATACCTCAGGAAATCCGTGACAGATTCAACCGATTTTGCAGATTTAGAGATTAATCACCGTGCTCTTTCTGCTCAGGTGGTCAAAAATAAATAAAATAGATCTTTATGACGTCATTTCTTTGTCTCTCTATGTTAATTGTAGCGATCTTTTTTTAAGGCCTGTGGAAGATTGGAAAAATCAGTCTGCAGTGCCAGAAGATTTGATTTGATTCAACTTTCCTGGCTTTTACCGTTGTTGCCGTCCGAAAAAAATTAATGGAAACTCAATTTCGATAAGCTGTGGCTCATACACATGCATTGTTTGATATCGATCACATGAGTGCGGGTGTCCAATCAAATTCTTCATTCTTTTTGGCGCTGTTGGAAAAAGGAAGTATGAAACATCTGGGACTGTGCTTGATGTTGTCTGGTACAGTCCGAAACTGTATTTTTTAATTGATTGGCCAAATGACATGAGCTGTACCGCAGGCAGTTCTTGATAAAGCATGTTCCTTTTTTGTTTTCTTTCAATTTTTTCCAAATGAAAATTCTTTTTTAAAAAACCCCTGAAGTTGCACTTTGGTTTGTTCATAGTTTTCTAAGGGATGTTTTGATTAAGACCACGAGCTGTTGTTTTCCGGTGAAAATTGATTTGAAAAGTGATTTCGATTGTTCGATTCTGTCTAATTATTCATGTCTAAGTATTCAAGTCTAGTTATAAGAAGAGTATCGCCTATCTTGATTAAGCAATCAACTTTTGAAGGGAAACAAGGCAGTTGCCTTGAGCATGTCCATTTTCTATTCCCACCTTCCCATCATTCTTGCCTCCTTCCCTTGCTTGAAATATATTTTGACTTTGTTTGTGTTACAAACTCTCAGTTTTAATGACCTAGGTTAGGTATAAGTGCAGAGTTATAATTGAAAAGGTCATTTAATTAGCATTTCTAAAGAGTTCTTGTTGTACTGTTAAAATGCATGAATCTTAGACCCCGTTTACACTAGGACGGATCCAAATGGATCCGTACCCAAACTAGGACAGATAGGCTTTTTATTTACACTAGACCTGCTGGATCCATACTCATTTGGGTCTGCTATCTGGACCCGTGTGGGATCGCTTTCCAAGATGTACTCACTTTGATCCGTTCCCGTCTAGGTCTAGTGTAAACGGCTGGAACCGAACCAAACCAAGCACACCTCGAATTCCATATGCAAGCAGAAAGTTCTTCATATAATCACATTGCTAGTGTTATGGTTTAATTCCTAGCTGCAGTTTATTGTTTTCCTATGTGCTCAACACAGGATTCGTCAGTTGAGACTATAGCTTTGGTTCTCTCTAAACAAAGGAGCCTGGGACTAGGCCTACATCATAAAATTCAACAACAGCGATATCGGCACCGCAAATAAAGAAGATTCTGGCAACGACTAGGAAGAGCCAGCGTTTAGTGGCAATGTTGTTCCTAGAGAATAGTACGAGAATTTTAAACTAAGTACGATCGTTTTTGCAAAAGCGAACAACTCACTTGAGAAAGCCTTTGTCTGTTGAAACCGAATGGGAGGTCAAGTAGCCGAGATAGTGGACTGGATCCGTGCTAGTGTAAACGCGATCTAAATTGGATACGTTCCAGTATAAACACCAACAAAACTGGTCACGGAGCCAAAGTGAATCCGTACCCATTTGGATCCGTGCTAGTGTAAACGGGGTCTTAATTGTTTTCACCGGGTAGGGAGCTAACACTGACGCAACAAACCACGTAAAGCTAAAGCAGCTTCTTATTAAACTATAGTATATTCTTATTAAATCTTTAAATTACTTGAAAGCTTGCGCTTACTTTGAAATTTGTCTTTGGAAATTTTGTACTTTGAAATGTAATTTTGAAATTTTGTCTTCGAGAGACTGAAAACATACTACTAAAAATCAAGCCCAATTTTTTACTTTCGTTCCGCTGTATAAGGGCATCTAGCACGAAAGCTCACTAGAGTTCTTTTATGGTTTGTTAAGCTACGCTTATAATGTATATTATCAGCAACTACTGTTGCCTGATGAGCACGTGTAACCCAGAGCAGCAACTTAGAGCCGTCCTGTTCTATACACCAAAGCATATACAGCTCTGCCTATACGGCATCGAGCACACGACAGACCGGCAAATAAGAATTTCATAATTTTCAGCAATTATAGATGTAGTTTAAGCTTAGATTTGCGAAGAAAAAACGAAATCTACTTGCTCCTATTGTCACTTCATTTAAGCACTAATTTTCTGGATTTGGCCTCTGATTTTGACTTTAAAATATTTGTTGCCTTCGAAGCTAAAAACAAGAAATAGAGAAGAAATGGGACTGCTGTCCTAGCCCTTAGGTTTCCTTTTGGATAGTTGAACTTATTCATTTGAATCCTTGCTAGTGTCGTCGAGAATACCAAAATGAATCATCACGCGTTAATGAGCATATAGAAAAAACGTCTTACTAGGATAGAAGCAGTTTAGAACGTTCTTGCACCTGTTATGTTGCGTCATAGTCCCAATTATTTCTCTTTTTGCGCCGTTATGACGTGGTAGAAAAAATCAAGAATTAGCAGGTGCGAATGCGATGAAGATTTAAATGGATAGAAAATCTTCCCAAATGAATGGCCCCTAAAAATTTGTAGATAATAGAGTTATCACATTTCCATTCAAAATAGGTAAGTTTGAGTATACCTCAGGAGAAAACGCTGCTTTAGTGGCGTACACCGACAGCTCCTGGACATCAGGGGCCCCATTTGGCAAAACAGGTGCCAATGGAGCTACAACCCATATCTTGAAATATTTGAAAATCATCTTTTTACTTAAATGCTGTCAAGCATCTCCCGATTTCGTCAATATTTAATTGACCTGCCTACCCCAACCAGTATCTTTGTGTTTGGACAAATCTTGACTGCTGTTTTCTTTCGGTTAAGGAGTTGAGTGGTACCTTGACCTGTCTTTGGGCAACATCTAAAGCTTCTGAGAAAAGAGGCCGCCCGTAGGTCAAGAAACATAGGGCTTTGAGCAAAGCTTAAACTGGCTTATAACCTCTGAGGTCGGTCGTCTGATGAAAAATATCTTCTTAGCAACAGCGAATCTTCTACTTCTGACGATAGCGAAATCGCTTCAACCATTCCATGCATTCCGTGCACAGAGTATTTATGTGGGAAATTTTGCGATGTACCTTCCAAGAAAACTATGGCCAATCATACGCGACATTTAATTTCATACCCAAGCATACTCAGTAAAATCCTTTTATGTTGATTATTTGTACTGTTATTAAGTAATGGTAAATGCAAGCCTATGCCGCCCTCTGAGACGATTTACTTAATTCTGGATTTTTGCATTTGTTTACAAGTAACACTAAGCTCGTAGCATGATTGATTATCCTGGAGGAAAAAAGCAGGTGTAGGACTTTGCATTTGTAATCGTAGAAAGTTTCTGGTTTGGAAGATAATATAGTCGCACAATGTTTTAAGATGTACTGATAAATTTTATAATCTTCTATGCATTTCTCGCTAAAAATCTTCACGATCATGTATAGAACACATATGTCATTTGATGGCATTGCCTTCTTGAAGAAAAATTAGCTGCGGGGGCAAGCCTTTAGTGAAATGAAGAGGAGGACAAAAGCCTATTATTTTAAACAATAGATAGCCACTGAGGCCAGAGGGGCAAAGAGATCTCAAAGATGGGGCTACTTTTTTAGACTTTCGTTTGAGGACCGTATCTCGTATTATCCTGGTTTATAATAATCTTCTTGTGCTGGGACTGAATCTAGAAAGGGGAGATATTGGGGTCGTTTCATTGGCGGGATTTTCATAAATTTGCATGACTTCTAGAGAGGAGCTTTAGATACAGATAAAATACCAATACACTCTTCTTTTTATAAGAACACGGGCCTCAAAATTGGTCAAAACTTCAAAACAAATTGAGAACAAGCTTAGGCTGAGCTACTGTAAAATGCAATTTTGAAAAGTGTTTCATCTAGAAAACGAGGATGTTTAGCCATGTGTGGGTGCGTTTTCGGTGAATATTCAAACTTGTCGACAAATGAGGCCTGAACGCCTCCCTAGAGCGAAAAAGCTAGAAATTGCACTGCTTACACCCTATTAATTTAAGAAGAAATTACGAACGATCCAGCCTCAGATTTTCAAAAAAGAATTAAGAACAGTCAGCCGGGGCTTAAATTTATTGGTTTTTATAAAAGAGTGTATCCGAAGCAGGGTAAACCCCCCAAACTATTTCTCTCACCGCTCTCGACCTCTCAAATATGTATCTTTATGATAACACTGCATTTTGTTCACCAGTAAAAATCTTCAATTGAATCTTAATAGATATGGTATTCCTCCAACAAACAACTTGTTTAGCAAAACAAATAAAAACAAACTCGTAGCATACAAATTAAATTATAAACAGATGCACTTTAGATATATTTTGAGAAAGAAAAGTCTTGTCATACTTTATATCGAATGCTTTAAAAGCCGTTCCTGATTTACAAATAGACAGTCAGCTTTCATTTAAATGGAAAGATCCACAAGCTTCCGGATGATAAAGGACCATCTTAAGGTTGATTGAAATCATTCTTGATTTATTGATTGAGCTTGCAGATTTCGTTTATCAAATGAAGCATAAAGAACTTTCTCAATATATTTTCTAAAGATCACGCTATCATTTTATTTACCAGCAGCCATGCTTCTTGCTAATTTTGTTATTGCTGTTCTTATCCTTGAGCAAATTTAATGTAGGCCCGAGTGCTTTTGCCAAATGTCCTAAAAGATTTGAACTTCATTAGCCGGTATTTTCAAAGATTTACCGTATCTGAACGATTTATATTTCACAAAGAAAGTACTCATAAGCTTCCTATATCAACATTGCTTCTAAGGGGACGTTTGGGTGCCACGCCCCTATCGGAAAAGTCACAAAAAGCATATGAATACTTTGCTTACATCTGAGCCTATAAAATCAAACTGAAAATCGCCCATCCAGATATTTCAGTTATTGGAATATTGAATAGAAATATTTTGTATTTATCAACATATTTCTTCACTCTCTTTTTGGTAGTTTTTCAGTGAGAAAATAGAACAAACTTGCATTCGGAGAATTTGTCAACTGTGTTTGCAGTCTTCCGGGGCCTGAACTCTGTGAATGCGCAGGAGGACTTTGAGATGGAGGTGGATAAACGTTTACTGGTGAACTGTGAGGTGAACGTTACCAAGCAGACGTTTCACAGAAAGCATAACAGCCTTGCTTTCGTAAGGTGGCTCTCAGCCCACAGTTTGCATAATATGTTTATAAAGAGAGCATAATTTTATGAACTTCATTTAGAGATGTTATAAATGGATGTAGCCGTTGCGTTGTTTGGAATGACAGTGGTCGCAAGTTAGGCCCTTGATAAGCATCGATTAATGATGGATAAAAGTGGGAGTATCATTGAAGAGAACGACTCGGACGAGGACCTTACAGAAGAGCGGGTAGAAGCTTGGCTCGATGCAAATCCAGAGTTTGTAGAATCATATTTTAATCGCAAAGCACAGAGGACTTTGTTAGGATCTTTTCTGCGACACTCCAGAGGCTCTTCCCGGTCGAGATCTCGGGCTGCTACACCTCCTGTTGTCCCCGACTTTTATCGAAGCCCAAGTTCTGGAACATCAACACCAATCAGAAAAAGTTCTGTTTCTGATTTTGACAACAGAGGAATTTTAAAACCGATTGTCAGTGATGGGCAACACAGTTTTCTAGGATTAGAAAGGCAGTTCGGCAGACCAGTTCGGCAAAGGAAATCTAAAGAAGAGTTACAACAGTTGAGAGTTCTTGACGAACAAGCCTTTCTTGTTGAAATTGTTAAAGATATCGCAAATGATTTTCAAATCAAAGGTTTATGTCACAAAATTCTCCAGAATGTCAGTTTAATGACAAATGGAGACCGTTGCTCTTTATTTATAGTGAAAGGAGCGAAGGATGGTCCACGGTTCTTGTGTGCACAGGTTTTCGATGTTAATGCTGACTCCAAGTTAGAGGACCTGGATGACATGGGGGAAATAAACGTACCATGGGGAACTGGAATCATAGGCTACACTGCAGAAACCGGCGAAACAGTCAACATCCCAGATGCCTACCAGGTAATTACTTATTTGATTTGTTCGCTGTAAATTTACACAGATTTATTGCAGCAAACATCAGCAGCTACTGAGATCAGCCAACCCCCACCCTAAACATGAAAGGAACCATTCCAATCCAATTTTTTTTGAAATATAATATTCTACATTTTTATCTACTTTTCTATTTTCTCTTATCCGAAACTTTCGGCGATAGCTGTTGTTTGACTACAAGATTATAACGAACCCGAAGCGAAGCCGATTCTCTAAGTGCATTTGTTTACTTCGGGTACCTCACCTAAACCACATACCTCAGCTATTTCAATTTTAACTTTGTCAACTAAAATTTCCTTCCCGATCAGTAATTTGTTTCCCTCCGCGTACAGTTCTATTAAGTTTCACAGTTACTAATTGAGACCGATGATTAAAACAGTCTCCTGAACCAATTTCCGTTTCTCCATGAAAATAATTGAAATCTATTCATAAGTTGTTTGGGAGGGTGTTAAATAAAGTATATGTACATATATTTTTTTCTCGCCGACTTTTCCTTTCTTTTAGTGGTATGAATTATGTGTTATCTGATTTCGTAAGGAATTTTCATAAATTCAGTGGTGACATATATAATTATCATATATAATTACAGCTTTTCAAGCTACATGAATGTATTAAAGATAAATGCTACCTGTTATTCATTTAAATTTAACTACACTGACTACACTGATGGTTATCTAAACCAACCATTTAGAACGTTTTAAATGATACATGCCAGCTGGTCTGACATATGTTAAAGAGCCTTACTACAAGTGTTATACCAGCCTTGCTTTTGAGGATCATTATTGCAGGGAGAATCTTTCCATCTAGGTTTCCAAGTAAGGGTTTATATCAATTACAGTTTGGCGCTGTGCTGTTTCTACCTTCAAGGCTCATAATTTGCATTTTTTATGTTTTAAAAGATGGTACCTGTTATATCAATTGCTTGTGAATGAGGTTTGCCACCTGTGGGCTTGAGCATTTGTTCCCTTCAGTCAAATGAAATTTACAAACTATTGTTCTCCCATTTCTTTCTTTTATTTTAACTTATCTTTTGTTTTGTTTAATTTTACGACACAAACCTTAGATGGTTATTCATCATGAAATTTTAATAAGGAATTAACCTATCAGACCTGCTTTGCCAAATAACATTTGAATTTTGTTCTCATTCTATATTTTTTATTGCTGCCCATCTTGTTTCCTCAACATATGGTATATTCCAAGGTCAAATACGGGGAGGGGAATGGACACCCCCATATTCTTTCTTGTTATCTTTGCCCTTTAATTTATCCAGCATATTGATATTTACTGTTTGCCTTTTTGTTTTCGTCCCCCCTCTCCAATCCAAAATATATTTCTACTCACATAGCGTTTTAAAGCTGTCTTTGGCATTTTTTTAACTTGTTGTAAAATGGAGTCTCAATAAAGCATACACTGTTGGGATCAGTGTAACTTCCCTTATTTAGATATGTCTGTTGTTCCTTTAAGAAGTTCCTTTAAGAACATTTTGACAATTTGGGTCAAAATATTGTGAAAAAGGTGGCCATAGTCTAGAAATGTCCCCCTGTACTTTTATTTGCTAATACTGGTAGTTATACTGGTATTTGAACTGGTTTTTCTGTTATACTTCTTGATTGTTTTCCCTTATCAAATTGTGATAAGGAGTTAATTTGCATATCATGTACAAGTATTTGGCAGATAATACACTGCAGCTTTTAGTGCAAACTACCTAGGGAATTTAGAGGCAAGGTTTGGAGGGTGTTTTATATTATGACTGGATTTTGGTGCCACACCTTTCACATCCTGTATAAAGGATGAAAGCACCAATTTTCACACTTACATTGATACACATTTTACACAAGAAAATAGATAACATAAAATATTGGCATTATTCAATTGCTACTTACTACCAAAATATTTTTTTACCGAATCAAAGCAAAATGTACCAAATTAAACAAAATTATTGGGGGATATTGCACTCCCTCCCCCACACCCTACCTATAAGTCTGTCACTGGGGAACATGCCCTTTTTAGAATATTTTGTACCAGAAAGTTCCACATAGAAAAATAGTATTTTTTTATGTTTGCAGAGTAGAGTAGGTATAGGCTTTCAATATTTGCTATGGTGCTTTCTTGAACTTGAAATAAGTATGTGTAAGAGAGACCTGATCCTAGATCACGTTCCTCTTTTTGTAGTAGTCTATGGATGCCTATTTTGACAAATTTTAATTTTTTCATGTATCTGTTTCTTTGAACAATATTGTTGTTTATGTTAAATGTCATTTGTAATCACAAATTTAATTTTGCAGTAAAGAGGAATCTGCTGAAGTGAATAAATGTAGCTTTGAAGTTACTTACACACATTCTGAAAACTTCTATCTTAGTAACAAAAATATTTAGCTCAATAGAACCAGTCAATGACCTCAAGGTCATGAGTTCATTTTCTCTGTCTGGCTACTTAAAGAGCAGTTCTAGTCTTCATACAGTGGAATTATCTTTTCATTTTGTTCTACTTTGTCTTTAACTCTTTCCACAGCCACCCTATGCTCTTGCAAAAAAAGCAAGTTCACTTTCCTTGTAATAAACATATCCCTTACAATTTATCATATCTGGTTTTCTTCATCCTTGTTTTAATGTCAGATTTTGTTATTTGTTATCTTTATTATGTAAAAGTCGCCAGAGTTTAGGGACATTAATTGAAATTTTATCATTGACTTGAAACTAGATTACCTTCCATTTGCTGTGAAAGTATCTTGTATATTTGCTAAAAAGGGATTGTTTTGTTATGTCAAAGCAAACATGAATTGAAATGATCTGATTTACAGAAGTAAAAGCTGATTTTTTAACAAGAAGTCCTTGTTCTCAAATCTTCTTTCCAATGTAGTCCTTGAGATCATGTCAATTTATGCAAATATTTTTTTGGTAGCATTTGTATTGAAAAAGCCACATGTGTATAGCAGTAGGTCACTTTTCTGTAACACTGATGTCACAACTGAGGCCTAGGAGAGCAAGTTAGGCTCCCAGGTAAAACTTGAGATAGATACCAAGCGAATTCATATACATGTTCAGGCCTTGGCATTTTACCTTCCCTCTCGAATACGCCCTTCATGCATTACAACTCTGGTCATAAAAGATGAAGTGTGGTCATTCAGATATCACTTGAATTCATTATCGTGAAAATAAGGGATTGACGGAGCAAGCAAGCCAAAGGCGTTTTAAGAGCACCATTCTCTTTTTACGATGAATATCTATGCATATGCTATTCCTTTTTTGGTATTGGTGGCTCTGTCCAAACAAGTATTTAATCCCTTGTGGTTGGTGAAAAGTACTTTTCATTCTTATTGGTTTTGTTGGATAACAAAGTCTTTAGAAAGTTTATCTAGGTATGCGCTTTGTCCTCTGAATGGGTTCTAGCAGGCCGAATGCATGTCACGTTTCCCGGCTGTGTGCCTGTTTTGTGTGCATGAATCTTAATCAGTAATGCCGGGTCCTATTCACCCTTTTCACTCTTGAAAACTGTGGAATTCCACCTATATTTGCATTTTCCGCACTCTAGCCCTCCCCCAGCCTCCCCGGCCTCCCCGGTTACGACGGTCCTGCGTATAATTGATTTAAGCGGCCTCTCTTATAGTACAGCTCCTGAAACTGACAAGGATTTTAGCTATGAAAACAGTCAGTTCGATTGTAAAATGTATGCTCTTGAACATGTGGTATTTACCGCGTATTGTTAAGTGGCCATAATGAGATGCGCCAACTTCTAAACTCATTAGGCCTTTCACCTGTATTTAATTCTTTGTTTGCTGTTGAGTCTTATATAATAGTGTCCAGTTTAGTTAGTTACTTGGGCAATAAAGGCGTTTATTGGCTGCTGCTGTGACGTCCTAAAAATATTTGGTTTCCCATAAAACAACATCTTGAAGGTAATCCTAGGAACAAAGTTAAATGTTTTCATAAAGAAATAATAGTTCAAACAAAGGATTGCTGTTCGATGGCGCTTTTGCAGGAGAGAGAGAATGCCGATTATTGTCCGCCGTAGGGTAAAAACGTTTCTAAGAGAATCAAATGACTGTAATATTGTTTTTAATACTTTCTGTTAAATACAACAAACAACCATATAAAGGATTTAATTTTTCATTATTTCAATCATATTTTTATGTATATTGGCGCTTACTAGAATCGTCACTAGAACGTTGGAAGTTTAGTGTATTGTATGTTGTTTTTTATTTTTGTTTGTTCTTTTATATATATGTTTGTTCTCTGACATATATGTGTTTTACATGACATTATTACAAAATGTGCAAAGTTGAAAAGCTTTTGCTGCGAATTTAAATGAAAAACAAACTGTAATCTTTTGTTAAGGCTGCGTTTTGAGGTTTGGCATCTCGATGGAACTTAACCAGAGAAGAATACGTTACTCCTTACGATCGTTACAAACTCTTATAGAACTTTGCTAGAATCAGTAGCAATGTTTCGACTTTTTACAGCAACACAGGCTTAAACAGAAACTTAACTACGAAGCACATTGTATATAACATCGGATTCTAATTTCCTTATCATTGCATTATTCAAAATTCTTATCGCTGTTATGAAATCTGTTATGAAAACTGAACAAATTTATCTTTTCCTTCCGATAGTTTGGTTATTAATCTTACCCATGATCGTCTAGTATCTATCCTTATTGTCCTTTAGATGGCGAGCTTGCCGCTTTTGGGAATTGGCTTTTCTGTTTCTATCTTCAACCCTATGACTCATGTTTAATGCAGAGAAGGATGAAGCTCCCCTGTTTCGAGGGAAAAGTGGGTGATCCAGGATTGAAGTTTGCCACAGATTTTGCAATCATTTACCCGATCCAGGATTGAAGTTTGCCACAGATTTTGCAATCATTTACTCACTGCCCGATTTCTTTTTGTTATCTTCCGCATGTCTAGAGGTGTATTTTCGAATTTTTTTACGCTTTGTGAAAGCGGTCAAAACAAGATGTAGCTTTATCTACAGTTTCTTCGATCGTTCATGTTACAGTTTAATGCATTATTGCCGACAGCAAACATATATATTGAATTGAATTGAATTGAATTGAATTTGTACAGTGATTGATAAGAAAAGAAAACATCCCGTCTCTGTTTTTATAACTGCTGTGGTTTCTTACATCGTTATATTGCTGTTGACGACGTTGATTGATACTCTGCTTTGCATGTCTATTGTGCAACCTGCTTGTTGTTTTAATCAAAGCAATCTTCAAAGAATATGCTTTTCTTGTTCTGATTACAAGCTGCTGGGAACCTGAAAGACTGCTTGTTTTTATCGGTTCCCTTCTTGAAGTTTACGAATGAAAATCGTGTTTTCTGAGGATTAAGATCCAAAAGCCGGAGCTTAGATATCTCTCATACCCTTTGTTCCGTGCGTAAATATAGGTTTTAAATAAATTCGCAGGTTCACAGAGATTTTAGTTGTAAAGCCATTAAGAAATATTTACGCAATTTTGTTATTTTGCCTTCGTTTTTATTGCATCAGTAAGTCAGAGAAACTGAAATTTTAAATTATCAGCCCTTTGGTTCCATCACGGAGGCTATTGCTCAGGCACCCTAGTAGTATGATATGCAATAACCATTTAAAAGAGCCTAATACTTTTGAATTCAACTCATCGAGAGCTGTTTTTTCTTGACTTTGTCCTATATATCTGCTCGTTCGGACAAAATTTGACAATTTGACGAGCCTTATTGGTTAAAAACAAATTTTTGTAATTCCTGAGGCAGAAGGGGCTTAGGTGGTCGTGTGGGGGGGGGGGATGTCTCTGGGCCTGTATATGTAAATGGTGAGTTAAAAGCCCTTCAAACGTTTTTTTGTTGCCCGTTGGTTTCTTTTCGCGGGTTTTGAACTTTTTGATGACATTTCATCATCTAGACAAAAACTCATTTTAAGGCCTAGTTTCTTGCGGTTTTCTTGCCGGTTTCTTTGCTACGCGTATATTAAATTCCAATCGCTTAGATAAAATTATTGGATGCGACTTGAATGAACTATTACTCCGCTAGTATTCAATCCTTTTGCTTGCTACAAAAACTTTTTCGTAAGCTAAATAGGAGACAATCTCAAGTGACGCTTATCGGTAAAGATAGCGCTCATCACAAAATATACTTCTGGGCTTTTCACATCCGTCGGATACTTGTATACCATATATAGACAGTTCGAATGTCGCTGACGTAATTGTGGTTTACGTTAATTTGAGATTTCGTTCTGGATAATTGGTAGGGGATTTGCGATTGGTTATTTAAAGCCTATGTTATATGTTGTTGGATTTGCAAGTTCTAAGATATGTGTATTTCATGTATTGTGGGGTTGGGTGGCAACCTTGTTTTTTTGAGACAGATATAAAGAGACTTGCTTCCCTGAGTTAAGAATTCCCCTGAATGTTGCAAGGAACAATGGAAAATGGTGAATTCAACATCTCGGCTTCTATTGGTTTTTTCCTCTCATAATCCAAAGGTCTTCTTGATGTATGTACAGGAATTGGACTTGTTATAAGTTTTTTCCCGCGACATATGGTTGTACATGTTTCAAACCTGTTTTCAACCTACATTCATTGTATCCGTTGTCATCAATATTTGGCTACAGACGATTCGGCACATGTAGTATGCTAGTATTATTGGGACTTAACTGACATTTAGTTTAATTATTGTTAAGCTTTGGAGGTAAAAGGATACAGCGCCTGTCTGAGAAATCAACAAATATTTTAATGCTTTGGTAGTCGATTCTTGCTCAGTCTGTTGAGTCCTTGGGATTTTCTCCGCGGAAGCAGCTTTTAAGTGGTGTTACTTAGCAGAAGCCTCGATCTTATTGGCGTAGTCGTTTAATTCTTAGTTATCAAGCCGTTATGAGTATTAAATACTGGCGCTCAATACCTGCTTTTTCTGCATCGTAGATCATCAAACTCTTGCCTTTTTCATAATATAAACCCCTAGGTTGTGAAATTTTTGGTCGACGACAGATAGCCGTCGATATTTGTACTTGCAATAGCTGGCGTCATAATACGTTGATAATTAAGGTCACATACATCGATAAATGGGGTCATATACGAAGAGAGATGGGGTCATGTACGTAGAGAGATGGGGTCATGTACGTTGTGTTGTCGGAATTCATAGCTTGCCGAAAGCAGCTGTAGCCTAAACGCTTTTAATTATAGATTATTGTGTACAAATCATGTTAATTGTAGAAATAGGAAACTACTTAAAGTGAATTTCCTTTATAACTGAAATTTAGTAATAAATTTTTTAACATTGACCTCTTCTTTTATGGCGCATTTCCTCTTTACTATTTTCCATTCAATTTTCCCTGCCTCTAGATTCCAGGATCTCTTTGGCAAAGTTTTAGCATTTTAGCAAAATTAAACCTGTGTCTCAGCTTAATTTCTTTTTCGTTTAGTTTCATCAATTTTCATTTCTTCACCATCTTAACCCTAGTCTTTGGTCCAATGTTATTGATGTTAATTCTTTCCGTTTTACTCTATTTTTGTTATTGTGCCAACATCTTAAGTTTTTATAAACCGGTATCTTTTTCTCCAGGACTCAAGATTTAATCAAGAAATCGACAAAAGAACAGGCTACAAAACAAAGAGCATCTTATGCATGCCACTAAAAACATCAGAGGGAGAGGTGAGATTTTTGGTTCCTTATTTGCACCCTTTAGTCTGGCTTTTTTCAGCAACAACCTCGTGTTTAAAATGACTAAAATACTTTTTTGTCTAGCTTTGTTTTCACCAGCTCTTTGAAAGGTCTTTTTGAAGATATTTCAAACATGCTGATGTATTTGAGAGCCTTTCATCGGTTGTAGCGCCAGAAATGGGGAACAATTACAAATTTTAAAACGTCTAATTGATAAAATTTTCACGTCGCTAATTATGATATATATTAATATTCACAAAATTGACTGTTCATTCATATTGATGTAAGAAATGAGAAGCATCAACGTGGTCGAAGAATTTTGAATGAATAACTTTTCGTTGCATTGATGAACTTTTCATTGCAAAATGATAAAACAGCGACAAAACATATAGTTAATTTGTTATGCAAAGTCACCTTGCTTTCAATCGCCTATTTTTCTTGTCGCGTAATCATCTTTACATGTAATTTCCTTTGCTGATTCAGGCCTTAACACGTCTAATGCATCTAATTTCCTTCAAACGGTTTTATCATTATAAAGCAGGTGGACGTACTTCCGAGTGTACTTTTGAATGCATGAAGATGAATGAAATGTCTAGTTTGATTTAGAGAGTTTTTAAAACAAAAATTCGAAATTTAAAACAAAAATAGACAGGAAGAGTTCGGTTTCTCACTTGAACTCTTCACCCATGTAGTGGGATCACTGTTCACACACCAATGAATAGCCAATCAAACGTGTTATTCTTTGTCCCGCGTCTTATTTCCATTCCTCATTATATATATGTTTTCAGCAAAGGCCTCAAAAATTGGTTGATTGTTATCATCATCAAAGCACCTAGGCAATCAAAAATGCCCCATTTGCTTGCTGCCAAGGCTCTTTTTTGAAATATCCCATTTGGTGTATCCTAAATTCTTATCTTATTGCTTAGCCACAGCTCACATTCAGTCGTCACTGTTTCACTGTTAACATCACTGTATAATTTATGTTTAACGTCAGCCACTGTTAAGGACGAAATCCTATTTGCCATCTCCACTAATGTTTTATTAACGAATGGAAATTTTGCTCGACGCTCAACATTTCTTTGAAACTTTGAGCCTCCATCCCCTCGCCACCCGCTCTTCGCATCAACCCGAGATGGCCATAACCCGAGATGTCTATTGCGAGAAAGTGGGATGTTCATTTGGATGATAAATTTGATGAAATTTCACCACCGAAATGGAAGAGCTCAGACCTGACTGGTTTAGATAAGACTGCATATTGAGAAGCAACCAAAGAAATGGCGTATTGTAAACTGAATGAACCAGAAGCATTTTCATATTACTGATCTTAAATATTTGCGGTAACACAGGTTCCCATTTACACTGGATCGGTTCTATATGGATTCTTACCCAACCAGTGTGAATAGACCTTGAGTTTTTGGTGCTAGGATCCGTTTGTGTGTTTTCTTTACGTGTCTGAGTTGACTGTCTTCCTCTAGAAATCAGCTGGGCGATACTGACAACAGTCACTTAAGATTTTCTACCGAAAAGCCGAAAACCTAAAATATTTCCATTTTCGTCTGAGGTATTTTGTTAAATGCTTCGAAGACTGCAGCTGGCACCCCACCTCCCACCCTAACCTTGGCAATTTACCTGCCAGTCACGCTAGCTTAAATCCTATGTGTCATGTTGCCAAAGATTTATCGTGAAATGATACTTGTTTGTAGTATTTTTGACTCGCCAAGATGATGCGTTTTGTGTTATCTACTTTTATCATTCTTCGTGTATTTGTCGGTAATTCCCCTTTTATATTTCATTTTAAGGTCATCGGTGTTGCGCAGGTCATCAACAAAGTGGGACCTGATGGCCAAGTGCAGGTTTTTACGGCTGACGATGAAAAGGTTGAAATATATTGCACCTTTTTCTGTCTTTTTTTGTTTATAAAGATTTTCATTATTTGTTTATAAAGATTTCGACCCTATATCTTTTGTAAACAAAAAGATCTCGTTTTTCCACTGAAATTTTATATTTCGACAAAATCTGGATGACATTTGCCAATCGGGCGTGCTTTTTTTCTTTTTGGCTTGTTTTGATCCCCGTTTGATTGCTCAACTAGGCCTTCACCACTCTTATGCATTAATTTTCTAATCTCCAAATTTTTCCTTCAATATTCAAATATTTTCACAAAATATCAATGACTATTGGAAGCATATGCTTAATCGCTGTTCTCGTCACAAATTATTTTCTTTGAATTTCAAACTAGCCAGTAATTCATAAGACGTAATTTTGAATTCCAAGATGTTCTTTCATAACAGGTTCATATATTTTTGCTCACTGTGGTATAGTTGTTTTTGTTCTATAGATAGGGTTAAAGAAAACTTTACGTTGGTTCGTCCATAAATGTCAAATGTTTGATAATTGAGATCTGGTATCTTTTTTAAGTAAGTTTTCGACTGTATGTTGCTTCGTCCATAAATTTCAATTTTTTAGTGTATAAGCGCTAATGTTAGTATTTGTATTTATATTTGTATTTTACATTAACATAAATATGACCTTTTGTTTTTTTTTGAAGTTTTTATTATGTTTTGTCTTGTTTCTCTTTTATAGATCTTCGAAAAATATCTCGTCTTCTGCGGTATTGGCATTACGAATGCCCATCTGTATGAGCGATCGCAAGCAGAGATCAAAAGAAATCAGGTGAATTTTGCTCATTAAGCCTGTCTCAATTAGCCCGTCTCTCATCAAGTCCGACTCTCTCGAAATTGGCTTTTCGAAATCTTTTGTCGCTAGATTAGCTAATTTTGTGAGGTTTGTTTCTTGCTAAAACCAAGGTATGAAAAATTAATAACTTCAGTGAAATGATTTGAAGATCAGCAATTGAAGTTTAGAATCTATTTACGGTAAAGCGCTTGCCAATGAAGGCCTATTCAGTCCCGTTTTTAGGCATGGATTCATGACTATGAAGAATTAATGAGATATTCAAGGCCTATTGAGCCATATGGCTTTAGTGTTCGGGATAAAGCCAAGCCTTATTATGCCAGACTTATCTGGTATCAACTCCTTTCTTTTCCATAGCAGGCATCCTTTGGATGGAAAATTTAATGAAAACAGTTAAAAGTTAATTGGTTGAAAGCACTATGTCCCGTCAGTCAACTGTTCAGAGTAATCAATAGGTTTTGCAGCGCCTTTATGATCGTGATTGGATACGTAGCAATAGATTCATTTTGATAGCCTTTATGATTGGATACGTAGCAATAGATTCATTTTGATAGCCTTTATGATTGGATACGTAGCAATAGATTCATTTTGTTGTCCAACCAATGGGAAATTTAAAAGGCCAGCGAAATGCTTCGGGACATGGTGGCTTTTAAACCATGCTCTCATTTTCTATATGTCCTATTCTAATATAGGTTTTCTCCCTGCGTGTAACTGAATTTAGCAGGTCCTGGAAAATTAACCGGACCAGATATCAGCCTCAGACTTGTTACCATGCCCTTTGGTTACGAAATCACTGCATTCCATTTCTGCTGTGGTGCAAATCTCAGATGATGCTTACAACAATTTATTCCTAAAGGCAATTTCCAAGCACTCGATTTGTGTTAGAAATTTGAAGCATTCTTCGCCTGTTATGCCGCTTAAGGAGATTTCCATGCAGTACTTGGTGGTTTCAACGACTGTACACCATTAACTAGACACTTAAGCCTGTGGATTTGCGTACCGTTTTGACGTCACCAGAATGGATTAGTCAGTTTAGGTTGCCGTCGTGGTTTTCTAATTGGGTCTGTAATCCTTTATCTCTGAGATCGGGACCGTGAATCAAACTATTTTGCGAAGATTATCTTACTTAGAAATGGTCTTAAAAATGACGTGAATTTCACTTGTCGGTACACTCACCGACTTGAAATAAGATTTCTATAAAAAAAACAAACATAATAAGTCGCACTATATGTCTGCTCTTGTTTCTTAGTAACTGTCTTCGTTGTTTGTGGCATAAGACTTTCTGGATACGGACTCAAAGTCCTTCTAGGAAAGACAGTAAAATTGTTAGTCTCTATTCAAACCCAAGCCTTAAACAGAGTATCATATGAACTATGTCGTAATACAAAATGTCGTATTCACGATGCCCAATCCTTCTTTATTCCTTGAAACCTCATCCATCAAGACAGTTAAGCCAGAATTTGTCTCGCAAAATTTCTTTTCCAAATGTCTTTCATTTCTTACTTGGTCTACAACGTGTAAGATGTTGTGAAGATAATTTGAAAAGCGAAAACCCCAATGATAGCAGAGCTGAAGCCAACCGCAGTCAACGGAAAGGCAACATTTTTACCAAATATAAATAGAATGATTCTGGTTGAAAGATTTCTTGACTTATTAACCAACAAGTATTTTGTCACCAAGAGTTGATGTTTGGTATTATTTAAAGTCATTGCACACATTCCGAAATTGCTCTTCAAAAAATTCATTTCAATTAGCCCCAAGTACTATCTTCGCTTTGCAGTGTACACAACTACGTTATGTGACATATTGATATGAGAAACGCAAGTTATGACAGTGCCCGCATATCAGATCTCGTCCACCTTCAATACGTCTGCACTTGTCTTTTTTGTATTTGTTTCTACCTAGCATCCGTTGGTAGTTTTTAGGACAATTAGAAGCTATACCTCACCTCGTGATTCCTAAGCCTGGAATTGCAGAGAGCTGGCGACTCACCTCACCCTGAGTGAAAAGTTTTCCACTTCAAGGAATCAAAAGTTTGGCCATGAAAGGAACAAATGATGGCCAGTGAATTGTACAGCTATTGTGTAGTCCATTCCTTTGCAAATTTTGAAGGGCGAATGTTGAAGGGCGAATGTTGAAGGGCGAATGTTGAAGGGCGAATGTTGTGGGAACCAGGAAATCTATCTTTAGAAAAAGATTAACTATTGAAAAAGAAAAAGTACTAGCTAAAAGCTAAGTTTTATCAATGCGCTGCTATAAGATTTATACACTGCTATAAGGTGGATACGTTGCTATAAGGTGGATACGTTGCGTGGAAATGAATGAATGAATGGTATAATCTGGATTCAATTTGAAGATATTTGTTACTCGTTCGAATTTTCCCGACAGTATGCCCAATTGACCTGATAAGAAATGCAATTGCTGATTTGGCCTGAGTTTTTTAAATTCAATTGCGGGTATGTTCTAGTAGTCATGTATTTGGCTATTTCTTAGTCGCCTTAGTTGACTTTTTAGGACTTTTGGCTATAATCTTAATGATCATAGCTTTAAATCACTTTACGGAATGCCACAGCCGCATAACAAAGATCATTCAAACTGTTTAATATTTTATTCCCCGGGCCAGATTTTGTTGATTTCACAATAACTAGGAGGTGCCATTAGACCACAAAGGATATTCTGAGATTTTCTTCGGCCTGATTCTACGTGCGCAGATTTATCTGGATCTGTTAATAACAATTCTCTCAGTTGCTTACGTCACTAGGTATAATTTCCACAGAATCGTTTTCTCCCGAACGTACTTAATTCTTAGCTTGTATTCTACCGATATTATTATTTTGCTGTGATTTTCATACTGGTTTCTTCAATGAGAAGCGGCCTCTGGTGCTGTTTCGCGGCTTTTGGCGGGCTCTTAATTATTCACGGCTATGAAATATTCAAACGGCCTGAAACTAGAAAACAGTCTTTTCGTATCACTTAGTGGAACTTTTTAAAAAAATTTCTCAAAGTTCCTTGCCTCAACTCTAAGCATGCCGCCTGCAACTCTGTTTCTTTTCTTTTCGTCGAAATTTAGGTTAAAAATTAAGACCAAATCTTTGTTCATAAAACCAGCAATGTTATGAATGATTATTTTTCCTTTTAGAGGTTTTACCAATTTTAGAAAACATTTCTCTAAAAAGTTGGAATTTTTTTCTATCTAGTCTGTCTTCGTTTAAACCTTTCCAATTTTTTTCTTTGATTTTAAGAGAAGTCAAAATCGATTGTATCTATTTATTAAAATTAAAAACAAAAATTCAAAAACCTTGCTTAGTTAACGCGCAGTTGGCATGATCTATCGTTTAACAGTTGTTTTTATTTATTCTATTTTCTCCTTTAACATTTTGTAGTTATCCTCCAAATAACTTTGTCGAAATCAGAGATGTGGACTGGCCTGTTTGCTAACTACCTCAGTGGACTCGTGTCTGGCTTGTGTCTCTTTCTATGCTTTCTCGGTTTATACACTCAACAAAGCAGCAATCTTGAACCATGTATCGCGACTGTATTTCTTTATAGCCCCTGCAAATGACAATAGTTTTGTTATGAATTTTTTAAAACCGGTGATAATACCAGTTTGGTCCGGGAAAATGCCGGGGAAACCTTCTCGATATGGACATACCTCAGAAAACTTCACTTCACTTTATCTTTCATTTTGCGCGCGTTTAAGCCCGTGCAGCCAAAAATACATTTTTCCTGGCTTTCTAATTTCTCGTCTTTCATTTTCAGGTGCTGTTGGATTTGACTAGGACAATTTTTGAAGAGCAGAGCTCTCTTGATAACATAGTGCACAAAATAATGATGAACACACAATCCTTCCTTCAATGTGAACGATGTTCTGTTCTCCTCGTTGACCCGAAATCAAAGGTAATTGCAATAAATGTTAGAATTGCATTCGGAGTGAAAATATTCATTTATCCAGTTTACATGTTAGCGGAGAGAGTTGAAGATCTTGATATGAAGTTCTCTAGATATAAGCTCATCTCTGGTCCGGTGCATCCCAACCGCTGCCAGGTACAATACAAGCAGTAAACTGTTTCAGTTTTATCAGCCCTTTCTTCTGACTTTGACAGGGCGGTGATCCTGTTGATGTACGGTCCTGATGAGCGTCAATCCTGTTCAGTGTAGTTCCAGTCATGTTAACGGCCTTAATTTAGTTTGTACCCAGTGCTGGTCTTTCTTTTTCTGAAAACCATCCTTACTTCTAAAAGTATCCTTCGTACTGCTTTAGACAAAGCATATCTGTCAGCCGTAATGATAAAGCTTTGTTTGGATACGAAAAATACAAGATTAAGAAAAACGAGTTGTTGTTGTTGTTATAGGAGTCGTTCTCTTATTACAAAATGGGCGTGTAGTTATAGAAAGCAATCATTTCTTCGCGATATTTGCGCTGCTATGATGATTTAAACACACTATGAACTTTTTGTCCACAAGTTGCAGATTCTTTTGCAGAAAACACTGGTGTATATATCATTTTTATTGATTTAATTTAAGCCTTGTTGTAATTTTTCAACATGGTTAGTTTGTAAATGAATTGGTATTATTCTACCCCGGTGTTTGTGTATATCAATTATCTTTATTTTCATGAAAGCTTTCCTTCATAAAGTTGTTTTGAAATTTCCTTTGAAAATGTGGCCTGCCACAAATGCATAGTAACAAGATCCGATATTTCAGGTATGGATGGTAGGCCATTAAGCTGTTACACCAAAACGTTAAGGCAAAATTCCTCACCCGACAGAAAGAGCCGAATGCCATGCAGGAAGTTCCAATCCCCTTTGAAAGCCCCTTTTTTATAACTTTCACAAAATTGAGAATACCTAACAAACTGTGCTGTTTGCGTTGTTTCTTAATCTCATTTGCCCTAAACTGCCGATTTTTTAAAATGACCACATCTGGAATAGACTGATTCAAGCGGGGTTGAAAGCAATTCAAAATGGCCTTACTTAGCAATACCTATCTGAATAAAGATGATTTTTACATATCAAACTGATATAGACAAACATAAGATTTTCAAATGCTAAAATTTCATATATTTAAGCTAAGTTACTCCATCCCCACTTATAAGATGCTGCTGATGTAAAAAGAGGCTATTTAATTCTTTTCAGCCACGTTTCTGAAATTTGTTTAAATTAAAATCGTTTTTAGAATCAAAAAGACGATTTTTTAATTTCGAGTGTTAATTCTGTCCAGGCTTTTGCTGAAGAATTGAGAATTTTCGGGTGATTTCAGTATATAATTATTAAGATTCCTCCTTGGCTCAAAGCTCAGGGCCTTGCAGCTTTAATATCAACAATATTAGTGAAAAACTTTTCTCTTCTTGACTGATATCATTTATTGATTGTTTTATTAGAGTTTATATTATTTTTATAGTGTTATGAATTTATAGTTTAGCTACAGAGATAATTGGTATTGGCAAAAGAAAAATTATTGATTTGTTCAATACAAATTATAGCTAGACCAACCTAATGATGCATGTCTCTTCAAATAATTGTCTATACTTAGGAATGTAATTTACAGAGTCTAAAAAAGAACATGTTAATATTGATACTGTAAAGATAGCTTATTATTTTCACAGTCTAGAGATAGTGTGTGATGAAGAGGTTGTTTACTTGTGCTCAGTGGTCTGTGGTTCTTGGAATTCCAACCTGCGCTGCGGGAAGCGATATTTTTTGTAAATATTTTGGTCTTCAAGTTGATCCCTGTTGTTATGTTTTGCTAAGATTTTGATTTTCGTTAATCGTTTTGAATCCAATCAAATTGCGTTCAAGGTTGCTTTTTTACCCCTGAAATTCAAATTCCCGGGTCGTTTTTATTTGGATAATGGCTGATAAGTGTGTTGCATTTTTTAGTTAGTCGTGCAAAGGAACACCAGGACAACGCTGAAATAAGGGGAGTTTAATACAATAAAAGGGTTCCGTTTCCTGTTTCCCGTTTACAGCATATATTGACCCCTATAACGTAACCATAATCTTAAGCCCGTCAAATCTTAGGCAGTAGCCTCTCCACTGCAGCCCCGCTTTTGTGCGATCTGTATTTATTGCTACGTTCTATTCCGCATTTTTAGGGTTTGTTTTCGCAAGCTTTTGATTTGGAGGCCCGAGAATGTTTCGACGATGATGGCCAAACAATCGTCAGAAAACAGTCTTGGTATGCTCTCAGCTTTTATCGATTAATTTGATAAAACATTTATTGCCAGGTGCTATAAAATTACCTATGAATTTTTTATTTATAGATTTATATCCATGAGCTTCGTGAAATTTAATTAGTTTTTATAATGATTTCCCATAAATACAAATTTGCCGATTTCGCTTCTATGTCTCTATATTCTAATTTTTGCGGATTCTTTTTACTGATAATAAATGCAGCCCGTTTATTGTGTGTAGTTTCACGACGTTTTTCGATGCAATTTATGCAGTATGGGCTGTAATTAAACAATATCTGAAACATTAGTTTCGTAGCAGTTCTTGTTTGCCTCTATACTTTCGTGAAGGTTCATTTCAGTTATCTTTATGACTCATTCAATGTAATTAACTAAAGCATCTACAAGCAAATTACGCTAAGAAAATTGTCAAGCTCTTGTTGTAAAACGAATCTTTTTTTCAGTGGCACATCTGAAGTTCGATTTCCTATTAACATTGGTATAACTGGTTTCGTTGCCACTACTGGAGAGGTATGACATTCATTCTTCTTACAGTTCTTCTTCCAGCCCTTCTCCCGGTCCTTTCTTCAGTTCTTCTTCAGCCCTTTTTCCAGTCCTTTTTCCAGTCCTTCCTTCAATTCTTCTTCCAGCCCTTTTTTCAGTCCTTCCTTCAGCTCGTCTTTCAGTTCTTCTTCCAGTCCTTCTTTTAGTTCTTCCAGCCCTTTTTCAAGTTCTACTTCAAATCCTTCTTACAGCTCTTCTACCAGTCTCTCTACCAGCCTTTTTCCAGTTCTTCTTCCAGCTTTTCTTCCAGTTCTTCTTCCAGTTTTTCTTCCAGTTCTTTTCGAATTTTTAAGAGGACTTATTTTTCAATTTTTAATTTTCTTCAACAGACATTGAACATCCCTGATGCTTATGCCGACCCACGTTTCGACCCATCAGTAAGTCCATAATATCTTCCTTATTTGTAATTGTGCGCAGAGATCGTGAATTATTGCACCTTTGCTTGTTTCTTTGGCTGTAAAATTCGATATAACTGTAATTCCAATGTATGCTTTTTACAGACGACCTTTGCTAGATAAGCCCCATTTTTTCTGGTCGTGGTGAACACATATCTTGTACTGTATATGTATTTGTAACGTATCATCTTGTCAATGTATATTCTGAAACACGTATCATCTTGTCAATGTATATTCTAAAACACGTATCACATCTTCTTGTCAATGTATATTCTAAAACACGTATCATCTTGTCAATGTATATTCTGAAACACGTATCATCTTGTCAGTGTATATTCTGAAACACGTATCATCTTGTCAATGTATATTCTGAAACACGTAACATCTTGTCAATGTATATTCTGAAACACGCATCTTCTTGTCAATGTATATTCTGAAACACGTATCATCTTGTCAATGTATATTCTGAAACACGTATCATCTTGTCAATGTATATTCTGAAACACGTATCATCTTGTCAATGTATATTCTAAAACACGTATCATCTTGTCAATGTATATTCTAAAACACGTATCATCTTCTCGATGTATATTCTGAAACACGTATCATCTTGTCAATGTATATTCTGAAACACGTATCATCTTGTCAATGTATATTCTGAAACACGTATCATCTTGTCAATGTATATTCTGAAACACGTATCATCTTGTCAATGTATATTCTGAAACACGTATCATCTTGTCAATGTATATTCTGAAACACGTAACATCTTGTCAATGTATATTCTGAAACACGTATCATCTTGTCAATGTATATTCTGAAACACGTATCATCTTGTCAATGTATATTCTGAAACACGTAACATCTTGTCAATGTATATTCTGAAACACGTATCATCTTGTCAATGTATATTCTGAAACACGTATCATCTTGTCAATGTATATTCTGAAACACGTATCATCTTGTCAATGTATATTCTGAAACACGTATCATCTTGTCAATGTATATTCTGAAACACGTATCATCTTGTCAATGTATATTCTGAAACACGTATCATCTTGTCAATGTATATTCTAAAACACGTATCATCTTGTCAATGTATATTTTGAAACACGTATCATCTTGTCAATGTATATTCTAAAACACGTATCATCTTGTCAATGTATATTCTAAAACACGTATCATCTTCTCGATGTATATTCTGAAACACGTATCATCTT